CTGCCTTATTTATTAGGTTTCATCTCAACCAGTGGACGACATCTTTTTGGCCTTGTTTTATAGTTCTGGTGCAGAGTTCTTTCATTATCCTGGTTCTTGTTGGAAGCTTGCCATTTTTTCTTTTATTCAGGAGAAGCTCTCATTATAGATGAGTAAAACAGACTTCAGTTTGCACCTACAAATGTAGCATTTTCCTATAAAATCAAAAAGAAGACCCAAACAGACACCAAAGATACACGAAGAGCAAAAGCAACCGGTCTTATGCACATCATTCTTCTTTGTATTATTCCTCTGTTTTCAGCCTCGATGCTTTGGCATCTCTCTAATAAACTAAGTCAACTAACCCTTGAAGTTTAAGAGGTGTTATATTTAGACTTTGATGTGTGAAAATGATGGTGGTATTTTTAGAAATACGCTCAGTAGCCTCAGGCTAACTTCACAGAAATGTGAAAATATGTTTTTTCTTCCACCATTAGTTTTATATAATGTAGACACTAGTACCTGCAGAAAGTTGTGTACATTGCAGATTGGAAGTCCCCAGCAGGAATATAATTTTCTTATTATTCAACGGTTTAAAAGCCACTGCAGGCAAAACCAGAAGGAAAACAAATTTGACTAGCTTTACAAAAGGGACTAAGTTAAAGTCACACTTCACAGAATTGTGTCAGATTTGCTTTCCTCCCCTTTTCCTCCTCAGTGGAGAGATGTAACACCATTTTAATAAAAACAAATCTGTGTGAGCCATCAAAAAGATGTCAAAACAGCATGGAGCAGAGCTGGAAACCAAAGCTGTGGTATTTCAGCATCTGGACATCAGGACAGTTTCAGAACAGGGCAAGAAACAAAAATCAGAGTACTTTAAAATGAATAAAAGTTTAATCATGTTAAAGTTCCCAGACTGTTCTGTCGTTGGTTTAAGGTTCAGGTGAAAGGATTTATTCACTTCAAACATAAGTGTCTTTTTAAAATATCTAAAATTTTGAACACAAAAATAAACAGACAGCTTCTTTATCCTGTGTACAAAGCTGCTTTTATAGGTCCTGGGCAGCTGGGATCAGGGAGGATGGAGGCAGCTGTTTGGCTGAGTTAGTTGTGACACAAAAGTGTAAGAGCCAACGCCTGTGTTTTCTCCTCAGTGAATATTCATGAGCTTCATATAAGTAGTAGTTGTCTTACTCAGAGTAAACAGCCTTCAGAGTCCTCTCAGTTTGGAGAATCAGAAGAGAATTGGAGGTAAACTGACAACAAATCACAGATTTGCAGACTGCATCAGAATCAGAAATACTGTACATTAATACTCCCAGAGGGAAATTATTTAAAAACAGCATGAATAAAAGCCCCAATCTCTCCAAAAACAACCTCATTAGAGAGGAAAAAACTTCTCAGAGCAAACAAAGAAAAAAAAAAGTTAAGAAAGTAAAAAAAAAAAGGCAACACAAAAGGCTGGAGCAAAGTAACAGGCAGCATGCAGCTTTCGCACACACGCAAAAAATAAAAAAATTATTTAAGAAATCAGATTGCTGCGTTATTGCATCAGACTGTATTTTGTTATTTCAGATTTTCTTAAATGCAGAATATTGACAATGTAAAGTGATCCCTTTTAAACCGAGACCAGGTGAAAAGCTTATTTATGACAAAAACTTTAACTTCTTCCCTCTGATGCCTACAGCATGATCTCTGAATCAAAAGTCCTCCTAATTTAATTCTGCAGACTGTTTCATCCAGATGTGCTCTACCTTTGCTCACTGTGGCCAAATCCTTTAGTTTCATAGCTAATTTTAAAGGCTCTTTGACATTACTTTTTTTTTTTTTTCCTATTCAAAGATGCAGACACTTTAACCAGAGGCGCCTAAATATCAGGGATCATTTTCAACAAGGTGTTTATATGCGGACATTAAATCTATCATTAGATATTTTCAGCATATTTAAATCTGTCCGACGTTTCAACATCTGCTCACGATCCAAAAGGAAAGTCAGGGGCATCTTCAAAGGAATGGAAGATATCAGAGGCTGGGGTTTCATTGATCCGCCTTCATTTATTTTAAGGTTGTGATTGTATTTGATTTATTTATTTAATCAGGACAGTGCACATTAATGAACAATCTCATACAGATTGTAAATGAGCCAGATTCTAGCATAATTGCTAATTTGCATCTGTCGTCCTGAGGCAGGAAGACAAAACAACACAAGATCACAAAATACAAAATCAGTTAAAACAGAGAGACACACGTTCAGACAATGACACTACAAAATTAAAATTAGTGAGTGCATGTCTGGGAACTTTTGAGAAACAGTTTAAGGTGCTTTTTAAATGTGTAAAAAGTGGGACATTCCCTGATGTTTGTTGGGAGGCTGTTCCAGAACTGACCCCCTCTGACCGATAGAACGGTTTGTCCAAAGGTTGTTCTTCTGTGGGGGATTTCTAGGTCTCCTCTGGTGCAAATACGTCTGCCAGGCCTAATGTAGGTAGAAAGTGGAGGTGGGGCTAATCCATTCAGAACTTTGTAAATTAAACAACTATTTTTATAATGAATAAAGTTTTCAAAACTGAGCATATTATATTTTTCCAAAATATTACATTGATGGAATGACAGGGGCTTTTGATCAAAGATTGTCTTCGGCCTGCAGGTGGTGACAAACAGGAGCAGATTACAGCCCGGCGGGGGACGGATATTCAGCAGAGGCGACAATCTCTGAGGAGGGAGGAGTATTTGCCACCAGGACTCAGGCTCCAGATGCCTTCGGTCATTTTATGGGACACTATACGGGCTTTTATTCGATTCCAGGAGACTAAACCCTGACCTGTCAAAGCTTTTCTCAACACAAAGCTCTCACCTTAAAGTTTTGTGTACACTTTGAATTTTTTTTTTTGGGGGGGCTCTCTCCGAAGGGAGGGAAGGTTGACACCGTATGACTGTGTAAACAGACTTGTGTCCTCACAACAGACACACACACTCACACACACACACGGGAGTCAAATCCCGTCAGCTTCCTTTTAAGGCCGGGGAGGGCCGCTGCCTTTAGCCATTAGATAGAGAAGCATACAGACAGACAATCAGCACCAGATTTTTTTTTGGTTTTGTTTGTTTGCTTTAAGGCTGCGTTTGAGAGAGATTAAAGGGGGTTAGAGTCCAGAGCCCCAGAGCTCCTTCACTTCAGCCCAAACAGCGCGCGGTGTGTGGGTCAGTTTAGCCAAAACAAGGCTGAAACTGAGCCCAGATGATGGACCTGAGGAGGACTACGCCCACAGCTCTGCCAAACACTCTCAGAGAGGATCTGGGTGTTTACACAGCGGACGGCTGAATGTTCAAGGGAACGCTCTCTGACTTGCTTGTAATTGCTTGTGATTCTCTCTCCCGACTTCAAAGACGGGGAGTGCCGCAGGTCAAGGGTCAGAGGCTCGGCCGTTGCCCAAATGCCCCCCAATTTCCTGTTTTGTCTGACTCCGCGATTCTTAAGGGATCTAAAACGTGGATATCGGGGTCTGCTGGAGCCGAGGCGACGCGGAGCTCCATTTCAGCCGTTTGCTTTTAATCTCAGATCACATGACGCTGACAGACGTGTAACCCTTTATTTTACCCTCACAGGGGTTGAAATTGCCGGGTTAAACTGGGCCGAGTTGCACACAGGACACTGAAGAAGAAGGAATTTGGCTCCAAATCCGTTGTTACATGTCGTGAGGAAGGACCCTGCTCTCCAGCTGCCGCCCTCCCACTCTTTTATTTGCTGTCCGTTATAAATAAGCAGCGAAGATAGATATTCGTATATTATTTTAAGAAATGCAGACACATTTAAAATGATCTCTCATTACAACACATAAATCCAAATTCCTGCACATCCTTTTCTGGAGACAACACAACAAAGTATATCTAGTTTAGTTTTTGTGTGCCTTTGTGTGTGTGTGTGTGTGGGGGGGGGGGGGGGGGTGTTATGTGTAAGTGAGAGGCCCCAGGACTAAATTACACTGCAGCATGGTCCCTCTCAAACGCCCACATCTGGGATTGGCCTTGACAACTGGATGCTGCGCTGCTCTAATTTTGGCTACTTTGTTTATAACCCTATAATAGAGACGGTATCAGACCACAGAGCTGGGATGGAGGAGGGCAAGGCACGGCCAGAGGAAAAGTAGTCCCTTTTTTATAAGAAAACAACTTGAGGTTTTCATTCAGAGGAATCGAGCCGAGTAAAAGCAGAGCTGTTTAGACCCTTTAAGTTTAGACAAACTTTCTTATTTCCTGTTTTGTTTTGCCTTCTCTAAGGTGGAACCAGACCATCGCAGGGATTCTCCTCTAACCCTTAACTCTGGCAAGTTGCTGCTTGTCGGTTTGGATGAGTGTGGATGTAACAATGACGGCAAATCTGTAATTATTCTAGAAGGATACCAGGGCTTTGCCGGCCCACTCGCTCTCTTTAGAGCTCCGGCATAATCACCAAACGCGCTTTGTCAGCACTGGATACGCGGAGTGACTCTGCAGACTTGATAATAAACAGCATTTTGCCCCCAGGACACGGCTCAGCTCTCTGGGTAGAAGCGGAAGCAGCCTTGAGAGCTTTAACATATCTTCTGTATGAGGAGATTAAGCTGTCAACTGTGTATAAATCTGTCAGCTTTAATATTTAATCTTAAGTGGGTGAGTCGATTCAAGGGCCTCTGAAAAATGACTTACAGGTGTTGTGAAGTGTTGCAGAGAGCGGCTTTAATGCAACGCTCCGTCTGATTGATATTTCTGACATTATTTGTCTTCATGCTTCAGGACGATGGGACTTAGAAGGGGCTCCACTGGGCTAAAACACGGCAGTTCACAACTCTAGCTTCCAGCCCAACCCCTAAATTTGCATCGGACGCTTGGCTTTGCAACAACACATCCTTGCCAGCGTTGGTGTATTTGCCAGGTTCCCATAAGTTTTCTTTTTATGATGTTGGTGTTAAAAGCCATGACTTTAGTCGGGGGCTGTAGAGCACAAAGTAAGCCAAATTCTTCCGTCTTAGTTCAGATGATCAAATGATGACATTTGTGTGTGTGTGTGTGTGTGTGTGTGGACGTGGTCTGGATTGAGGGTTTTCCTGAAAAAAAAACATCTTTTATGAAGGCATCAGCACACCGGAGGAAGATCTTTATTGCAAAATTGTTCCCATTTTTCTATTAAAACCTTCTATTCAGACCCAAAGGCTTCAAAACGAAGTCGCTTGATTTTTAAATGACAGCATATGCCATAAAATAATGATGAGACCCGAATAAAAGATAAAAATGTGGCTATTAGAACGGTTCAATGACTTTAAACCGTCTAATTTCACTGATTGGGTGGCGGTAGGTGATTTGAGGACCTCTGCAGGGCGGCAGTGTGATGGCACCGAAACTCTTAAATCTCTTCACGCAGACAAACGATATCTGGACGCTGACATTATGTGAACAGAACATTTCATCATTTGGGGGAGAAAATCATATAACAGGAGAAAGCAGACAGCAAATCAACATGGATAACAAGAGTCCTCAATATCTGATTTCGGCCGAGTTGAACTTGGTAACCAAAGTTCTGCCTGAATAACTTACGACTTTCTCGCTCTCCGTAAATTAGATTCTGTGTATAAAAATACTTCTCAGTCGGCCGGGCGGCGTCAGAATCTCTTCGCCTGTCTGCGCTCCTGCCGCCTCTGCTTCTTCTCGTTCACTTCCTCTGGCGCCGACGGGCTCTCCGCCATGAACCACGGGCCCAGGAAGTTGACCCACAGCAGGTGGAGGGCGCGGAACGGGGCCTGGCACACACACACACACACACACAGGACGGCCACGGTTTAAAACCCGGTGCTCCCAAACCCCTGATCCTCCAGGTGCCACCTCATTAGAACTAATGGAGGCCGCTCTACAGCTCTACAGCTCTACAGAAGGCTGATGAATATCCATTAATCTGAATCAGGTGGGCTGGAAGAGCACTGAGGCTTGGGAACGCTGGTTTAAGCAAAATAAAAAGGAAAGAAAATCTACTGGGTTTCTTACCAGCAACCAGAGATACCAGAAATAAGAGGAGATGGTGCTGAGCACTTGGACTATTGCGGTGAGCAGGATGACGTCCTTCAGGTGTCTGAAACCGAAAATAAAGAGGAGAAGTCGTCACGGAAAGAGCAAAAACACTCAGAGAGCAAAAATGACAGAGTCTGCAATCGTTTCTGCCTTGCTCAAAGGCCTGAATATCGTACCAGCCTCACCCTTTGCAGAGTTAGTCTGCACATGGATCCGTGTAACATACGGATTCAACCAAAACGCAGAACTCAATGAAACCTGAAACCCTTCAGCTTCAACAAACCAAAAATGTATTAAAAAAAAGCCTTTCTAAGCCAATTCATTTTGTCAACAATGTCGAGATCAAAATCCTAATTTACACAATTAGATATACGTGATAACAGGGGCTAGAAGACTACACAAAAATAATCTTGATTTATCGTATAGTAATAAATTATTAATATAAAAAATGTATTTCAGTTTTTTCTTTTTGCATATTTTGTTAAAGGCCAAATAAAGACTTCAAACAAAAAAAAAAAGTCATTTTCTGTTTAGTTTTATTCTTGGATCAGGCTTTAAAGGGTTAAGAATGAGTTTCTGTAAATAGATGCTGTGTATTTAAGGGATTGACTTACTCTGCCATCCCCTGCTCCATGTTCAGGTCTATTCCCCCGTCCAGGAGACTCCCGTCCTCGGCAAACGCCGGCTTGGCCATGGCCGACATGGAGCGGTAGCTTCCCACATAAACGGCCAGCGCAAACATCAGCAGCAGCTACGGGGGGAACAGCGGGTTTAAGTCCAGAGCTGGAACATCTGGCAACCCGAACAACCTCCGTTAGACACTCACCCACGTCCAAAACGTGGACGAGCTGTAGAAGACCAAGAAGTTGACGGCAGCGTAGATGACCTGAAAAAAGAGCTGTTAAACTGGGCCAAAAAGCAGGAAACATTCAACACAGACACCAGGATATGAACTGGAAAGAACTTTTAACAATCCATCAGTCGTTTCCTCAACTAACAGTATTTACCTTTATTTTTTCAAAGCAGTTTTAAAACTACAGCCTCTGACAAATTGAGATTTCCATTTCCCTTTGTAAACCAGTTCCTGATGAGCAGCTCCACCCTGTCTTTTTTTCCATCGGTTGGTCCAGAAATCAGCAGTTTGTTTAAATATTCAGGGTGTCGTGAGGAATTTCAGGCTAATCAATGAGCAATTACTGTACTCCACTGTTGTAACTGAGGATTCATGATTCATTTCACCATCTGTTTTGAATGCAGACGGGTTCGTTCTTTGTTTATAACTGAGGATGAGATTATGTTCAGAATCAAGCAACGCCTTGAAAGCTGTGTTCAGCATTCCTCTGACGGGAAAACCAACTTATTTATAGCTTTCAAATGTGAGGAATCGGGTATGCATTAAAAACATTTTTGGCTACATTTTTAGGAAAATACACAGAGCCTCCCAGTACCACCTGGAAAATCTACTCATGACCAATAAGGCAGAACACAATGAGCATAATCCCAAAAATGATGTTTGGGAAATAAACGACAAAACATCAAACGCAGGACTATGCCTTTCTTCATCTGGAATTAGAGCTTTAGTCAAATCAGATCTAAATAGCAGTGAAACAACTGTGGGATGACTTGAAGAAGACTGAGAATAGGAGGTACTCTCACACAATATTTCATGGCTAAGAAGAGCAGGAAAATTAAGCCGAATCAAGACGCCCAAAGCTAAGAGTGCCGTACACCAAATGACTGACTCCACCCCTCTCTGATAAGACTTTAGAATGACTTCCATTCCTTTTTTAAAGATACAATAAAGATATTATGTGGAAAATATTATGAGATAATTTATTTTCGCTTTATCGTTTAATACAAATTTGAACCATTTTCAGTTTTTGGTTCACTAGAAACTAAGTACAGAGAAACCATGTTGTTTCACTTGTTTCCTTTGAAATACCAAAGTTTTCTTCTTACATTAGCTCCAAGGATGACTCTCGTGTAGAACTTCAGCGTGGCCTCGTTCTCCTCGTAGATCTGCTTCTTCCCCTTTGTGCCAACTTTTCCTTTGGGCTGTTGGGCGAAACACACAGAACAACGATCAGCACTACATTTCCAACACGAAAAACCAACACAACACACCGTAGTAACTACAGGAATAAACTAAGACTTGAGAACACCCGCCTGTCCTCTGAGAGGAGAAACTTTTTCCCTTCTTAAAATCAACTTAAAAACAACCTCAGCCAAGCTGTTCTTTCTAAAAACCGTTTGTTATCTATCCGTTTTTACTCTTCCTTTAGAGACACGTTACACTGGGCTGCAGTGTTGCTGTGATCTCCTCACAGGAAACAGTTTCCATGTTCAAACCCCAGCTGGGGCCTTTCTGTGAGGGGCTTGTGTGGGTTTTCTCTGGTTACTTTGGCTTCTTCCCACCACTCTCAGACATGCGTGAAGTGCTTTGGTGATTCCTAATGGAGCCACGGAGGTACTGCGAGTGTGCAGAAATTCTGGTGAACCCCAATCGATGTAGCAAGCAGGTACATCGAATTAAAGGAAGTACAATTTGAGCTGCTGTTTATTACAAGAGAACAAATTCTGACATATGTGAAAAAGATTTTTGAATATGCCTGTCCTTTTCTTGGATTTAAAATTGAACTGAAAGTGTCACATTTTATGGTCCAACTACATTATCCTTGAGCACTAAATTCCATTTACCCGCTGAACACCATTAGTTGACTTGTTAATTAATTAAAAATCATAAATTATGTACCTGTAGTCTCAGGTATGTAGTTCAAACCTAAAGAAAAGTCTGTGTTTACATCCTTTACATTAGGGGATAAGTGCAACATTATGTTAACTGTTTCTCACTTTTTTCCAATTTTTTGTTTGATTTTATTGCTGTTCTTGATATCCTTCATATAGGTTTCCCAACAGGAACCAATAGGCCGCCGTATCACCTGCTGCCTTCAGCTGAAGTCCCATTAAAAGTTGCATGACAACACTTGAATATCAAGTAACCACTTTTCTGGAAGAAAATTTGACATGAATCTAGTTTTTTGCCCATTTTGTAAGCAGGTTATGGTGGTCTCGATGCCGCAACGACATCCATCGTAAAGACGTAATATTCGTGCAGAAGTGGACCAGTCGGTGCTCCTGACTCATCCCGTGCCTCCTCCAGCTGCACGAGTCCCGCTTTCTCACCGCCATTGGCTCCGTGTCCCGCTGCCAGAGGTGTCTTCCACGGTGTTTTCTCTGTCATGGACCTCGCACTCACAGCCGTTTCCTCTGCTTGTTACGTTACCGCATCAAAAATCCAACTCCGGTGTCTCCCTGTGGTGTAGTTTCTTGAAACACATCAGCATTCAGTGGGCTTCAGCAGAGGACTCATTTCCGGCGCACGAATATGTCGTCATCGACTCGCAGCCGGGACAGGAGCAGAAAGTTTATACCAAAAACCAGAGACAAGGGGTCCATCTGCTGGGCAAACAACATACACGATTAAACAAATTTAGCTTAAACATCCTCTAAGTTTAAATTTGTATTGTACACAATGTTCTTTGAAACGACAGTTATTTTTGTATGGCAGGACAAAGTATTCAGAATCATCTAAATGTACGAAGTACTTATCTAATGAAGAAATTAAGTAACAACGCTATAATATTATTTAGTGATATGTTAAAATAAATAATTCCTTTGAGAACTGACATCAATGAAATGGGGGGAATTAAAAACAGAGAGTATAGGCAAGCTTAAAGACTTGAAAACATGTGTGCAGTTTTTTGTAGTTTTGGATTTGTGTTTTTTTGTGCACATTCTGTCTTCAATTTTTCTTTTCGCTTATTATTCTCGCTTAGTGTTTTTCCAAACTTGCCAATTCTTTCTTACTCTGTAAGTAAGAATTCCCACTCCCTTTATCTGTGCAGCTGCTCTTTATTCATTAAAAAAATCAAATTTCCGCCACTGTGTATATATGTTGCTTATCTACTCAGAACCAAAAGAGGTGAATATTTTCCAAATATTTATGAGTACATCTATATTCTAAAAGTGCACTACTAAAGTGCTATCTTTCTAGTTTCATTTAAAAGCTACATTTTGGCTCTACGACCATTTCTACAGGCGGGGCCCTGGAGTAGTTTCAACTTGTTTTTAAACCGCCCTTTTGTCCCTCTCCGGCTACCGTAGCGCAGTCCCATGGTTACTTGTTTTCACCGCTCAGGCTCTATCGATCTGAACGTGAGCGGTGGGGATATACGCTACATGACTTCACTATATGTTGGCACACTTGGGCAGAAAGCCTCGGTCTTAAACTCGCTGCCTCCGCAACAACATGGACTACCTGCTTCAGGTGAAAATCGGAGCTTTGATTGGCCTGTTTTTTTTAACCCTTCTTTTTGGATTCATTCCCGCTCGAGTGAAATGGTTCAGAGACACAAACGGAACAGGTGAGCACACTGTAATATACAGGTACATGGGAATGGGATCTTTGATTGTTGTTTTGTATGACTGTTTATTTTTCTAAAACCTTCGTCCTCACAAGGAGAAACGGCTGTAAAGCTTCCTGTAAATCTCAGCCAAACAGCAGGGACAACGTAACATAATTCAGCATTTTACTGAAATGACATCATTTGTTGCTTTATGAGACTAAAGCCGAGCTACAGGGAGGAAGTCGAGGATTAACATCACATTTTCAAATGTGAATATTAGTAGCAAATATATGTGAATAAACTGAACAACCGTAAAGGGACAAAAGTTTGAATGAATTTTGGTGCGGAGGCTCCGCTAAAGATAAACTAACTACAGCATTAAGATAGCTGGCTGTATGCAAATAGGAATCACATGATTAACTGTCGATAGTATCGTAAATACAATTAACTGCTGTTAAGCTCATCCACAATAAATGAAAAACCCATTTTCTATCAATAGGTCACTGTGATTAAAGAGGGGTCAATAAAAGGTTGTGCTTCCTGCTTTGAACACTGAGATAAAACGATTAGAGTCAGAATAGCTTACGGAAGTGTTTCAGATTGTCTTGAGATGTTTGTTTAAACTGCAATCTCACCATATTATTCATCACAGACAAGAGTCACCTGATCAGGATGAAGCCTGAGGCTCAGAGCACATGCTCACATTCATTTTCAGATTTGAGAGGCCCAGCCAGACATTCATATGCTGAACTTTGACTTTCTTGCATGGAAGTGAAAGTATAGTTTCTCTTTGTTTCATCCATTTGTGCTGAGGCCCTGGGTTATTTCAACATACGTGTTATGATCCGTCACATGATGCTCAGGAGTCAGTCCTTTAGAGGGAATAATGAACAATAATTCAGTTTCCAAGATCCCAGAACAGAAATCAGTGGCAATAATTTAAAAAAGAAACACACAAAAGAAAACTTGCACACACAAACACTTTTTCTAGTGCTTAAAAATGTTATCTTTATGTCTTTTATTTAGTCCACTGTTGTTAGAAATGAGAAAAGCATCAGGTATGACGATCCACACCCGTCTGGATACGTCCAAATACATTATTTCTGATGAGTGAATAAGGATAAAGGACTACGTTTCTCAGCCTTCGTCGGTTGTGCCTCAAGTCAAGTTTATGCAGAAATAATGAAAGGCTTTTTTTTGTCTCCAATTATTAGAGATCCACCGCACAGTCCTGAGCCTGATCAGTTGTTTTGCCGGCGGCGTTTTCCTGGCAGCATGTTTGCTCGACATTATTCCAGATTACCTGTCCGACATCGGAGCAGAGCTGGAAGCTCGACAGGTGGAGGTGCGTACACGAACAGACACATTTGACAAACACAGGAAATGTACATATTTATAGTAGTAATATCTACTTGTCTAATAAGTTTTATTGCTCAATCCTCACTATAAATCTAGCTTTTAAAAGCTGAGAATCAGAATATCTCAAAAGCTTTTTGTACAGATAGTTATTTTCTGTTTAAATGTCCATTTATTGGATTAAAAAAAACAAATTTTCTTTTATTACCGATGATAAAGCAGCTATTAGAGGTTTGTTATTATTTCAAAGGTTAAGATATAAAACATGTTTTTTCTTCTAAAATGTAACATGTCCAACAACATTGTGACTCTATAGAAAATGTATATTCAAACAGAATATTGTGATCAACCACCCATATAATCAGAATTGGAATCAGAAATACTTTAATGATCCCAGAGGGAAATTATTTAAGGTAATTAATTGATTAAATTATAATGGCTTCTTTGTAAAAGTGCTAAACTGAACCCGACTGATGCCCTGATCTCTGTGTGGGTCTCAAATAGACCAGCTTTCCCCTTCCTGAGTTCATCATCGCTGCGGGCTTCTTCACCGTCCTCATCCTGGAGAAAACGGTCCTGAGCTGCCGGGAGGTCCGGGGCCTTCCTGAGGAGCGGGCGCCGCTCATCCCGGAGAGCAGGAACGGCCACGCCCACAGCCACGCCCACGGCAACGCCCACGCCCACGGGGGGGCCGTGACCTCTGACCCTGAGGGCAGCGGGCACCACGTCCACGTGGACTTCCAGGCGCACTCGCCTTTCCGCTCCTTCATGCTCTTCCTCTCGCTCTCCCTCCACTCCGTGTTCGAGGGTCTGGCCATCGGCCTGCAGAGCACCGACTCGAAGGTGAGAACTCGGACCGTTTCAGCGGGTTTGTGCTCATAAAGAGTCTCAGAATCGGGGCAAAGTTAGGGCTGAGTTTCAGTTTAGAGGCTCCGAAGAGAAAACTACTTTGTTTACATGTGTGTCCAGCTGGAAGCGAACTCAGAAAATGGATATTTTAGGACACTTTTATTTGCATTTCTTAAAATAAATACCACTTTAATTTCAGCTATTTTTGTCAGGAAAAAAATAAGGCCTTTCATCGTTCGGTTGCTCTGCTCCGCGACTCTGGAGCTCTTTGCCATCTGACATCCAAAATACCGACTCTCTCCCTCTTTTCAAAACAAAAGTCTAAACCCACCTGTTTAACATTTCTTACCCACTTCACCCCCCCTAACTCTGACATTCCCTTCCCCTCATTTTGCACAGTTTTATTCATTCCATCATTATTTAGTTCATTTCTGATGTTTTTCTGATGATCCTCTTTGTAAAGTGTCCTTAAGTGGCATAAAAAGGCGCTTTTTGAAAATAAAATATGTTATTATTTGTGTTTTTTTAAAGGTTATGGAGATCTGCATCGCCATCCTGGTCCACAAGAGCATCATCGTGTTCAGCCTGTCGGTGAAGCTGGTGCAGAGCGCCGTGCGCCCCCTCTGGGTGGCGCTCTACATCCTGGTGTTCGCCGCCATGTCCCCGCTGGGCATCGCGGTGGGCGTGAGCGTGATGGAGGCGCGGCTGGCGGCCGGCGCCCTGATCCAGGCCGTGCTGGAGGGGCTGGCCGCCGGCACCTTCGTCTACATCACCTTCATGGAGATCCTGCCCCACGAGCTGAACTCCGCCGGGAAGCAGCTGCTCAAGGTGCTCTTCATCCTGCTGGGCTTCACCGTCATGGCCGCGCTCACCTTCCTGGGCTGAGGCTTTTTCCCTTTTCTGGCCTCTCTCTGAGAGGAAACGTCTTCTCTGTGCCAGCTACTGCAGCAAAACCCACAGGGATTTTTTTCTGTTGTCGTCACTTTAGAACAAAAACCCGACAATGGGGTTGTTTTTTATCCCTGTTACATCCCACCGTGGAGATTTTTTAATCAAAAGGAGGGTGGTGTTTTCTCTTGTTTTAGCTTTTATAGAAGCACATCTGTCAAACATGCTTTTCACAAATGTGTTAAAAGATGATTTTATTTCAGTTTTCTGTCTTCGGCAACATTAAGGAAACCGGAAATGAAACATGTGACACCACCTGATGACTCAGACATGCAGTGAACCGATACTTCTTAATATTTAATGTTTACATATTATCAGAAAGTCAAAATGGAAATGTGCCTTTATTTAGTTTAGTTTAGTTTTTTTAATCAATTTCACATCCCAATCAGTTCGTTGGGCTTAGTCGATTGGTTTTTCCATCTAAGGGTTCTTTGCTAGTCTGGGATCGATCTTTTTCAGTAAAAATGCTTAAATCATCTTTTCACTGAGATGATATGAAAAAGCCTCTTTGTCCAAAGAACAAACTGTAACATAAAGTGATTTAACTCAGAGGCTTTAAGTGAGGACTCAGCCAGGGGTGAAGAGTAATCCCCATAAAGTGAAACACATTACAGATTTGGTTTGTTTTAAGCTTTATCGCGTCTCAACACAACGAGACCTCTCGTTCTTCCTGTGTCTTCTGCAGCTTTTTGCTGTGTAAGCCTGCCGGGTGTTTTTGCATGTCAGCTTGCTGACACGCTAAAGGCTTTACGGGCCATTTAAAGGGAGTTACCACTGACCTGCCTCGGTCATGTGATGCTCGGACTGCTCCCTCGTCGGGACGAATGAGCAGGAAGCTGAACTTTGTGTTATGAGTGTCAGCGGAAAAGAAGAAGCCGCTTCTCCCACTCGCGTTTGGCGTCTGCTGCTTCTGAAGTTTACCCAGAAGCAGCCGGCCGCTGTAACCAATGTGTTTGTCCTTCATTCTGCTTCAAAGTGTCAAAACATTTCCTGTACAGAACACCGAGCTGGTGCCTTATGATCATGCATCTCTCTCGAGAGAGTAAAGACATTACGACACTAAAAGGAGTGAAAAGTGTTTTGTGTGTGTGTGTATTTTGGCAGTTTGTGGTGTCAGTGAGATCATGTCCAAAGGGCTTAGTTTCACTTCCTCAATTTAAATTCTAAAGCAATCCTAAAATGGGTAAATTGTGGTATAAACTGTCTTTTTGGCCAGATTTCTGCTGAGGACTCAGCTTCCGGTTTCCTCCTGTGAGGCCTTTCTGCATGTTTGCTTCATGTTTGTGTTTGTGTGGCTTCCCTCTGGATCCTCCGCCTTCCTTCCAAAAGCGCGTCTGGTTAAACGGTGTCCATAGATCCTCCTCGGGAGAGAGCGTGTGTCTCATTTATCTCTGAGATGGATCGGGATGCTCTCCATCTCCTGCCCTTTGACAGCTGGAGGAGGGTCCGGCTGCCCCAGAGTCAGTGGGCACAAAAATAGATGGATGGATGATTTCAGCCACCAGATGGGAGTGTTGACCATCAAACTGACTCTCAATAAAGACTAACTCGCAGCAACATGAAGAAAACTGAAATATAAGATTATTCTTTATACGCCGATTACTTATTTCCAACAGGCTTTTTCACTTTTAAAACCCTTTATGTTGAGCTTATGTCATCTGTCGCCTTCTCAAAAGAGGGAAAATATTCCAAAATATAAAAAATCTGTATGGTTTTAAAAAAGCTGTGTTTTGGTATGATAAGACGTCTTGTTTTAGCTCTGAAAAGCCTCATGTGACCCTTCCATCACACACAAAAACAGATATAGGCTTCATAATGTTAGATTGTCATATTCTTGTAACTCACTGGGGGTCTTAATAATCACAGTTTTGGTCACACGATGAGCAACGCTGTTCAGGCTCAGTCCTAAACACTTGTGGCTCTTTGCGGTATTTAGATTAGATAACAAAAACAAATTCAGGATTTTGAGAGGGGTTAATCAGAATCAACGCAGGCCTATTTGTTGGTGTTCAGGACGGCAAAAATGGCAGGAATTTCTTCACATGGAGCCGCAGAGACAAAAACACTCGCCCGTCTGGTGTGAGACCCAGAGGCCTTGTTAACCCCTGTTTGTCGGTCAGGGGGAAGAGGAGGTCACTCATAAACAATCGCTAATGAGAGGTGCTGATAGGGGAACAATAGTACAGTAGGTCTGCCAGCTCTGGATGACAGAGGCTCCAGTGTGTGGAGGAGGGAGTCCCGGCACAGCTCTGAGCTTTAGGGCAGTATGGACGCTTCACTTGTTCACCTACAGTTCATTCACCTCTTCCCGGCAGTAGGATTCATCTGGAAACACAGATCCAGATCTCGGAGAGTAGATGTTTTCTACTGATGCTGCTCCAGAGACTTTTATTCTCAGCTCTCGTGATGCAGAGTTGACCGAATCCTGTCCGTCAAACCTAAAGATGCTTCTCCACAACAAATCAAGACCCTTAAAAGTCTGTTTTTTCTCCTGTTGCGATGGCCTAAATGTGCACTTTCTGGGAAGAATAGAAGAGAAACTTTAGTACACAATCCAAAAACACCACAATCTAAAAAAAACCTGCAGACGTTATGTGACCTCGACAGGTTTGAATGGCAGTCTTAAAATGAGTGAAAGCAGGAGATATCTGGGTGACATCTGGGTGGATGATTTTAGTTTTGATGCGATTTTTTTTAGATTTAAGTCTCCATAAGATGAAACATAAATGACATCCCAATATCATACTCCTTTTCTGGGTCGACCTCCAATAAAAGTCTGTTTCCTGGCTTCACATTTATCCCACAGTGTTAGATTTGTCTTGTCTCATCAAACCCTATAAGAGCATCTAAAGGGATTAACTGTTTTTTTACCGGTCAAGGAGTAGAAATGCATTTAGTCATCCGTCAGGGGTGAATGACAAAGTCACCACACCCCACTGATCTGGACCCAACACTTGTTAAACTCTGAGTCAGAGTATGTCCGAATACACAGAGATGGTGAAAGATGATTTTCAGACGTAAAGACATAACAACACAGTAATGTAAGCAAAGTGGAAATTAAATTAAAACAGGTTAAGTGTGGGTGGGAGTCCATTAGTGGTCAGAAAAGAGGAACCCATGTGACTGATTCCAGGGACATCTGGTGGTCGGATGAGGAGCGACGGGAGAAGAGTGGGATGGCAGGAAAAAAATGCAGAAATTAGATCATCACTGGTCAGGAGACACACAGGAATATCACTGGAGTTGTAATAGAGCACGCCAAAAAAAAACTGGATATGTGCATTTCTGCCAAAATGGTAATAAACCATAATATTACCATAAATAAAACATATGGAAAAAATCTCTTCTGGGTACCCATGAAAGGGAAATACGGTGTATCTGATGACAGCCGTTGTATTTCTAATTCAATTTATTATTACTGCTATTTTCTGGACCATATTTTCTGTTGGAGATGAGAAGGTGGCGTTTAGGGAAACTATGTACAACAGGACAATGTGACATACTATGTGGACCTTTTTTCTGTGTGTTTAAAGATTGATTAATAAAGAAAAGTTGAATAGAAAAGAAAAATAATCTCTCTTAGTGCTGTTAGTGACTTTCGTTGCAACAAAAGTTTGGTCTTCTGATGTTGAGCAATCATGGATGAGTAATTTATAATCTGGGACATAAAACAAGCGTTCCCCCTCTAAGGAGGATTTTAAAGAATGTGCAGAGGAATTTATTCTCAGTGGGTTTGAATGTGTGAGTGCTCCTTTGCAGGTGGTCACATGACGGTCTCACAGGAGCACCAGACCAAAAAAACAAACCCAACCTGGGTTAATGTGAGGTTTAAGATTCAGGCTGAGCAAAGTGGGACGGAAAATAATGCCAAAATAAGACCAAAAACAGATCCGTATTAAGCCTTTTCTCCCCCCAGCCCCTTCCCAGGTAGCAGAGAGCAGAAGCCCTCCTCCACTCCCCTCTCAGGCTGCATTATGCAGATTAGCCACTGGTGGTAATCCACCGGGTCGTGTTTAATCCTCAGACCTCCTCCCCTCCGGTCCGCGCTGCCACTGCCGACTCCTCTCCCGCTCTGAACGTCTCTCATCCTCTCTGCTGAAGGTAAGGCCGCTCCCTGACTATCAAAAACCGTTATTCACATTACAAACAGAACACGACCGGTGTTATTTAGGATGAATGACAGACAGAGAGTATTCAATGTGTGATTTAGTGGAAGAATTGTATAATGTTTTAATTGTAGGGTTATAGTTTTGTACTTCGGATTTCACAGATTTATTGTTCAAACATTATTGAGCAAAGATCTACTTATTTGAAACTCTAAACTAAACTAAGTTATGAGTGTGGCTATGAGGCACAGCTATTTTCTTCACCTATAGTGTCATAGTGTAATTAATTTTTGCTCCGGGGTTTATGCAAACCCTCAAAATCATCGAAGATATCTCATTATTTGGCAAAAAAAGACATTTAGATAAATTCTCTGTTTCCACATCCAAACAGAAAAACAAAGGCTGACTATAATAATGTTTCATATATGACGTTTCTGATAGTATATATACGTGAAACAAGTGGTTTTTAACATGAGGTTTATGCCATTTTATTGTCAACATTTCTGAGGTGGAACATTTGGATGTGCGAGTCAAAAGCACACTGTTGTGTAATTATTTGGGATAATGCCTGCTCCTCCGACAGAGGAAGAGAACCCTCTTTATTCTTGACACTATGACTGAACCAAAGTAAAGCATCGCCTGTGTGTGTGGTGTTTATTTAACGAGGCCTGACAGCACCCGACCGCCGTGTTTCAGTCTGAAAAGAGGCTGGAGATGCTCTGATTCTGCTGATTCTTCTCTCTTTGAGGTGTTCGCGTAGCTGCTGGGAGACGCTGCGACCATGGCTGCTGTAAGTCCAAAAAAAACTCCCGGCGACTCTCGGGGAGCACTGGGGCGACCCGTCTCTGTCCGTTCCCTTTTTGGCCCCGGTTCAGTGGTTAAACAACAGGTCTGGGAGAGGAGCATTATTGGCTCCCGGAGGTCCGACCGTCAGCGCATGATGCTGCTTAATTCTGTTATTGTACCAGCAGATGCTGGCTCTCAGATAGACCCTGAAGCTTAAGAAAAGGCTTTAGAAGTCCTTTCAGTAAAATCATGTGAAGCAGATTAACCAGATGTTAACTGTTGTGGATCAGCTGGAGCAAAAAACTGAGTTTTTCAGGGGCCTGTTAAAGAGAATAAAGAGCATTGAACTGCTGTCTTGCTGTTTGGCAGTTTGCTTAGTTAGGCGGAAGAGCTGAGATAGTGATAGTCACTAATGGCTAACCCTTCCTCCTGCAGACTGGGACGTTCCGGATGGTGTCGGAGGAGGAGCAGGCCATGCGGGCGAAGCTGGAGCACCTGACGGTGAAGGACCACGGACCCGTGTTCGGGCCGTGCCCCAAACTGCCCGCCCACACCGTGCAGAAGGTCGGCCACCTGGACACGCCGAGGGGGGGTTCATTTTATTTCTTCGAGTGATTGTTTTCTTTACAGTGGTTAGCACTGTCGCCTCCCAGCAAGAGGGTTCTGGGTTTTCGAATCCCGAGGGAACCAGGACCTTTCTGGGTGGAGTTTGCATGTTCTCCCTGTGTCTGCGTGGGTTCTCTCCGGGTTCTCCGGCTTCCTCCCACAGTCCAAAAACCTGCATGTTAGGTTGATTGGAGATTGGGGAAATTGCCCTTAGGAGTGAATGTGAGTGTGAGTGGTTGTTGGTCCTTGTGTGTCTCTGTGCGTCCCTGCGATGGACTGGGGGACTGTCCAGGGTGTACCCCGCCTCTCGCCCGTTGACCACTGGGATAGGCTCCAGTTCCCCCCGCAGCCCCAATAGGGAATAAGCGGTATTGATAATGGATGGATGGATGGATAATGGATGGATGGATGGATTGTTTTCTCCGGGTTCTGCAGGCGAAGGACGAGCTGAACGAGACGGAGGCGCGGCGGGCGGCGGCCCTGCAGGAGCTGCGCGGCCTGATGAAGGAGGGGGCGGGGGGGGACGACACGGGGAAACTGGTGCAGGAGCGCTTCGGGGACAAACCCGACGCCCTGCTGCTGCGCTTCCTCCGGGCCCGCAAGTTCGAGGTGGCCAGGGCCCACGAGCTCATGAGAGGTAAACCCCCCCCCCCATGTGAGGGGCCTTTATCCCCCTCTGCTGTAGTCCTCAGGCCTTTGATTCTGCCCCTGCACACATTTTTTCAGCAGCAGTAATTAAGGATGAGCTCCCCTTTGTTTCCCCGTACGCATGAATCCCGTCCATCTCCGGGACAGCGGGGCATGTGTTCGTTAATTGGGAGCTCCGAATGCCACCGAGTCCCCCCCCCCATACAAAGAGGTTCTTTGTGTCCAAATTGGACAGCAGGTGAATTTCACTTGTGAACGCTCGGTGTTGTTCTGGGAACGGTCCCCATAACCGTCAGGACCCCGATGAGAGGACATCAGTGAGCAGAACAATCTGACTCCAGTATGGGAATTTAACCTTACAATCCGTGTGGCGTCCATATTGTTTTTCTGTTTGTTTAAGGACACAAACAGATCCAAAACGCCTTTACAGAGCAAACCAGAATAAAACCACACCCAAATCCCACATTGTTTCTTAAACATGCCCATAAATTAACAGAGAAAAAACAGTAATTAGTCACCTTGTTCTTTGATAATGAAGATTAAAAGCTGATCATCCTTAATCTACAGACACATTTTAAGTTAATCTGACACTTGATCGTTGTTTTTGCTTATCCCTTTAAAGCCTGATCCAAGAAAAATAGGAAGAATATTGGATTATTTTAGTCTAAAGTCTTTCTTTGGCCCCTCAACAACATATGAAGAAAAAAAAAACAGAAATTATTTTGATCAAATTAGCGTGCAATAAGTAAAAAATGTATTTCCGTGTAGTCTTTTACTGGCTGTTATCAGGTATATCAGAACGTGTACGACAGGGGTTTGAGCAAAGCTTTTACCACTGAATGATGCAAAAAGTCTCAGATCCAAAAGACTTCAGAAACCGAACGAATCAAATATGATACATTTGGCATTATAGGGTTATACAAGAAAGTCTAACCAAAGCTCTGACCGACACTGTGGCAGCAGGATGCTAATGTCTGGAACACGGCTCTGTGCTCTGGGGTCCTCCAGGCTACGTGCGTTTCAGGAAGGACTACCCGGAGCTGTTTGAGAACCTGACCCCCGAGGCGGTGCGCAGCACCATCGAGGCCGGTTACCCCGTGGTCCTGCCCAGCCGGGACAAGTACGGCCGCGTGGTGCTGCTCTTCAACATCGACAACTGGGACCTGGAGGAGATCACCTTCGACGAGGTGGCCGCAAAAGACACAGAGACACGCAACATCCCAAAGCCGAACGGCAAAAAAACCCCCATGTCTTTGCGTTTTTCACAGGTCCTGAGAGCCTACTGCGTGATCCTGGAGAAGCTGCTGGAGAACGAGGAGACCCAGATCAACGGCTTCGTCCTGATCGAGAACTTCAAAGGCTTCACCATGCAGCACGCGTCGGGCATAAAGACGGCCGAGCTGAAGAAGATGGTGGACATGCTGCAGGTCAGAGCGGGCGCCGTCTCCGTGGGTAACGGCTGACCGGGCCGTACGTCTGGGTGAGTGATGTGGGCCCTTCTGCCTCTCTGCAGGACTCCTTTCCGGCCCGTTTCAAGGCGGTCCACGTCACCCACCAGCCCTGGTACTTCACCACCACCTACAACGTGGTCAAACCCTTCATGAAGGCCAAGCTCCTGGAGAGGGTACGGAGGGAGAAGCACTCAGCCGCTCTGAGCTAAACTATTTCTCTTTTTTTTCTTTTTTACATATGTACAGTGGGGGAAATAAGTATTTGACCCCTTGCTGATTTTGCCGGTTTGCCCACTTACAAAGAATGCAACGATCTATAACTTTAATCATATGTACATTCTAACTGTGAAAGACAGAATCCCAAAGAAAATCCCAGAAAATCACATCATATGAATTTATAAAAATTGATAACCATCTGATGAGGAAAAATAAGCATTCTTTGTAAGTGGGCAAACCTGCTAAATCAGCAAGGGGTCAAATACTTATTTCCCCCACTGTATTTTATTTACTTTGGTATCTTCTCTTAAAACGTCTCCCGACCCTCCGCAGGTCTTTGTTCACGGCGATGAGCTGGACACCTACTTCAAAGAATTCGACGCCGACATGCTGCCCTCAGATTTTGACGGCAAAGCCCCAGTGGCCAATTACCAAGGCCTCGCCTCCAAGATTTTTGCCTCCGAAGACACTGCCCTCTGAAAACAAAACAACTCCCTCCTCCTTAAACTCGAGAGTAGAGGCCTTCACCTAAAGTTGCTTTGTGTGTGATCAGACCTGTGGACTCTAATGAAGATAGGCTAACTTTATTTTCTGTGCACGTCAGGCAGTTGGGATTAATAAAGAAAAAGCATCTAGAGTTAGAGGCAGGATCTGGAAACAGTAAAAAGAAGTTTAGATGGTGAGAATATATGATAGTTTAAAGTTAGAACTTTACAGAACTAGTGCTCGTCGTTATGGAGAGAGACGAAGAAGGGGAAGAAAGTTGAAATTATGAGACTGCAGCCTCCCTTTGGTTTGACTCAACTCGCCTTAAAAGTTTATTTTTGAGCAAAGTGCCTACAACAGTCAGAGTTGCTAAGTTGAAGTCTGGGAAAGGGAAATCTCATGCGGTGCCTTGGAATCAGTTTGACCGGTATGTTGGGAAGTGTGGTACTCAAAAAGCATTGTGAACTATAGGAATCTTTTCTGCCTGTTGCATTGGATTGGAAAATATTCAATAAACTTTTTTTTTTGTGTGCGTCTGTAGTTTATAATGAAATTTATTTTTTATTTTTTCTCTCTTTATTTTAGCTAACTTAACAGTGGAAGGTAAGCAGAACTTCCTCAAAATGAATTTTCAGTGTATTCTGACATCCTTCCCGCTATCCTGAACATCAAATATGTAACAAATTAACATGAGCAACACACACTGCATGCAAAATTTATGAAGACACGTGTTGGTAAAAGGTTGTTTGTGGTTTTCGCATCAGTGGAGTCAATGTAAAGGTGTGTTTTTGTGCATGATCTCATATCCTCAGACATAACAACTCCTCCTACAGAAAGCTGGCACCAGCTTCTGAACAGAGTCATTAACACCACGCAGGACAGAATCAATACCAATCTAAGCAAATGTTTGATGTTCGACAGGCTCAAATCGAACACTACTAATTAAATTAATAGATTTTTTTCGTTTGAGCGTAAATGTACTCTAATGGAAATAAAGCCAAGACAGACAAAAGGTCAGTGTCTGTTCTCATGAGTATGGACATCCAGCTGAAGTTCTACCTGGCATTTAAATCCATTTGGTCATGGCACCAGCATCTAATTTAATCCAAAAAAGCCATTAATGAAGGCAACTGCAGCTCTTAAAATGCTAAAATGTTTGTGAATCAAAAAGCAAAAAAAAATATGTGCAACACAATCACCAAAAGGGATATTTCATTATAATATTTCATTAAGTTATTATATTACATCTTCTCTGTATTGATCAGGGTTAAACATAGGAGTTTAATAGATTTACAATATGTCAATAAGCTGCTTAAATGAACAGGAAACGTGTTTTTCTTTTGAGAAAATAATTTAATTTGGAACACAATAACCATGTTTTTCTCACATATTCAGATCCCACACACCGACAGTTTTCCTCAACAAAAAACACCCAGTGTTCAGTATCAGAGTGCGTCATGTTGTGTGACTGTAGGCCTTTTGGAGTTATCCCCACACTCCCCTTAACCTTCGACAATTCTGTAAACACAAAATTAAAGCTGTATAATGATTGGTGGAGGTTAACACGCCGCGGGCCGCGCTCCACCTGCTTGGAGCTGAACATGGAAAATGGGTTTGTCTTGACGTCTAGTCACATTTAGAGATATCCCAACCCAGTTCCAAGCAGCCAAATGCGAGCCCACAAACTTGATGCTCGAAGCACTGGAGTTAGGATAAATACCAAGGAGCACATTCTTACATCATAACAGTAAAATGACATGTTAGATAAGAAAAGAAAATCTCACTGTTCATGAAACGATTTGGTCAAAATATACATCGCCCCTATTTTCTTTCACATGAGCATACAGATAATAAGTGTCCCTCCCGGCTGGTTATTGCCTTGGTTTTTTCATCCCTGGTCCCTAAAATATTTGAATATACGCTATCTTTATACACTTATTTTGCCTTTTATGGATTAGAATTGACAAGTTTTGGTTATCTTTGATCAGAGGCGGTGATATGACACAGTGTGCGTCCGCTGTGTGTTGACACAACCACACACTCACGCTCTGCTGAATTTGCACAAGCAAATGACACAAGGAGTCATAACGATGATACAAAATACATAAAGGAAACCTAAAAAATAGAAAAAGACTCCAAAATTGTTCGTTAGAAAAAAATACATCCAAATAATACAGCCAAGCCTGCAATTTTTCTGCAAAGTTGGAGAGAGGCAAGGATCTTAGAAAGAACGGAAATGGCTCCAACTGGAGAAACTGGGTTCATGCTGGTGTGAACGATATTCATCCGACTCCTCTACGAGGAAAAAAACGACTGATTTGTAATCAACGAGAGCTGTGGATAGGTGGAAGTAAAAACCAGAGGTGGATGAGAACTAGCTTGCAGTTTGGGCTGCCGGACAGCAGATGGCAACAGTGCCGTTAGAGGCGGAGGAAGGCTTTTGGGGAGAGAATCAGACTTTCAGTCGGCCTGCCACTGACGCTGGTCAGCTCAGTTACAGACGACTGATCGCCTCCAGCTACACCAACCGTACAGTCAAAGGTAGATCAAATAATAAAAAAAAGCTTTGGATGAGCTCCGCCCATTTTGGGAGAACATTAGTCAAATGAGAGGTGAAGCCTGGCGTCAGACTGGTGCTCGGTATTAGCAGAAGCCCTGAGTTGTTGGAGGTTCCACTGGATTAGTGAAACCCTTTTTAATTCGGTCATGCCAGCATTGGTGAAATCGATACCTGGACTCCATGGCATTTGCTGATAAAAGTATTGATCCAAAACCAGGTGGAACCTCTAAACTTCTTGGTAATGGATAAAACTTGTGTGCAGAACCATTACTGTAGTACTCCTCTGGCAAACCAAATACATCCTCCCTCCTCATGTTTGCTCACAAATGCCATCATCCAGGTATTGTTACGCAAATCCTGGCATGAGCAGCCTAACAAAAGGCACTGTTGTCAATCACTTTATCTTCTCAAACCACCCATGAGTCTCATCACAGTGTTCAGTGGCAGATTTTAGACGACTAATTTCTCGGATGGACCTTTGCTCGGAAATGTGCTTCCACGAACAAGGTTTGTGAGGATTTCTTAATCAGATCTGGGTTTTGACAAAGTCCACAGGTCCCAGAACGGCCGGGACTGCTGTATGATTTGATCATGAGGTCTGTGAACACCTTTTACTTTTTGAGGCTGCAGTGCTGGGACGCCTCAGAAACACCTCAGAGAATAAAACAAGATGTCCAATAAAGTCATTTAAAAAAAAAAAGAAAGAAAAAAAACTTTCCAAGAATTAAAAATATTTTCGCACCCAGCATTCATGGTTGTCTAATTACACAATATGACAATCACCTTTTGCTCCTTTTTTTTTCTTTCCTTTTTTACAGAGAATCCACTAAACTAAACATTTGGATAATCTTTGGTATCTTTAGCCCTCCTACTCATCAAACCTCACAGCTCAAATTATAAACCAAAAAACAGCTTCCAGCTGCTGAACTTATTCCCTTTAATAGCACCACATGGGTAGAACAGTGCACTGCGTTTTCAGTATTATAAAACCACTGCTGGTAGTTTGGGCGTTCACACACTGAACAAAGTGTAAGGGGGCTGTTTCTGTGCATGGGGGGGGGCGTGTCAGAGTCTTAGCTGGACCTGCAGCTGATCAAAGGCAGAAGAAAGTAAGAGGGCTCAAAGACACTTGATGACAGACAACACAGGGAACATCTGAGTCATTTAACATTTAGTTATCATCCTTGCTCCCTTCAGTCGTTCCTCTCTGTCATAGGGACAGCTGAACTCATAGTAAATCTCCATATCTGCATTCCAGTACTCAGAAAAAAACAGATTGTGGCATACAGCGTGTAAAGTGCACTGAATCAAAGTGAGAATGAGCTCGTGGGAATGTGCATGGTTCCCCTCTGGGCCTGATCCGTGGCAATGTTTGGTAAGCACTGAAGTGCCGAACAAAAAGTGCCAGGAGGATGTGGTGAGCAGGAGAGGGGGGGGAAAAAAAGTATGAAATCCCACTGTAATACTTATCTTTTTCTACATTACATTTACTACAAACAACAGCGCAACGATCACCCCAAATAACCGACAATAAAAGGGTCAACAGACCGAGAACAGAGGACCTGGATCGGAACGACCCGAAACAAAGAACACGTGTCCCCTTCATGAGCTTCAGCTCTTGGTCTGATCAGGCGGACAGAGGTGCACTCACCACTCCGCCAGCTGCACACACACACACACAGACACACACACACACACACACACACACGCACACAGAGACAGACAGACAGACTACAAAGATGCTGTGTTGGTTAAGACAGCAGACTAGGCTATGTGGCCTTGGCGGTGATAAGCAGTGAGTTTCTTACAGGTGCGTTAAATAAGCACCGACTGTCTTTGCTAACTGTTTTCTGAGGCTTCTTGTGTGCTGTTTTATAACTCGACAACTTTAGAGTCGTACTCCTGTGTTTCTTTTAATCCTCGACTTAACCGGTTAACCGAGAGTCGCGGTGGAGTCGACGCGGGGCTCCGAGTCCTCACACCGGAAACAAGCAGGAAGGCAGTTATTTTAGTCTGTTCACACACTGTAAGGTGATGGGGGGAGGGGGGGAGGGGGGGGGTAAAGGCCTGTGATTAGGAGGTGTGGGTCAGAAATGGTGAGTAGCACCAGAGGAGAAGGCAGAGAAGAGAGCAGTTTTTAAGTGTTTCCTCTGTGCGGTGTGGGTCAGTGCAAAGGGCAGGTGTGTGGGGGGAGAGAACTATTGAACAACAAATACAGTTCTAATCTTTTTCCTGGACGCAGGGGATGGTACTCAGGCCGACACTTTGGCACGGTGGCTTCTGTTTCTCCCACTGGCACATGGCGTTGGCGTAGCCCACAATCACTTTGTCCATCCAGGTGAGCGGCTGTGGGAAGAGCACGTCCCCCTCGAAGAAGCCCAGGTGGCCCCCGTGAAGCGTCAGGGCAAAGATCACGTCCGGCTTCTTTGCTGATGGACGGCAAAGCACAGAGAAATGACTTAATGAATGACTTAATAAAGAGCTTCTGAAAACCGATCCCACAGAAACCCAAATATGGGCATGTTAGGTTTTATTCCATGTGTGCTGATGATAGTGAGGGTGTGTTTGCTTGGCCAGGCAGATAACGGCCTGAATAAACTTCTGGCTGCTCGATAAATATTTTGTTTTTCCAATGGTCACCGTGGCAACTTCAGTCTTGTAATGTGGAGGTGATTTTAAAAATTGTGATATGCAAATACTTCTAAGGACAAGTTTTCCTCGACTAACAGGTCCTGCACAGACACTGTTATGTTCGGGTAACATAAAATTAATATGTGGACACACCGGTCTGTTTCCTTTTTTAACAGAACAAAAACATGAGCCGTTTTTTTCCACAATGCTCATTGTCATGGCCCACAACAAACATCTTCCAAAAATCCAACCTCAACAATGCTTAGACTTTAGGATATGACATTTCCCTATGCCGCTGTATATTTCCACATGATTAATGCATAAAGAGAGCTCTGTCATTTGAATATGCTGAAGGTCTCAGAAAATGTTGTTTTACGCTTTTACCCTTTTTGTAAAAGCACAGGTACACAGTTTTTAATCTATTTATGAGGCCAGAGATGTTTGTTTATGTGATCCTCTAGTGGATTCATGCACATATTCATACCTTGTTTTGTACTACTTCATAATATTCAACACCCTGAATGCAAAGCAGACCATCTATAAACTGCAAACTAACAAGAATGTATTTGATTGATATAAAAAGCTGTAGACAACCAGGCAAAGGGGTCTCATGAAAAGGATTGGCCTGGATCTCTTATCTGGGTTAGTGGGGGAGCCTGACGTGGATGAACACTGATTGGGATCCCACGGGGCTTTAAACACTGTGCACTATTCGTGACAGTTGCAGAGCTGCCTTCAGACCAGTAAGTGCTTGGCCAGACTCTGGAGTCCCCACTTCAGCCGGCGCTGAGTGACAGGCTGGAACCAAATGGTCTGGACGGCAGCTCAGAGTTTAAAAAAAGAAGGCCTGAGCACATGGGCGCGTCACTGAGCGGGACATGACTGTGTCGAGATATTTCTTCCTGTAACAGCACTCAAAGCTTCTACTTTATCCAGTTTATCAAAGCCACGTTCAGCACATTTAGGCATTAGAGGTTGAAAACACAACAAGTTTTGCATTTCCCAAACCCAATATAACGGCTTAGTTCAAACAACTGACGAATTATTGAGGGTTAAACTCTTGACCTGTGAGTCTGAGTCACTGCATCACACCTGCTGCTGAACGGGAAGCTAATCCACTCCTCTCTAAAGAGTAGCTCTTTATCCTCTGTGTAGGAAAAAGTTTCACATAACTCCTGTCTGGACTCATCCGCCCACACACAGTCTTTCATGAGGAGTTACCCATTTCCAAAATAATTAAGTGCTCAGCATCTCTAAATATAGCACAGCCAGAGGGGAAGGAAAGCTTGCTGCATACGGGACAAGCGACACATTGAAACTAATATAATAAATTCCACAGGAAAACATCATTTTTGGGAACCTGTGAAGCCATTCAAGTATCTTTAAAGAGAGAGTGAGAAATACTTCTAATCCTGGCTGCTGCGACACACCAGAAAACATTACTCAGGCCTTAAGGTTTGCGCCACACCCTGTCCTGGTCAGACTGCAAAGCCAGCTCATCAGAGGAGCTTTTGAGACGGTGGTAATGTTTTCTGAGAATCAGACAGGACGAGCACGCTGTGTTAATCCAGGGAAGGGCGCATAAACAGTTCAGGTGACCTCATCTACACAAGAATGGGCCTTTGGAGCTGCTACTTCCCCTTTTGGAACTTGTTATCATTAACAGGACTTTTGGAATCAGAGGCCACTCTTTACTCAGTTTAACACAGGCTTATTTTACATTCTTTAGCTTGACTATTGGATAGCTGATGGTCAATCCCCACCCAGAAGGACAGCAGCCTCATTGTTTGAACCTAAAGCTGAAATGTGAGTCATTATATACACAAAATTAAGTGATCGTGCTGTAAAATGAGAGCTAAATAAAAATGTAATAAATCCCTCCAAAATATACTTTCTGGTTGCTGAAGAGAAAAGGGATTTTTAGCTCTGAAAGGTGCTGTTTATTACCTGCTAGTGTGCGAGGGATGGCGAGAAGCGAGTCATGAACCAGAGGATCATCTGCGGTGTTTACCAGCAGCAGTGGCACATTTACCTGGAAATTTGAGGATAAAATGACATTCATCTCATAAGAATACAAACAGATCCAGAAGGGAAACATGAGCCTATATTAAATGTAAGGTGAAATGGTTCTTACATTGTGAATATAATTCACACAGCTCTCCTTCTCATAGTACTCTTTGAGGGAGCTGTGACCGTGGAATTTTCTGTTAAAACATACAAAAAGTGTCAAAAGTCAGTCATTTACAACAGTGAAAACCATGAGAATTGAACTACTACTTCAGATGTATTAATTTCTCAGCTCTGGCTAAAAGCAACTGTAAAGTGATCCAACACATACCTCATGATGTTGTCATCAATCTGCATGAGAGAAGTTGCCGTGTAGAGCCGACTGAAATCAGCATCTATCATTTTGACCGAGCTTCCTCTAAACAGACTGTGCCTATGGAAATACAAACCAGCATCTCATTTCAACAAAAAAGTGGACTTGAGCAGGCTGAAAGTGTCCTTTTAAGATATATTTGGCCCCAAAATAACTGGGAGAGCTGCGTTCTAAGATTTTAAGTAGTGACTTCAAGTAACCAAATCTATGCTCTTAAGAACAAAACCATAATCATTTCCATAATCTGCCCCCTCTAAGTGAATGCAAATGTTTATATAATGAGCAAAGCACCGCCTTCGCCCATATCTGACAGTATTCAACTTTTCAACAAGTAGCAATTCTAGCAAAATAGTTTGAAAATGCTTCATGTGCAGCAGCTGTACCTGTGGGAGAGGATAATTTTCTTCATGTTGTCGGCCATGAGGAAATTATAAAATCGCCTGAACTGATCCCATTGCAGGAATGTTTCCTGAGCCCTGAGAGAAAAAGATAAAAACACAGGAAGTCAGCTTTGTGCAGCCCATCCACATTCCACCAAACACACTGAATGTCCTGTTTAATCCACAAGACAAAGGGGATTGTGGGCGGGGAGGACAGACGGTGTCCGGCATCAATATTCAACGCAGCAACAGCGAGAGGCTGAAATAAAATAACACCCTAAAATACCCTGATATTCATACGAACGTATGTTTTGTTTGCAGAACTTGTATTCAATTTGATGCCAGAAAAGAAGAAAAAATAGAAAAAGTAGACAAAACAGCTGACCGCTGATGACTGGTGGTCTTTTGCCAAACATTTATTTGTGTTAAACAAGCACAGATCATTTTCCTGCATTACTTTACATTTGGAAATGTGTGCACACAAAATGCCTGTGTCATAAAAAAGCTCTGATGAACAGATGAACCCACCTGAGAGCGCTGTACCCCTGACAGACGCTCACGCAACACAGCACTCGCTCCTGGTTCGTCCTGTTCTCGCCCAGGAACTTGCATACAATGTTCCCACCCAGGCTGAAACCTACAACGATCAGGTGGGTTTGAGGATACGTCCGCTTAATGTAGCCAACCATGGCTGAAAACTCCCAGGTGCAGCCTGTATAAGGGGCAGAAGCACAGAGGCACATTACATGAAATTCAATACATGAAGCCACACTTCTGCATGTTGGAGTGTTTAATGCTGCTCAGCTTTTCTAGATGAAGGTGCCTTTGCTTCAGAGTATCACATTCATGTTCCCATGAGCTCCATTGATCGGTCTTAGCTCCCATTACTTCAATCCTAATATTCTTGAGCATGGTAACAGCTCAAGATTCATTGTAATATAAAAAAAACATGCCTAAATAAGTCAGAATTCAATATGGAAATCACTAAACCACATTAGATGGTAACTAATGGACTTAACTTTTGGTATTTGCTAAGAGGTAATGCTTTAATTGTGCTCATTAACATTTCTTTAGCTCGAGTTTAGTGGTCATCAGACCTAAGGCGTCATTGGTATAATGAAAGAATTGCGAAGTCAAACTCGAGCTTTCTCCTCGGGCTCACCGTAAGTGAACATGCGTGGAGACGTGAGCTCGATGTTGGGCAGAGCACCGAGGTGGTTCAGCACAGCACAGCGGTAGCCGTCTTTCTGCGCATAGTCCACGAAGGTCCGGATGTAATGCTTCTCGCTATGGTTACCGATGCCAGGGCATATCACCATGGTTACATCATCTAAAGAAACAGACAGATTAATTGGAAAGACATTTGCCAGTGAGTGTTATGGAAGTAAAGACAGGGAGGAGAGTATGCCACTCTCCGAACAAGCAGAGCACAGTAACAAAGGACCACGACAAAACACTGGAGCCAGTCTACAACAACAGGTTGGGCTGTTTCCTCTTTAGTCAAATGGAATAGAAACAGTAATGCTCATTATTTTCATGTCCTGTAAGGCTTAATTTATCTGAGAGTACTACAAGATCATACGGTAGGGTCAGGGTTCCACTGAGACCCTCAAAGAAAAGGATCCATTGTTAACATGGTTCTCACCTACACACGTTATGTCCAAAGATCAATAAGTCACATAGCTCCAGCTTCCCTGGTTTTCTTGGATGTCAATGAAAACAAGGGAAGAATTCTTTTGACAATAACGCTCCATTCAGTTTTCTCAAATAGCTTGTTTTTTTCCCTATGAAATGAAGACCAGATGTTGCCCAAACAGCCTCTCTGAGACAAAGGTTTGTCTCAGAGAGGCTTTAAATTCTAAGATTTTATTCCTGATCCTCGAACAGGAAAAACTATCAGGAACAAGAAAATGGAAGAAACCTCAAGAAGATCAGCACGGAAGGGGTCCCTCGTCCAGGATGGACAAACACTCAATAGGTGTCGCATGAAAAAACTAGACAGAAGTAGCAGCAGTACATTTCAAATTATCAGAATTACAGTTCTACTAGATGTACAAAATATTTAAGATTTAAACGTTTGACATTGCATTTCAAAACTAAATTTTCTGATTAGTTCAGGGGCAAGAAAAAGGTGAAACTTTAACAATCAAGAATCTAATGATATTGAATAATTAATTCAGACAACCACAGCCCAGGCAAGGCCAAATCCACATTAGAGATGCAGCAGAATGAACCCAGGAGGGCCGTTCAGCATCCATCTCCTGAATACAGCTGAGCACAAAACACCTGCTTAGTATCATGTCTGCTCTGCAGCTACATGAAGGGGATGTTTGGGCTTTTTGTTGCTAAGGGCTGCAAGACAGTTTATTCCATCCAAGGTTTCAGTTGTTATTTCCACCTGCGCTGTAGCTGTTGAATGGATGCATTCAATTAAAGATTACTTCAGATTTTTACAGTTTTTTTTTTCCCCATTGTGATTGTTATTGTGTATTAGAAGAGGATAAAGCTCATATTTCATGTGCAGTTCATCCACAGACATGAGATAATTCACCCACTTTTTCTTGACACTGCCATTAGAAAAGTCTAAAAATGTCAGGTAATAAAAACATATCCTGAATAAGTGCATTACCTCCTGTTCGGTGGTCCCCCAGCGGTTCAAACAGGTCGAAGGTCGCAGTGGCCCCGTCCTGCATGGGTAAATACTTTCTAATTCCTTTGGGGTGAGGTGAGCTCACCCGACCGAGTTTACCGTACAGGGCTGTTTGGAGGTGACCGCTCTTACCCCACAGTAAGGGAGGAATGTACCTGGAAAAGACAACACTGGACTATTAAATTTGATGTCAAAACACAACTATTATGCTCACAAAGACTAAACTGATGCCAAAGTAATTCATCAACACAATGGGAGCGCTGCCCTGATGGTTTACGACACAGACGTGAACATCAATGTACAGGGTTTGCATACAAAGTGACATTTCTGCTGCAGCTTTTTAAAGATCACTCACCCTGAACAGATTATTCGTGCCTGTCTGTTGCTATGTTTTGCCAAGTTATGCTTGGTACGCATATTTGAATTCCAGTGACACCTCTGTGGGAGTCAACTGTGGGAGTTAGACCTCTGGATTACATAACACTGCTTTGAAAAGATTCGCATTATACTGAATTTCCCTGTAGAGAACCAAATAATATGGACAAAACTAACAGGAGAATCCACTGAGATGGTGCTCCTTACACTTCCCACTCATATTAAGTATACTGTATATTTACACTAAAGCAGGATGATCATTGTTTTAGTGTTAAGCAAAAATAACAACAGTGAGATGTAATATACGATGAGCTTACGTGACAATGTTCTCAAGAAGGTCACAGCCTCCCCTTTATAACCGTTCAGCTGTTTCACAGCAGCAGAGGAGCAAATATTTAGTGCCTTGTTCACTCCGTGTCTCAACGTGTCTTTTACTTTCATGTCTTCTATTTAGATCTGCTGGTCAAAAGGTGAACGCCGGGCAGTTTCAGCCTGACAGCGACCTTTAGCAGAGCTGCTCTGTGGACACGAATGTGCACAGTACACTGCCCACAGAACGGGGACATTAAGTAGATGAAGGGAGTCAAGGGTTTGGTGACATCAGTAGTTACACAAGCACTTTGACCCTGTGCTTCCTCCTCTATTAGTGGGCCTCTAACAATTACTGCACCTAGAAAAATACAATGTTATGTAACAGAGTTGTCAAAGAGCAGACCACTCCCCTTTGGAGATAATGTAATTACCTCCAACATGCACTGTAACAGTAGATTAAGCTTTCTAGAAGGTACTAAGATGGACTACGGGAAGAAGATAAGCTCATCTTTATCAGTAGGTGAGGAAGATATGCCAGATTTACTAAGTACAGTGATAGGAAGCTTCAACTTATCAGTTTCTCAGTTCTATTTTTTAAAATTATTTGTAACTACTACCACCAATAACAATAAAACACATATGTTGTATTATTACTATGATCAAATATGAATAACCAAAAATATGTGTACATTTTTTGTATATCTATATTTGTATATCAAATTTGTACATCTTTTTGTATCTATTTTGTATGCAAAACGTATCTGGATTGTTTTGCACTAAACAACCTTTGGAAAAACAGAACAGTCCAAAATATACTGTGGATATTTTTTTGCATTTGTAGCTTTTAGAGCTGTGAATGTCACCTTCAGACACAATGTGCCTGCTGCTGCCCTTCATAGCCATTAGGTAACAGAGCAGCGTGGTTTCAACATGATCCAGTCTCCGTGATATGTGGTGAAGCAACAAATAATCCCAAAAGTCTTGTGCTGACACTCTTAAGGAGAAATGATGCTTAAAACAGAGGATTCAAACTCAAATCAACCTGAAAGCTTTCCTTAATCTTTCGTTTCTGTCCCTTGTTATTTTTAGACTCCCTGTAACTACACTTGCCCTTGGATGCTGCCGGGTTACACATCTCTGTGATATTGTTGCCGTTTCATGCCTCAAACTTAATGTCACGCTGAACAACTAGCGGAAAAACATTCAGCTGGGAGTTACTGGTCCCCCAATTGCTTGGTTAGAAGAAAAATACTCTCTGCTCCACTGTCCTGTGTTGGCCAGAACCCCAGGGCGCATGTTCCCAAACACAGACAGACAAAAATGCTGTGGACTCCGTTAACCTTAACCCCGTTACCAAAACCCCTTCTATTGACTGATTGATCCATTACGCAACGACGCAGGGTGGCACTACCAGACCAAAACATGACCTCACAGCATCAGCAACAGAGACAGGTTCCAGGACTTCAGTCTACTCGGTTCAACAGGGCCAAACACGTCTGAGTGCTGAGCATAAGATGGCTGTTCAGGAATGATAACAAACAAGAGCCAGAGAGGCTTGTGATTCACTGCAGCTGAAACGCAGAGGGTCCGGCGACATTCGGTTATGTAAGCAGGAATTCTCCTTTGACTCTGTTGAACATCAAGTTCCTGTTGAATTTGCCATGTTAAATGTCTGTTAGATCAGAGAAAAATTTTGCTCTGTTCCAAAACAGGTGGAGATTTTCATGTCGTCTTCTAGTGCTTTGAGCTCAACTGGAAACCTGCTGTGGTCTCCACACAGAGGAGTTGCCATGCACGAAAAACAACAAGCCAAACAAAAAAAACAAAAAAACACCTGTTTGCATCAGTTGCTCTGAGAGGGAAACCAGCCTCGTCATAAATGCAAATGCCACCAGAGTGCGGTGGATCACTGCATACATAATTCAACTGTGATGAAACCCGGCCTACAGTTGGGATAGCCCCAAAAATACAGCCTAGTTTTTTATTCATGACGGAGCTAAAGCCCAAACACATCCGGTGGAGACATGCAGCAGAGTTTGGTGACATGGCCAGAAAAAGTGCTGCCTTCACTGCAGATGGCTGAGGCGCAGCATCGTTTCCGAGGCAACACCTTAATCGACTGAAACGGAGCTAAAGGGGCAGCTTACTCTTTGGTCAGCTGGGGGCAGGACTTGAGAAGGAAGCGGTTTAGGGGCGTGTCCTGGTAGATGAGGTCAGGGGCCGCGGTGGGGCTCTTGAGATTGAGGCAGCGGACGATGATGTAAAGCACGGTGGCCACGGCCGCCAGCTTCATGCCGTCGAACATCAACGGCATCTCCGGGGAGATGGTGCTCACGTCTGACTCGTGGACACTCATGATTATGCTGGAAAACAAAAGCCCGGAGTTCAAGGTCTTCTTTTGTGGCATTAAATTAAAAAATGATTTAATCTTGAATGATGAAAACAGGACTGTTTTCTATGAGTCCATGACTACAAAGCACAGATGGCTTCCACAAAAAGAATAAATTCACGTCAGTTTTTTTCTGGACAAGATTAAGAACCGAAATTGATAAAAGAAAGAGCTGGAGATCAGTGATTCACCTGAATATTCCTGGTGGTGCCCGTCAGTCGGATCTGTGGGAATAGAGTGAGAGCAGATAAGACACGCTGGCTTATGCAAAGCTTTTATCTTGATTGCATTAAAAATCACCAATAGGAAGCTCTGAAGATATAGTTGCTGACAATACTTTAAATAAATGATCGTAGCCAGATTAACGGTGTTTCTTGAGCATCGCTTTCCTTATAGAGGTGTACTTTATCACAATTGCATTAAGCAGAAACAGAACATCTAAACAGAACAGAGAGCCCATGCTAAACCACAAAAAAGGAAGCTATGACTAAGAGTCACAGATGACTTCAGTAAAAAAAGGCGAGGAAATATGTTGTAACTCTGTGTTGTAGACACAACCTGCAATGATAACACAATAAACAGTAAGCATGAAACCCAGAAGAAACTTTTACTCACATTTTATACTAAAGTTTTCCTTCAATAGCAAAAAATGCTGAAGTCACAGTGATGTGGTCAAACCTAAAAACAGGAAAATGCAATGAGATATTAATGATACGATGAAATCGACTTTTCCATTTTTATATCACTGTTTTGAGGTCTGTTATATCTGTTTCTCAAAATGTATTCCCATTATTGAATCACAGGCCACCTATAAAGCACTAAGTCACCAAATTTATTTCATTTAGTGATAAAAATATCTATTTGTGAACAGATTTTGCTCCCACCATCAAGAAAAAAAGAGCTTTCATCAGTTTTTTTCATTATTACTTCATACTTCTGCCACTTCTACTTGAAAACACATTACAAGACATTGGGAGCGGTTGCGCCCTGTTGCCTGATGCTTAACAATATTTGCTTGATTCATATCACAGTGATTGCCAAACAAAGGAAGCCGTATGACTGCTCCCTGACAACCCGAATTTATGGCCGTCGCCTGGAGGAAGAGTCTTGGTCCAAGTCCTTACATAGTAATGCGTTTACACAAGCATGACCAGTAAACTAATTCAACCTCAAACAGACATGGAAACCAGAATTATCTAGAAGCTTAAAATTAGTTTAATTAATAAGGTCACTCGTGCTAATTTGGGAATAGATCCATCAGGCCATAGGGATAAAGAGTTACAGTCAGATACCTAAATATATGACAACAAAAAAAACGCTGACATAACTCAAAACAAATGCAAAACATGAGAAGCTTGCCACAAAAATACCACCCAGAACTGAAAAAAGACCACAAAAAGAAACAGTTACTTTCTACACATTGGGACAAAAAACAAAACAAAAACACAAAATAATAAAATATACAAGGTGAATAAACCTACTATATCTGTATGAAAACAAGTTAAAGAAATTGATAAAAGATTTTGTGCAGAATTACTGAGAAGATTTTTTAAAAAGTTATCTAAAAAATGTGCTATTCCTAGGATTTTTTCCCCCCACAAAGTAGAAAAATAATGCTAAGCTTCTAAGATACAGAAAAAAGTGAAAACAAAAAAACTTGTGTATCCTGAGTGTATTTCCAAAGTCTTTTTTTAAAGCCTGGACCCCTCTGAACGCAGGAATCTGTAGTTTCACAACTCATGTCTGATCTCAGTCTAACTGGGAGCTAAACTGAACACTGAGGACAGGTGTTTCCTCTCTGCTCTGTTGTTCCTGGTTCTCTGCTCTCCCTCGGTTCTTCCTCTTTGTCACGACTCACATCCAGACCGTGAAACCGTTTTAAGAACCGTAACGGCTTCCGTTTATGGCCGTTAGCCCATGTAAACACCCTCTCGGAGGGAGGACAGGATGCTGGCCGGACAGCTGGCTCCTAACTGCGCAGGCCAAAAGTCTCAACTCCATCCGCGTCCATTGTGGTCCCTGAATTTCTAACCGTGTTGCTTTTTGACAGAATTTCCTGTCCACCCACATTTAATAGCCTGTATTCTTTTCGCAACCAATTTTCACCAAAAAACGACACCTTATAACGTCGTTCACGTTCGCTTAACGACCGTTTAATTATTTTTTAATCAAACTGGAGAGCAGCTAACGGTCCAATTTTCTGCTGTTATACAAAGATAGACTGTAGGACTGACAAGCGACATCTACCCAGCCTCAACAGCAGCAGCAGCATCCCCGTTTACTTACCTCAGCTGGACGAAAAGAAAAAGTGTCCTCGCTGCTTCAAAGCGGCAGCCTCAAACGCATCCGCGGCGTCTCATTTGTTTAGGTAGCATTCGCGGCCAGCGCATAGTGGGATGGTACGAACCAGGTCCTCGGCTGAAAGATTAAAATAAAAAACAGAAAAGGAAAAAAACGCAGCTAGCCGCACTAGCTGGAACAGCATTTACAGCTCTGACAGCCCACTTCCTAGAACAATCTGCTAATTAGCATCTCTGTCCGGCTATTGGTCAAATCTGTCTGTGACGTAGCGACAGACAGTTTTCAACAACCCCCCAAGATCATTCATTTTGAAAAATGATTATAATTTCCTTTTAGTTAGATAATTGTACACATTCTGACAAAATGTGCTGATAAACATCAATAATAAATGCCTCTAAAAAATCATTTTTGGATGAGACAGAGTTGTAATGAGTGTCACTAACCACCGATGGCGTACTCCCTGCACGTGCTGGGAACGTGAGTTTAAACTGTTGTATAATTTTTCACCTCAGGGGTTGGATAGGTAAAACTGGCTCATTGTTATTGTCATTTATTGAAACACCACAACACAGCCTTTATTGATAAAACCTGTGCAGTTCTAATAATGAATACATTTAATTTCTATTCAGCCATACACACTCTAAAAAACATGGCAACTGCAGATATATAAGAGCTTCTAGGGTTGTTTTAGTTTAAATGAATCTTTTTTGTTTTTAAGATGTTTGATTAAACAAAACTTTAAAAATGCCTGTCACGTTTAGTTCCCCTGGGACCTCAAGTGGGAGACACTTGTATTGCAAATACAACATAATCATCACCAGATGGCGACAGAGTTTAAGAAGTTATTTTGTTTAGTTGTCAACATATCCACGAATATGTCTCTGTGTGGGCCTACTTTTAAAAATTCCCTGTTAATGTTTAAGTGGCTCATTGATTTAACTAATTTATGGAAAAAATCTTAAATAATAAGTCCAGGTGTAAATTTATTTATTTAAGGGGTAAATTTCTTTAAATAAAGAATAATCTCGGTCACTTTCTCCATACATGATTCAATGTGTTTGTTTATTTTATAAAGACATCTATCAATAGGTTATTTCATTAAATGAAAGTAATTGCCCTAATCTAATGAATGCTGATGGCAAAGCGAGAGGCCTGATGACTGAAGCGGACTGGGTGCTGCTTTGTGCCCACATGGCTGGCAGCAGTCAAAAGCAGATTTTCCCACAGGGATTATTCGAAAGAGCCCCCATGTTAAATCACTCCTTTTCTTGGCTTCTTGTTAAGGCAGGATTTAACTGGCACGGTTGCTCTATCATCAAACCAATGAGAGCTCTTTCTTCATGATTTTTTCTATACATCTCATTTATTACAATTGGAAAAATCCCTTCAATAATCTGTTATAATCTGTTTCCATCCAGCCTGTCAGACCTCTGAGTGACATGGTGATGCCTTTATGTGCTCATCATAAAATAAGTTATCCAACAACAGTTGTTATGTCATGGGTTGACATGGAATAACAGAAATAACTGTACTTTTAGACTTTTTGAAAGAGTGCGATAGCTTTTTTTTCGATTACTGTATCATAATGACAAAGAATAAAGGTAATGTCTGTTAGATCTTTTGTAAGTAACAGTTAAAAATGCCTAATACAATTTACTATTTTTTCCCACCATATTCAATTATTTGATTGTATTTGTCTATTTTTAAGGAAGATATTAACTATGAGAATTAGTGGAGTACTGAACAACGGGAAAAGTAAATGCAAGACGTGAACAGTAGGCGGACATTAGATCAAGCTTCGGTGGACTTCTCCGCCCACTAGAAAACGTCATAAATCGTCACCTCAGTCGGGAATTATCAGCAAAAAAATCTGAGCTCCCTCGGTTGACAACTCATTCTGAAGTACCATTTTTCCGACGGTACTTGAAGGTGGCATTACTTGAGTTTGGCAGCTCAGCGACAAACAGCCCGAACAGACCAAACTTTGGGTAAATAAAGATGAAACGCACTGGAAAAGCGATCACGGTGTATTTAGGAGCGTTAGGTCTTCTGCTGGGTCTCTACACAGTCAGAGGTAAGTGGGATTAGAAACTAACGACGTGTTTCTCAACTGATTTTCCGATACAAAACTTCTCTTAAGCTCTTGTTTGTCGCTGTGATGTGTTTGCAAAAATAGTTTATATTATTGCTATTTCTGTCTATCTGTCTATCTATAATTTCTTTCTCTTTCTCTCTGTCTATGTATGTGTATACATATATATACACACACTCTACACAATAAATAGATAGAATTTATTTGGGATCATTGAAATGCTGGCTTAGAAAGTTTCTCCTTGTTTTTACATAGTCTTTTCTTCTTTTCCTGGAGTAATCACCCTCAGATTAATGTATCTCTTTCTGTTTGGAACCTGTTTGGTTTCTTTTGCTTGTTTCTCTAGTCTGTAAATCAACATACACAGTGTGTCGTGAGTGTTACTGATTAAACTGGTTTCTCTTAAAGCCTTGGTTTTTCCACTCTTCACGTAAACGCACCATTTGTTAATTGTATTGACTAGCAGCTCTGAAAAATGTTATTATTCGGCCATTTAAAAACATTCCTCTGGGTGCTGGATCCTTCTGGGTGCTCCGCTCAGAGGGCAGTTGCTCTGTAATCCGTACACACCGATTACTCATCTATACCACTTTATTATTTTCATGGCAGAGTGTGTGATTCAATGTGGCAGAACTGTTATTACACAGGAGACTGTTATTAACCGGTGGTCATAGTTGCTAGAGCCTGTATTTGTGCCTCCATTGCTCCATTCACAGGCGTTTTATGTGTGTAATATTCATATGGGAAACAGAATGAACCCCCAAAGAACGCACATCCACCTGGAAATGCTGTGTTGAAGTTCACACCTGAGGACACCTGTGTGGTCACTTGAAAAAGGAGGAGCAGATGGAGTAAGAAAACACCATCTGTGCTCGGTCTGGGGCATTCAGGAACCAGCTGTCGGCTCACCTAACTTTGGATCGACCTGCGGGACTTAAATGTGTCAGTCGACACATGTTTCCATCCGGTGCTTTGGCCAAAGCTTCGTCTGTCGCCGGTGATGCTCGCGTGCCTTCGGGTCCCACATGTTGTCCACCTGTCGGTCAGGTGTTCTGCGCGGCCGAGCTGCTCTTGTGTAACTGCTTGGTCCTGAAAGAACCACATGCCGGCTAATCCGGCAAGCTCTTAATCCCGGCCGTAAAGAAGTTCAACTGTCTGCAGTGGCTTGGAATTAACAGCCTCGACAACTGTTTTCCTTTTTTAGTAGAATATTTATTTTAAGAGCAGGCTTTAAATATATATTTTGCTGATATATATATATTTTTCAGCCTCTTCTTTCCCTCATAAAGAACCACTGGAACTCGTGTTAACGGTAGCTGCCAGATGTGGGAGGTTATAGTTAAAGGGTTTCAATTTCTGATACATCAGCCTGTGTTTCTATAACTTGTTTTCCTGTGACAGCAGGTAAAAATGAGAAATGGGGTTCTTGTCAGGTCTTAAGACAAAGTAAACACAACTTCCAGTGGACAGCAACACAATGTGTTTTACACAGTCAACAGGAAACAAAAAGTCCAGTATTAGTGTGGGGACAACACGGATTACACCCTATTAGTCATGATCACATACAACAGCTTTTGGCAGGATTAGCCTGAAGTAAATATTTTCTAAATGGCATTCAGTCCCCTCGTTTTCAGGTCACTCACATTTTGTACCCTTTGATTAGGCTTAGCTCCCCGTCACAACAGACTGAGGCCCGGACTGTTGTAGATCTGGAGCTGTGTTTGAGGCCGTTTGTTCGTCTCTGGGTCAGCTCCAGCTGTGGGACACACAGCTCCCATCTGACTCTAGAATACTTTTGCATCCAGAGGAGTTCATGATGGATTTAATAACAGCGAGTTTCAAAAGTCCTGTGGCTAAAGAAGAAGCCTAGACCATTGTTAGAATTTGGCTATAATTACTCACTTTAGCATAGTATGCTATCACATGATCTCTGTTAATTACTGATTGTCTTACTCTTTTTAGAACTTTACTTTTTGTTAAAGTCTCTGGCTGTGTCCACAGACTCTCCTTTTCTCTTTTTCTTTCTCTGTTGAATTAGACCCACCTTTAGGTCAACACACACACACACCATTTGTTACCACATTCCTGTCATTTGCATGAATTAGGACCTGGCCTGTTCATGCCCAGAGGTAACTGGCCAATAGGACTTGGTTGTGTCCAGTCCTCCTTTGAGGAGGCGGATCAAGCCCAGGAGATGATGCCCATCATTTTTTATACTTTTGATCCACTCTGGTTTATTCTCAGGTTTCCAACTAAATAATCGGGTTAACACCATCATGCCTCCACTGTCGTGCTTTACAGTTATGGGGAGTTTGTGTCGATAAAGTTTGGTTTGGTTTTCTCATAACTTGGTGTTTCTTATGACCAAACATCTCCACTTTGGCCATTTTGCTTGCCAAGCTGCAGCTTTTTACGTCTTTGTTGTAAATGTAGTGTGAGATGGAAGCATTTTTCAGCCTGCTGGCTGGATCAGGTAGACGACAAAGACGGCAGTCCTCCAGGAAGTGTTTATTACTGAATTTGTGTAGCCAAATCTCCCCAGCAGGTGTTCAGGTCAGAGGTTTAACACCCCCCCTGCTCCCTGTTTATAGAATGTAACTTTACTTTGTCCTTCAGAGAAGCTCGGTACGTCACATGATGAACAACCTGTACGATCATTTTGGTTTCTCTCCCTCCGTGAAGTTTGCTTTCGATACATTTACTATCTCTTGCTTCCTCAGACAGACTAAGACAGCTGTCATGAGCTTTAATCTTACCCCTGCTTACTGAGGCCTATAGAGCCCGAGATGGACATTTTGGTCTTCAAGTGTTTTGGAAATATTACTATTCCTGAATTATTGAATTTCTTAGCTGGCGGCTGATGTCATCCCTCTTTGGCGTTATTTTAGGGTTTCACCTGAAAGCTTTAAGCAGAGAACTGACTAAAACAGCAGCTTTCATAAAGGTGACGATGAAGGGAAAGATGGTTAACTAATTGTGGATTTGATTAGCAGAAGCTACCGGTTATGTACTGTTATGTACTGTTCTCTTCCTTTAGAAGTGGACAGGACGCTCGTAGTTTTTCCACAAATTTACTTCTGCATTTCGCCTAAATAGATAATGACACAATCAATTCTCACATTTAGTCAATCTGCAGTTGTATTGACCTCCAAAGACATCAAGATTTTTTATTATGAGATCTTGGTTCCTTTTCACATGACTGTAAATCCATATTTTACTGATAAATCAACATATTTTTCTGGCCCGTTCCACAGGGGTGATGCACTTCAAAAGAGGAAGCCAGTTGTATTCATAAATAAATGTCAGGTTTTCACCTCACTGAAAGACCAAATGAAAATGAACTCAAGTGGATCCTACCAGAGCAATCAAAGCTTGAAATTTGACTCTATTTATGGCCTCCGATGAGTCAACAGGTTGAAAAAAAGTGGAAGGCTTTACCATTTTGACAAGCGTGACTCATAATTCTGTGGACTGCCTTCCCCACTGGAGGTTTCTGCCTTTGTTTTACTGCGTCCAGCCAGGATCTGTGAGTCAGCACGCTGGGAACGCAGCTCCACTTTGTGGTTCCAAATATACAGGCCAGAAACTCCCATATTTCTATGGCTATGCAGCCTCTGTTTTGTTGGATCTTTATGTCAGTATGTGTAAAGTGTAGAAAAATGTTGGTTTGTTTTTTTCCGAGACTGTAACGGTGAGATATGGTTCTCATTTCACCTGAACAGTGCTAGAAAAAGTAACAAGTTAGGTCGAAGTAGCTTAAAAATGCCCATTTTTGCTGTTACTTTAGCGGGTTTAGCCTCAAGGCAGCGGCATAAAAACAAGAGCTCTTTCCAGTCAACAGGCCAAACATCTCAGGGATCAAAACTGCTTAAGAAGAACAAACAATCTGTGATTAAACCTTTTTTTCTTCTCTTTAAGCATACAAAATTCAGCTTTTGGAGCAACAATACAGCACCAAAAGTTTTCTTCCAAAAAGCAGAAATAATTGATAATGACAGAAATCAGCTTGACTTCAGGAAAGATAATTAGATTTTAAGAACTGATTTTCGAAATCATTCAAGAATTATTATTTTTCTGATTGACTGTGAAAGTATAATAAGCTGTGGCCATTAGCATATTACTAACCTAAACTTTAAGACTCTGGATTTCTCTGTCATGCATTAAGAGTTAAGGGAAAAGACTTACGATCCAAATATGGGAATGTTTCGGAGACAAAGTAGATTCGTTTTTCTGTTTTTGTTGCCACACACATGAGGAGGCTTCTCCTTTAAAACAGCAGCACAGATCAGACACCTTCACAAAAGTAAAACATGTATTGTTTCGAACACACTGGCTTTCGATTAGATATTTCCTCGGCTTTGTAAAGAGCAAATCTGGTTGTGTTTACACTCTGTTTTCTCCAGGCGACTACTGCGAGGTGAACGTTTGCCACAACGGGGCCACGTGTGTGACGGGCGTGGGGGAGGACCCCTTCATCTGCATCTGCCCGGACGGCTTTGCTGGGGACACCTGTAACCTGACGGAGACAGGTAGGCGGGGGGACTCGGGTCGGGGGGGCGCCGGGGGGGTCCCTGTCTGTGCGCCCAGGCTGATAAAGTCGCTGTCCCTCAGGACCCTGCAGCCCAAATCCCTGCAAGAACGACGGGTCCTGTGAGGTCATCGCCCCGACCCGGCGGGGGGACGTTTTCAACGAATACGTCTGCAGATGCCAGCCTGGATTTGAGGGAGTGCACTGCCAGATCAGTGAGTCTGGAACCTCTGCAGCGCATATCTTGGTTAGAATTAGAAAGAAGCTCATTCAGATTCTTAAAAAAAAACAGATGTACTTTGTTTGGAGTGAGCTACAGGGTCCCAAGGGGAAAACTCCACTCATTTTTCTACAAGTCTGACTACTCCAGAAGCCTTTTCAGGCTCACACAGCATCAGCAGTGAAAGGGATGTTTTTGCCTAGCAGATCCATGAAAGGGACTCTTTGAGTGGGTTCTGTGGTTATCCTCTTTGGCTAATTAGTGAAAGACCACTCAAAGTCTCTTAGCATGCAGATGGCCTCCACACAGGGGCAGAACTGTATCCTTTCGTTCTGAAGTCTGAACCATTCAGATTCAGTTTTAACAGAAATGAATCCTTTATGAATCTCAAGTTTATGACAGGAAACATTTATTAGCAGGTAAATGAGGCTCATGCTGAAAAAAGGGAGTTCACTCTGACAAAATAATAGGTGATTTTATGTGAAAATGCGGCTTTAGCTTTAGGACTTTGGGGCTTGAAGCCATGCTCTGAACAGGAGAAGCATTTGTTTGTGCATAATTCCTCCAGAAAGCCAGATTCTGACCAATTGTTATGTCAGTGAAGTCTTCAAATAAAGCAGGTTAATTTTTATTAGCCAGACTGCACTGAAATAAGTGAATGGGGTGGATGATGCATTAGCATAACGTTACAGTAAAGAATGATAATATGAACCGCCTTTGGTGAAGAAGGAAGCAGAAAAAAGTTTTAATTTAAGGAAATATAGTTTCAGTTAAATGGACACAAATGGACAAACCTTTTAGTTCACCTTATACTCGGCTCACTTGTTTTTCAATATTATTATTGTCCGGAGCCTCCAGCGTGACATTTGCTTCTAAGTTGTGACCAATCCTCTTAGCATTAACAGGACCAGGACCAAAACAGACCTAAGTGGCATTACGTCAGTTTGTCATCTGCTTCGGTTTAGACTTTATTTGTACCCAGGCAAGTCCTTGTGGGAAAATTTTAAGTTGAAAAGTTAATAGTTAGGAGTTTTCTCTTGCTACTGGTGTACGATTTAATACACAAGCAGAAATGGTATTCACAGAACTAAACAGAGCGCTTAAACCAGTGCAGACAGTGGTTTTCTACACACACATGAGCCCACATGAGTAGTTTAACAGACACTGGCTGTGGGCTTTGAGGTTGTACTCAGGGTGGGGTGGAGGCTGTGTGCCTGTTTGTTTAAAGGGAACGTCAAAAACAGCAGCTGGTATTCAGATCTTATTCACAATGAGTTTTCTGTTTTGTATGATTATCACTGCTGTTGTTACCGTCTTTTATGCCCCATCTGTAACAATATGTAGGTCATTTAGATAAACTGAAATAATAAAATCTGCCTCCAGTTCAAGGGTTCCCCCTTGTGGAAGTTAGGAGGCTTTGCATGTTGGATAAGAGGAGAGAGGCCTTTTTATAATGATATTTTTGTATTTTTAGACAGTATTACGATAAGAATATAATATAACTATTACTATTTAAATTAGACTTTATGAAAGCCATGAATAAGTTGCAGAGTTTGTCCCTAAAATGTCTTTCGGCAAAGAAGAAAAAGCATTACAACCTAACAACTTTTATCGGATTTTTTCTAAAAATCTGGATACTTCCATGTAGGCGGGTTAATGAAACCTCTGGATTTCTCTCCCCTGTGTTCACATTCACCACACCCTTCATCCCAGACCTGCTCCTCCCCCTCAGCCTCGGCTTCTGGGGCATGTCTGTCATCACGTTTGATGAATATTGCCTTATTTTACCATGCCGAACGCAGAATGACTGTTGTGTTTTTCAGATGTGAACGACTGCGCCAACCAGCCCTGCGTTAATGGCGGGACGTGCCGGGACCTCGACGGAGACTACGCCTGCCAGTGCCCCTCGCCGTACGTGGGGAAACAGTGCCAGCAGCGTAAGTTTACCACGGGCTCGTTCCCAGATACACACAGAGTGATACCCCGCTCGTTTCAGAACCAGATTCAGAATCAGAAATACTTTAATAATCCCAGAGGGAAACTATTTTCGTTACCAAGTCCAAATATACAACAGCATACTGTATACGTATATACGGTGGGGGAAATAAGTATTTGACCCCTTGCTGATTTTGCAGGTTTGCCCACTTACAAAGAATGCAACGATCTATAACTTTAATCATATGTACATTCTAACAGTGAAAGACAGAATCCCAAAGAAAATTCCAGAGAATCACATCATATGAGTTTATAAAAATTGATAACCATCTGATGAGGAAAAATAGGCATTCTTTGTAAGTGGGCAAACCTGCAAAATCAGCAAGGGGTCAAATACTTATTTCCCCCACTGTTTATTTATATTGTAGAACATTTTACGCAAAATATAAATAAATATATACATATGTAACAATATGTATAGATACAGATCTAAAATAAGCGTTAATGACAGTGTGAGATGAATAAATAAATGCCAATAAATTAGAAAGAATTTACAGAGGGGGAGTGTTTGACTCTCTGAGGGAGGTGTTGTACAGATTGATGACCACAGGCTGGTATTATTTCCTGTGGTGCGTCTGGGTGAGAGGAGGTTTCTTAAAGGAGTTCCTCTGGTGGGCCGGTGTGTGGTAGAGAGGGGGGGGTATATTTTCCCGTATGGACTGAAGCCTGGACAGCCTCCTCCTCTTCAGAGTGTCCAGCTCCTCCCCACGACATCACCGGCCCTCCTGATCCTTATTTAGTCTGTTGTTGTCCGGCCTTCAGCCCAGAGAAGATCCCACTGGACACAACAGACCCATAAAACCCCCTCAGCATCCTCTAACAGACGTTAGAAGACCTCAGCCTCCTCTGGAGGAAGAGTCGGCTCAGGCCCTTTTTGTAGAACCTCCTCGGTGTTTCACTTCAGATGGATGGAATATTTCATAATAACCGCTCAAACCTTTGCATTGTTGGCCAGGTTGGATGTTGGTTAGGTAGGAGTCTTCCCCTAAAGGAGCTCCTCTGCTGGGCCGGTGTGTCGTAGAAAGGGGGGAGACATTGTCCAACATGGAGAAGATCCTACTGGCCACAACAGACTCATAAAACTCCCTCAGCATCCTCTAACAGACATTAGAAGACCTCAGACTCCTCTGGAGGAAGAGTCGGCTCAGGCCCTTATTGTAAACCTCCTCCGTGTTCACTTCAGATGGATGAAATATTTCATAATATTTGCTCAAACCTTGCGTTGCTGTTCAGGTTGCATCACTCTGCTGGGGATGGAGGGAGGTGCGATCGAGGAGTCCCAGATCTCGGCGTCCTCGGTGCACTACGGCGTTCTGGGCCTGCAGCGCTGGGGCCCCGAGCTCGCTCGCCTCAACAACCAGGGCCTCGTCAACGCCTGGACCTCCGCCACGCACGACCGCAACCCCTGGATCGAGGTGAGGCGGCCATTTTGATTAGGTTAGGTGTGACTAGCAGCTTTCTCAGGTGGAAACGAAACTTTACTGTCTATAAGAAATCGGAAGACAAACAATGTCCTAACCCTAACCCTAATCCTGACCCTGACTCTAACCCGGACCTTAACCCTAACCCTGACCCTAACCCTAACCCTGACCCTAAACCTAAACATAACCCTGACCCTAACCCTAACCCTAACCCTAACCCTAACCCTAACCCTGACCCTAAACCTAAACCTAAACCTAAACCTAACCCTGACCCTTAACCCTAACCCTAACCCTGACCCTAACCCTGATTTTTTTATTTTTTGGTTAAACTTGTTTGGACTTCTTCACTATTTTAACATAATATTATGTATAGAATTGAATTCAGTGTTTGCAAGATTAATTTAACTATTTTTAAATTAATGTCTATATTACCATGAAAAAAGTTCCTATTGGTGACCTAATCAAAATGGCCGACCTGGATATGGGCGGAGTTGGATCTCCATCCGTGGCTTCCTGCGGTCTGATGTGTTGAACGGCACCGTGTGACGCTCTGATCTTTGTGTGAAGATTAACATGCAGAAGAAGATGCGGCTGACGGGCATCATCACGCAGGGCGCCAGCCGCATGGGCGCCGCCGAGTACATCAAGGCCTTCAAGGTGGCGGCGAGCCTGGACGGGGTCAGCTACATCACCTATAGGGCCGACGCCCCGCGCAGGGATAAGGTCAGAGGTCAACGTTTAGAGCCATAAAGAAACTGTTAGTTATGAGGAAAGTATTCTGTTTACTTTATTAAGAGGCATTTGGTTTTATTTTGTATTGTTTTCTACATTTGGTATTTTGATTTATCACTTAATGAAGCTCCTTTAATGTCTGGAGTTTAAGCAACGTGAGGTGCGCAGTTAAACCAAGCTGAACGAGTCAAAACCTTCACGTTCTGCAAGAGTGGTTAAGGAAAAAGTTTAATTTTTTAAGAAAAGGTATTTAGCCACTACATTGTATATTTTTTAACCATGAAAATCTGAGATCCGAGCACCGTGTTATGCTAAACAAAATTGCTTTGCCAAGGGAGGCTTTGTTAGTGTGAACCCTCCTTGATTACCCAAAACTGCTTTATTTATTCATTTTTGTTACCAAACTTACATGTGTCCAATAATGCCAAACCTGACAGATGGACAGGGCAGAAAGAAGAGCAGTGGAAAGAAGAAAGATCCTTTAGACAGAAAGAGAAAGGGGAAAAAAGAAGGAAAGAAAGAACACTACACTACATTGTGTTTGTGGCTTATTTCCCATAGACGGCCGTTTCCCCCGGTAGCTTTCTCACCTCTCTCCCTCTGTTTTGGTGGTCCAGATTTTCGTGGGGAACATCGACAACGACAGCACGAAGACCAACATCTTCGAGCCCCCCATCGTGGCGCAGTACGTGCGCATCATCCCCGTGGTCTGCCGCCGGGCCTGCACGCTGCGCATGGAGCTGGTGGGCTGCGAACTCAACGGTAAAGCCAAAGAAAAGCCTCACAGAAAGCTCTGAAACCGTGCAGATATCGAGGGCCGAGCTCTAAACCACAGAATCTGTAAAGCTTCTGTTTGGAAAACTGTGAGGTTTTGCTTCATTTTCCCTCCGGCCACAGTTTTGTCTGCGTTGCCGTCTTCTTTTTGTGGTCGTGCTGACAGCCAAAATGATAGTAAAAGGTTTATTTTAAAAGACAAAACATGTACTTGTCAGACCACATGGGGGTTTTTTTGTGTCTGTGGGTGGAGCCCGATATGCAGCAAAAATAGCAGCCACTCACAGTCAGAAAAAAAACAAAAAACGTTTGTGTTTTTGTCCACAAATACGGGGGTTTGGGCGGACAGATTGGGAGCTTTGTGAGTTTTTCATTGGTACTTTCCCTCTCTGGGCACGTCTTCTTTTTCCTCCTAATTGGCTGCTGGTTTGTGTTGAGTTGATTTAATCAGCTACACACATTTTTGACGGGTGAGGGTTGATTCCTATCTTTCTCGGGATAATTCAACCGTCTCCTTTTTCTCTTTTCTGTTCATCTCACTGTCTCTTTCGCTCTGTCCTTTTTGCCTTTTTCCTCCCCCCTTCCCCCTTTGGCTTTTCATCCTTTTATTCACAGTTTATTCAAACACGGCAGGTTGCTCAGAACCTCTGGGAATGAAGTCCCGTCTCGTCTCTGACGACCAGCTCTCGGCCTCCAGCGCCTTCAGCACGTGGGGCATCGACACCTTCACCTGGCACCCCCAGTTCGCCCGGCTGGACAAGGCGGGGAAGACCAACGCCTGGTCCCCGGCCAGCAACAACCGCTCGGAGTGGATCCAGGTGCCGAAAGGAGCCTCAGTTCTGTCACCGCTGATCAACTTTTTTCCGGAAGAGTCCTGCAGAATCTGGAGAATCTCACAGTTTTTCTCTATAACCCCCCCACCCCGACCCCTCCACCTGCAGGTTGATCTTCAGAAGACAAAACGCCTCACAGGCATCATCACTCAGGGGGCGAAGGACTTCGGCGTGGTGCAGTTTGTGTCGGTGTTTAAAGTCGCACACAGCAATGATGGAGAATCGTGGCGCGTTCTGAAGGATAAGAACACCGGCAATGATAAGGTTTGTCCTGGTTAGGGATGGCCCCATCCAGCTATTTTCACTTCCGATCCGATCCCTGCCTATCAGAGCATGTATTAAAGTTATTTATCTAACTTAGTCGTCGTTGAACAGGGATTTACTCTGATCACAACTTAATGGTTAGGACACAGACCTGTGGGTTAGGAGATGCTAATGCTAATGCTAATGCTCATGTGGGATTGGACTTGTAGTTGAGTATTGAACATGCATTCAAATTTGCAATCTGTCCATGAGAATAAATGTTTTCATTGATTTCCCTTCATTGTCAATAAGAAGGCCTAACTGAGCTGGAAGAGCAATTTCACTAGTCAAGAACACTGATTCTTTTGGTCCAAATCAAGATTGAGAATGCAGACATTATAGGCTTTTCAAAGATTTCTTAAAGGTACTGCCTTGAATAAATATGAGTTTTTTAACTTTAGATAAAGAAAAAACTTCACAAAGATGTTTTTAAAACACCAGTTTGTAAAATGAGTCAGAAGGACTCTAATGGAGACTCAAACTGTCACGCAGTTTTTTTAATTTTTCATGAATTACAATTACTCAGAGCCGTTCCTTTTCATAAACACCTCTGTGTAGAGCTATAAACCGGATCTGCAGTCTGGATCTGCATTTTCTCATATTTTTGCAAATATCCAGATATCGGATCGGGACGAGCCTAGTCCTGTGTGACCACCTCATGCACCATTCTGCGTGGAAAACCTATTCGCCCTCGTTATTTTGCCTCTAGAAAGCATTTCCCCCTCACTTTTCAGTCCAGCCCATGTGCCTGAACACATTTTAGAGAAATCTACTTCTTCTTTTTTTTAAGCTGAAGACGGAAGCACCAGTCCAGCAAAAAGCGCTTTGACGTTTGATGTTATTTTTTTGAGCTTATTAGCTTTATTATAGTTTTTATTTACCTTATTGAGCTTTATAATTGTTTTTATTGAGCTTCCTGGTCACTCTTGACTGTCCGAGTTTTGCTGATTCACGTTTTGTGAGCTTGTGAAAAGAATTCACGACTTAGTTTTGTGGAAATTTCACTGCATGGCGCTTTGGTGCTGCTCAAAAGTAGTTGGTCACATCCCTCATTTCTTAGATGTCAACCTTTGTAAGACAATTAGGGGAAAATTGCTCAGGACTTACATTATACACGGTGAATTTAATACATAATAAAAAACTTTCTGACTTGTGTTTTCAGCTTTTCCAAGGAAACATTGACAACAACAGCCACAAGAAGAACCTGTTCGAGCCCGGGTTCTACGCCCGGTACGTGCGCGTGCTTCCCTGGGAATGGCACGAGCGCACCCCCCTACGCATGGAGCTGCTGGGCTGCGATGATTAACCCCCCCCCCCCCGCCCCCCGCCCGTCCTCATCCAGCCCAGACCCCTGCGGTGCCTGGACCCTGAGCAGAAACACCCGTTTTTTTGCACTCCGCGGAGTCGATGTTGGCTGAGTAGCGTGGACTTTAACACTTCTAGCACTTTCTGACTAGTGACTTATTTATGTTTACATGGATGAAAATGTTTGACATTGCACCCTATTGTTGCTCACAGAGCTCTTTTTTTGATGATCCATACTGGAATAGCTTCTAAAAGATTTCAATTTCGGTTTTAGAGTCCAAACGCTTCTGGTAAATAGTCTGTACCGGGCACATGGTAGCATAGAAGTTTAGCCTTTAACGTTTCTGCTGCTCCTGGTAGAGAGTTTGTCCACCAGTACACAACAGAAGCACACTGATGAAGTCAGAGGAGCTTTAGCGTGTTGCCGGTTGGATTTCCGTGTTTTTTTCTTTGGCACCATTTCAGATTCATTCTTTCTCTTGATTTCATAACAACCATTTTTACTACAAATGTGAAATGTGTAGGAAAAATGTTTAAAAAAAGAGCTGTTTTTCATTTTTTTAACCTATTGTTTGCCATGACCTGACATCATTATTAAATGATAAATGAAACAGAATCTGTTTGTATGTTTTATGAGCAGATTAACATGGATTCTTATCATGCCACAGTATCAGCTAATTCACTTTTTTGTAAGGTGGTCACAGAGAGACTGGTCAGTGGCTGGTTTCTGATTATTCAAAGAGCTGTAATACACTTCAAGACTGAAGTTGGCCGTGCACTCTTAATACTTTAGGGAGTGTCTCTGCCTTTATATGCTAAAAAAGAATAAAAGAATAACAGGGACTTTAAAAGCTTATTTAAACCTGTTGCAGACTGTTTGGAAACACTCTGTCTAACAAAGATATTGTAAATCCTCCCTGTCTTTATATTAAGTATGTATGGTTGAGCATTAAAGCTTCTGCTTAAAGATAATTTGAGCAGAAATTTTGTCTTAACTTTTCAGATGATAATATAAACAAGTTCATGTAGGGCCACTGGGATAAACAATGGAGTTTATATAAAGCAACATTCCATCTGATCCCTTTAATTTCATAACCTCCAAAAATGCATGTAATTAATGGATCTCTGTTTAAAATAGTTGAGGAGAATCAGTTACAGGCACACGGATGAAGAAACTGAATACGTTTAAGTGATCGAACAAACTGAAAGAAATTACAATGAAGTTCAATACAAGCATCCAGAGGTGAACAATGAGGAACCCAGGGAGTATAAATACCAAGAAAAGATCAATCTAAATCTAATGCAGAATCAGGAAGCGACGATAACTGCAGTGAACAAAGCAACCACCAAAAAGGACACGAAAAAACAGGAAAAAATGACATCACACCGTAGTTGTTAATTTAAAGAATATAAAGATGATAAAACCATATTAATTTAAATATGTAAACACAACATGACATGAAGAGAGGTAACAAAGAGCTTCCAATCCAAAGTAGAACACAGAAACTCAGAGACCTGGACAGCCTGAGTTCGGCCTCCTGCTCGGGAAAGTAATTACACCCTCTCAGACCCCTCATCACCTCAGAGTCCCGGCCCTGGCATGTCGGGCCCCTGGCAGCAGCTTTCATCTCTCTGGAATGAACGCAACGCAGGATGAAGGCATCTGGACACATCTGTCTCCGTACTGTACGAGGACGCCGGCCACGAGAGACGGCAGCTTACAAAATACCCGCTGCGTTTATGAGCAGCAAACATCTGCTTTCTCGGCTCTCGTAAGATTTATTTCCACAGCAGTTGTTTCTCTTTTGGTCAGCCTTCTTATATAAATGTGTCAGGCTTGTTAAATTCATATATGTGGAAACAACTGTCTGCTAGAAAAACAGGGAAAACAGAGGCCAGTCCGATAGAATTCCTCATCAACAGTCTTTAGAATAAGAATCAGAATCAGAAATACTTTAATAATCCCCGAGGGAAATTATTTTTGCAACTAACTCCAGAAATAACAACAGAGTATACATATATACATGTCTATACATATATATATATATACTAAATTCCACACAAAATATAAATAAACATATATATATAAGTAACTATATGTATATATATAGGTCTAAAATAAGTGTTGAGTCTTTACAGATTTTCAGGTGAAACGGACACTGACACTCTGTTTTCTTTTGGGTTCCCTTAGCCTTATTTTCCTTATAAGGATGTGCTTTATGGGCCTATTTGAGCATGAGGAGGCTACAGAGGGGTGCAGCATGTCTTCAGCTTGGACCGCTGCTTCAGTTTTGGCTGCGTCTTTACGGCCCCGCTGCTGTTCGGTGAAAGGTCAGAGAGCTCTTCATCATTATTAACGCAGCTGTCACAGCAGCACCTGTGTTACACCGACCAGCCCTGGGAGGAGGCTGGAACCCGGATAAAGGCTTTCTTACATCCTCGCTCCTGCAGAAGTTTTCTGATCTCTGCCAGAGCTCCTCAGCCTTTTTATTGTTTTATATTATTACTACAGTCCCAGCTTTAAGGTAAGTGATTAAATGCATGTAAATAACAATCCACCCAAAACCTCTATTAGTTAGTACTTTAAGTGGACCACCACATTAGTTTTTTTTATGGGTAATGACAGATTGGGTTTCGGAGTTGTATATATTTTGCATCTTTTTTGTTTTTAACAATGTCTGCTGGCAATTTGTTTAGTTTTTTTTACATTTTGTTCAGCGTTGCCTTGTATTGCATCGACCTGCTGAATTATGCAAACGTCCACACTTTCAGAGGATCCAAAGAGTAAAAACTGTGATGTTATTTTCTGAAACGGTTGCTTTCAATGTGCAAACCAGTGCAGAATAAACCTTTAAAATTAATCTGAAAATAGACTAAATTTCTGAGTTTATATCTGAAATCATAGGTTGTATTATAGTGGTGAAATAGCACACGGGGATTCCCGCTTTAGTCCTCTTTAATAAGAAAAGTGGAAACTCTCTCAGTCCTGAGCAGAATGCTCGCATGGTGTCATACCGCCCTCTAGCGGCCGCTGCTCAGAATACACCTGCTTATGAGATGTGTGCACTGAAAACTTTAAAAACTGCATGAAACATAGTATTTTTCATACTTTTTTCAACATAAGCATTTTTCAACACTTAGCAGTTATTCAGATGTCTTTTCACAGGCTTGCCGGCATAATCTGTGGCCATTAAAAGCCCGGGAGGATGGTTTTCTCCCTCCAGCGGGGGCTGCTGCTGGTGGCTCAGCTGCTCCTGTCCGGCTGCTGCATCCCGGCTGCTCCCTCTCCCCAAAACGACTTCTTCTACAACCACATCTTCAGAACAAATGGCAACAAAGAAAGTGAGCCGATCACTGCAGACGGTGGAGTCTGAGGGGGATTTTTTCGTGGCTGCTGATGCTTCCGTTTTTTTAGACTAATGTTTTTATCTCTTTAGAATCGATTCCGTTTGCTTTGTTTACATAAATATAGATTTTTTTTAGGGTCAGTTAATCTTATTGACCTAATCTTGATATCAATGCAAATAGGTTCCAGACATAGTGCTGACTATCACTCTGCAGCCATTCCCTGAGCCTCATTACATGTGTTTGGATGGCAGTTACATGAAGAGAAATGAAAAAAATACTTTGTCAAGCATACATTTTAGTCTTTGAATCTTCAGATTTAAGTACAAAAAGCATAGACAGTAAGGAGTTAATGACATTAAGATTTATTGTCAAAAATCACACAGATAGGATGTTTTTTGTCTTTTCATTATCTGGTTTCTTAATGATTGTGTTTTTTCCCTGTCTTTTCTTGCTATCGACCGGTTTGTCTTCAGTTCATTTCAGTGGCGTGAAACTCCAGGTGAGCTCTGATCGGCCGCCGGCGTCCGCAGTCAGAGGGGGAAACGCCACCCTTCCCTGCAGGTTTTGGTACGAGCCGGGGCTGAGCTCCCAGAGGGAGACCCTGGTCAGGTGGTCCAGACTGCCTGCAGCCGGGGGTCAGATGGGGACAGATGTGCTGGTGTCGTCCGGCTCTCGCAGTCAAAGTTTTGGAGCCTTCAGGTTGTGAAACTGACCGGAAAAACAGATTTCCTGTTCTGTGTGGCGGCCGTTTGACCGTCTGAGTGTCGTCTGTTGGTCAGAGGCCGTGTGGCCCGCAGGCAGGATTTCCCGGGAGACGCCGCCCTGGTGATCACGGACCTCCAGCTGAACGACACGGGCAGCTACAGATGTGAGGTGGTGGATGGGTTGGAGGACCAGAGCACCACGGTTCATCTGGACCTCCAAGGTGCAGCCATGAAGAGGATAAGAAGGCACAAAGAGATGGATATCTGAGTCTGATTCATCCCGTCTTTGTTCCTGGGCCTAAAAATGACTTAGTTTTGGTGTTAGATGTCAGCTGTGAGGGACAAACATGAGAGGGGACAGACAGGAAAGTGGGATCAGCAGGTGACAGCAGCATCCTGTTAGCCCGATTCTTTAACTGGAAGCCAGAGAGTAAACCAGAGTAGATCAAGAGTACAAATATGACATTTATTGGGTCAATCAATCAAGTTTATTTGTATAGCCCTTTACAATACCCAAGTGGTACTCAAAGTGCTTTACAACAAAGCCATAAAACAATACAAAAAACATACAAAACATACAGAAACAAAGCCAGGTCAATGGCAAAGTATATCACCTGGATTTCTAACAGACAAAAACCTCTCTCTGGGTCTCAGTGGGCAAAGAGCCCTGAGATCTGGGTGATGGGCATTATCTCCTGGGCTCGATCTGGACACAACCAAGTCCTATTGGCTAGTTACCTCTGGGCATAAACAGGCCAGGTCCTAATTCATGCAGATGACGGGAATGTGGTAATAAATGTTGTGTATGTGTGCTGACCTAAAGGTGGATCTAATGCAACAAAGAAAAAGAGAGAAAAGAGAGTCTGTGGACACAGCCAAAGACAACAAAAAGTAAAGTTCTAAAAGAATAAGACAATCAGTAATGAACATAGATTATATTATAGCATACTATGCTAAAATGAGTCATTTTAGCCTAATTCTAACAGTGTATTGGCCTGTTTGAGAGCTGGTGACCTCCTCCCCCAGGCGTGGTGTTTCCCTACCAGCGGGCGGGGGGTCGATACCAGCTCAGCTTCCTGGAGGCGCGGCAGGCCTGTGAGCAGCAGGACTCCACGCTGGCCACCTTCAGGCAGCTTTTCCAGTCCTGGAGGGAGGGCCTGAACTGGTGCAACGCCGGCTGGCTGGCGGACGGCACGGTGCAGTACCCCATCAGGCAGCCCCGGGAGCCCTGCGGGGGGCGGGGCCTCGCCCCGGGGGTCCGGACCTACGGCAGGCCAAACCCAGACCTCCACCGCTACGACGCCTTCTGCTTCTCCTCCGCACCCCGAGGTGAGGAGCTCCTTTAGCCCTTTAAAGCCTGATCCAAGAAAAATAGGAAGAATATTGGATTTTTTTAGTCTGAAGTCTTTCTTTGGCCCCTCAACAACATATGAATAAAAAAAACAAGTTACTTTGGTCAAATTAGTATGCCATAAGTCAAAAATATATTTTGGTGTAGTCTTCTACTGGCTGTTATCAGGTGTATCTGAATGTGTACAACAGGGGTTTGAGCAAAGCTTTTACCATTGAATGATGCAAAAAGTCTCAGATCCAAAAGACTTCAGAAACCGTATGAATCAAATATGATACATTTGGCATTATAGGGTTAGAGGCTGTCAGAGGAACATCTGCACGGTCCAGATGTGCTTGGAAATGACAGTAAACCACTATTCACAACCCAGATAACATATGTGGGTGGGTTGGTGGTTGACAGAATTGTGACATTGAGATTGTATTGACACTTTGAATTTGTCCCAACAATGTCTGTCTTATGTTCAAAATGTTCCATAAACAAAGTTAAAAAAAAAAAAAGAAAGAAATGTACCTCCTGAACCTTTACAAATATGTGATCTGATCTCTGTCTTTATACGACCTATCTCTGTTTTACTCAAAGGGGAGGTGTACTATCTCCAGCCTTCTTCTCTGAGGATGAACCGGACCGAGGCGGAGCGGGCCTGTGGGGCCGACGGGGCCCGGGTGGCCCGGGTCGGGCAGCTCTACGCCGCCTGGAGGTTCTCCGGGCTGGACCGGTGCTCCGGGGGCTGGCTGGCCGACGGCAGCGTCCGGCACCCCATCAGCCGCCCGCGCAGGAAGTGCGGCCCCGCGGAGCCGGGGGTGCGCAGCCTGGGCTTCCCCCCCGCCCAGCAGCAGCACGGGGTCTACTGCTACCGGCCGCACGGAGAGTGACCGGGGGAAACAAACCAAACCAAACCCCCCAACAAACAAACCAAACCAAACCCCAACAGAGAAGCTGCAGCCTCACCGTGAACATCAGAGGGCGAAAACAACGAGATTAGGCTCAGCAGAAAAAAACACAACTCCTTCTGTGGTCCCCTCAACCTGTTTCTCTTGCTGTCACCACTGACTCTGATCAGTTTTTCTCCTCTGTATAGCTTATTGTCATAGTGATGAGAAATGTAACATTGTGTCTACTCTGTAAGTCGCTTTGGATAAAAGCGTCTGCCAAATGCATAAACATAAACATTAACTTCTCTGTGAGGGGCTGCAGGATTTACTGCTCAAAAGCTGAAACGACATCCCAAGTGAAGCGGAAATCCCTTTTTTACTACATAAGTTGTGTCCATTCAACTAAACAGGGTGTTTTTTTTCCTTTCACGCCCCTCGTGGTTAAATATCTCAAAAGAGGGATGTTGTTATGACATGACTGGAAACTTTAAGTATCATTATACTGTATGACTGTTCTTTATCATTTCCTCCTCTGTACACAACAGCTAAATATTCCTTTTACTGTGATGCTCATCTCTTACACTGATAATATCTTCTACTTCTGCTTGTGATTCTACCCACTGATAAAGGCTTTGAAATGCAAGCAGAAAACCTGTCTGTCATTTGTTGATTTTTTTTTTAAACGTTAAAATAACAGAAAAAGGCTCCAAAAAGCTCTCTGTCTTGTCGAGAAACCACACAAAAACTGTTACCCTCTGCACACCATGACAGTAAAGGCAAAAGAAAACATATATATACTGTGTGTTTAGCTTAAAAACACACAAAATACAACTAGGTTTAGGTACTTTAATAGAAAGAAACACTTATTCTGCATTTATTTTTTTTAAACAGTAGCTTGATAACAAATGACTTGACTATTAGGAGCATACAGCTGTGGGACATTAACCGAACTGATACCGGTCATATTCAAGTGGTATTTGCATGCTGGTTAATTAAAAATAACTTTCAAATAGTCAATAACATGTTTATTTACCTGTGGTTAGCCGGCCATCTTGCCTTTCTTCTTCTTCGTATTTAAATCTTGGCAGCACAAGACAGCGAAAGGATGCCACTGCCCCTAGCGGACAACATGTGTAGCTCATCTTCTTTTCCCGTTGATGACCTGAATGCTTCTTTCTGTTCTCTTCGAAAGTTTTTTATTAGCCTTGATTGTGTGAATATATGAATAGTAATAAATCATATTGGGTTCTGTGGATTTTCTTGGAGTGAATTTGTTTTTCCTATCTTGTAATTAGTTGGTAAATATTAAGATTAATTATGTGCTCTATTGGCTGGTTGTCTGGTTTTTTGTGTTAAGGTTTTTATGCTCCCTTTATTTTCCTTTCTTTTTTTCCTAATTTCTCCACCCACCAACCATGACAGACGAAACAAGACAAAGATCATTGGATACAAAAAACAAAATCTCTCTCTCTCCCCGTGACTTCCATTACTATTTTTGCACATTAATGCTCAGTGATTCCTTGTGTTGCTGCTCACATGATCGGCATTCTGCAGCTGACTGACAAACCTTTATTTCGTCAACAGTGTTTGAAAGTCTCCACAGTCTGCTGGTTATTTCTGGCCACCCCAGTTTTGCTCACTGGCTGTGCTGACATTGAATCACAGCTGAGTCACTCTAATGTTAACACAACTGGAAAAAAGCTTGACGCACACAGTCTGACGGACCCATTGAACCTGGTTTTATGAGCCATCCATGTCTTTTGATCCAGCTTTGTTTTTATATTTCTGCCCTTAATATCAACCCTTGCATGCGCACATCTCTCATTTTACACCAGCCAGACAGCTTTTTATATTGTAACCAATCAATGTTTCCCGGTTGACCAAAGAAAGATTTTACATAAAAAAAACAGAATAAGTTTGGATGGTAACTAACTGAATAAGATGAACCCCCTCCTTTCAAGCGAGTAAATTATCCACTTTACTGAAAGTTTTTGGATCCTGAGGCCTATATTCTTATTCACTCATCTTCATTAATATCCAAATGACTTGATTAATTAAACTTTTCGAAACAGCACAATATATTTGCTGTAAAGAACATTTATACTGGTTACATTTTAAGTGAGTACTCAATTTGGACAAGTTGAGATAACTTTCCATATTGAAACAGAAATACATGCATATAAATATAAATTTGGGAAAAAAATGATGAAAATCATTAAAGTTTTAAGGATAGCTAAGGTAAAAATTAAAGTAAAAGTCATGTTGTTTTAACGTAGATTTGTTTGATATTTTGAAATGGTCTTGTTTAGTTCTTTCTCCCAGTTCTTGGTGAATCATTTGCAATACATCTGTCCCAGTTTAGACATCAGGGCTTGGAAAGCCTCTATACGTCTCAATATTTGTTTTGCAAAGAACTGCAGAACAAATACTTTTTATTTCAGCAACTGTGAAGCTCTCTCCGCTATCCACATGTTTAAAAGCTAAATACAAGAAAAACTGAGGAAATAAAGATAGATATTTTGAAAATGTCAACAAGTCAATGTCAGTGTTTATTCTCTAAACAAACCTTTAGTCACACAGACACACAAGTTTCAAGTAAAAATATAGCGTTTAAAGTTTAAACATTATATCGTATGTTTGTACTTCAAATAACACAACAGCCTTGTATATTTTTAAAGAAAGATTGTCCAGTCAATTTGGGAGGAAAAAAGAGGTTCAGTCGGAGCCAGCAGATGGCAGTCCAGAGTTTGAGTACTTCAGTCTCAGCAGGAGCACAACAAAATGTGCAGCAGTCCATCAAAAACTAAACTCACCCTCTCTTGAAAACCTTTTTTAAAAAACTGAAATTTAAATAGACAATAATAAATCAAAGATTTACACCATCTAATCCATGCATTTATTGGATAAAATCCAAATTTTTCTATCACCAAAGAGAGACCAAAATAATTTGTTATGATGCTTCCAATAAAAAGTGAATCAATAATGAATAAATGCAGATAAATCTTGCATTTATGTGAGCACAATAACAAGTAGGGAAGTCTTGAGGGAGGGGGAATGAGTGGAGTGATAAGAATCCCGTGTCCCTTTAGGTGGAGGTCCACAGCCCCTGCAGTATCTCTCAGGTATACGAGACATCTGTATTAGGAACAGTCTGAAACCACTCGATAAAATCTGCACCTGCAAAACCCGTCAGGACTGACAGTCCTCCGGCTTTCGGCTTTGTGAGAGTCACTCCTCACTCTTTATGTAAGAGCTGCTTTGTGGCATCCAGGAATATGGAACAGCAGCACTCCCAGTATGCGGGTGTCATGTGAAAGGTTAATGCAACATTATGCAAGGATACTTCTAGCAAGGAATGTCATGGTGGCATCCCACTGACTGAAATTCTAGGAACAGGAGCGGATCCTCACTCTCGTAAACGACTGAAAGAGCACCAAAGTCACAACTAAATAAGATGAAGCTTCATTTCAGTTCCATGCTCCTAAAATCTGGATCAGTCTTCCTGAAGATGTGAGAAAGAACCCAACTCTGACAGTGTTTAAATCCAGGCTGAAAACACTTCTGTTTAACTGCGCAGATGGAAAGTTGAATATATTTTATCTGAACCCATCACTTTTCATCTGTCTAATTATTATTATTTTAATTTTATTGTTTTTCTGCTTTTAAATTCTCTGTGAAGCACTTTGAATTGTCTTGTACACGAAATGTGCTATACAAATAAACTTGCCTTGCCTTGCCTAAACAGCAGTTATTATTTATTTACAATTTATCACACAATTTTTCACTTTTGTATCTGCTAAAGTTAATCCTAAATTGTTAAAATAATCCCTTTCCTCAATGTTTTTTAGGTTTAGATTTTTTAGGTAAACATACAGCTCATCCCATTTTTATTGTGACCACGCTGTCAAAATTTTAATAACTACAAGATGCGAGACTATAAAAAAGTTTTCAAAAGAAATTTAATCACTTACAGATACACAGGACTGACTGGTGACACACCCACATGGAGGCCAGGCGCCCCACATTTTTTTAATTGATAAGAACAGACATTTATTTTTTTTGTCTTATGCAACCAAAAGCAGGCCTAAACCAAAAATGGATTAAGTGATAAAGGGATTTCGCTCCAGCTTGGATGTCTCACCGTATGCTGTTAATTCTTCGTAAAACACAAGTACAGTGTTCATTCATTCCTTCTGCTGAGAGACGTTGGAGCCTGTGGCAGAATGCACCATGTGTTTTCATTTTTAAATGCCACTTTAGAATTATGCTTGCTTTTTTATGCCTTGGGGAAAACGTGTTATTTACTCCAACACGTTCATTTCACACACATGTGGCTCCTCTTGCACATCAACATCATATAAATGTATCCAATTAAGAATATTTTGATACATGACAGCATCCAGCATACTGAAAAGCAGCGTGTCAGTAATCGTGGAACCATTTTGCTGCAAATGGGCCACTTTTACGTTTAAATCTCTATAAAACCTCCATATATATACAATTTGTATACATATATACAATTTACCATGTTTTGTCCTTGATTGTTTTTTTTACTTTTGGAGTATTCTGATGTTTACTTTTACCAAAGTAAAAGATCTAGGTTCATTTTGTGTTCATTTTACAGCATGTGATTTGTCAAAATGTGCAACTGTAGTATTTGATAAATGTGGATTGTGTTGCAAAGCAACAATACAGCTATTGAGAAACAGCCTTGAAATCCTGTCATTGTTACAAATGTGTCACTGGCACTATTCATTCGGTGCAAAAAAAGTTAAATTATCTGCAAAGGAAAATTACATTTCCTTAGATTAAAAGTCATGTGTCACTGAGGCAGATTTAAAGAAAATCCTACAAAACAACAGTTGTTGTCCGGCTTTAAACAGGCAAAATGACGCTGAGTCAAACTATGAATAGAAATCTTACAAGCTCAAGTGAACACTTGGCAACTTCCTCTTCATAGTTGAGGTTGTCGAAGGGTGTAAACCCCAACATAGGCAATATTTTGGTCCAACCTCAGGAAACTGTGTCATAGGGTTGGTTGGGAAGTTTCTTAAAAAAGAGAGTTCAGCTGCAGGCTGGCGAAATAAACACCACAGAAATGTAAATGTGTCAAGAGATGTTATCATTTGTGTTTTAGGATTTTCTCGTTCAGAAGCTATGATGTGAGGTGTTGACATGGTAGTCTGTACATTATGAACTTCTTTCTTTGTTATCGGTAATAAGTCCACAAAGACAAACAAAAAAAAATCAATATGTGTGAAACATCAGTGTTTGGCTGCCTTGCTGTTAATCTGTTCATGCTCGTTAGGGGTCCTGCTTTCCCCGATTAGATAAGGTCACTGTAAGCTGTGACGTGCAAACCTGTACTCGCTTTTATTCTGTTCTTCTGACACTCTTTCAACTTCTTTTTCCTATTTTATGCCACTTGTGATGGAGCTCAACTACAATATTCTGTCATATCTATTTTTATTCTTCAATCCAGTCTGAGGTATTATTTGTCAGAGGCCAAGGGATTTGTATACTCAAGCAAAAATGGATGATAACGTTCACAGAAGTTCTGGTAAACTTTTTACCAAGACAGTCATTTATTGTTTTGCAACTTTATGTCATTCTAAAATGGAAACATTAACACCAAAGCAGTACAAAAGATAAACTGAAAAAGTTTGATGTTTATGAAGTTGAAATACCTTTGAGCTTAAGGTTGAGTTTGGCTAATAAAATCTGCCTTTTACCTGCCGCATGACCATAACTCAATACATTTCAATGGCAAAACTCGAGTAAATGTTTAACCTATTAACCATACTCTCCAGTTAACTCAATTCTTTCATGAACAGTTTCACTTCAAACATTTTTACCCAAACAGTATTGGTAAAGCTTATGGGACATACCTAATCTGAAGCATGTGAGGCTTTCAGGGCACGGGATGGTAACATGTCAAATTGAGGTGAAAGCTCTGTGTTATACTTTCTGAAAAGGTGTATTTAGGACCAAACCAAAGAAGTCCTTGCATGAAAAACATAAACTGGAAAGGCAAGTCTCAGAAGAAATGACCATCATCCCGATCAGTCTATGAATGGAAACAATAATTAGGTCCACTTTTTAACCTTTCAATGCTGAGAAACCCTCCATCACGTTGTAAAGGTGATGATTTTCATTATATCATGGTGGTTTCACGAGAGGTTGTGAATTTTCAGGAAAGAGTTCACATGACTAGTTGCTGATAGTAGCGTGTTTTCATGGTGTGTGTTGGAAGATGAAGAGATGTTTGTGGGAGCCTGATCCATTCATCTCTGGTTTGCTCATGTGATGAACCATAAGTGCAAATTATTTGAGTGTATCAATCATTTTTTTTCCAAATAAAGATAGAGACACAGTCTAGGAAATATGCTGGATAAAACTCAGGATAGAGGCAGTAAAGGAAACCAAGTCGATGTCGAAATGTTATTTTATGTATGTGTTTGTTTATTTGTTTGTTGTGTTTTGGTTATTGTTTTTCTTTTTTCCTTTTGGTGTAATTTCTCGGTTTAAAAATTAAAACGTCATCTTGGTTTGAGGTTCGACGGAGGGTAGTGAAGAACGAGGAGGCGGGGCTGCGGTGACACTCGCTTCTGATTGGCTATCCCGGATGCTAGCACGCATGTCGAGGTGCTTAAATAGCCAATCACGGATCTCTCCTCAGTATGTGTAGCAGCTACAGCACATCGAGGTTCTCTCTCGGTGGAAGACCGCGTCCGAGTGACAGCCCGTCTCCGCTCTTACCTTACTCACTCAACCCAAGTGCCATGGAGGACTCGACTAGTTGACGTTTCCTGCTCCAACCTTCTCTTTTTAAGCTTTCTTCCCGTCTGATCAACGTGTTCTCGACCCGGTTTATTGACGCTTTGAACGACTTTGACGAGCTTTGACCAACCGAAAATCATGAAGTACATCATCGGCATCGGCGGGTGAGTTCCGTTGGTTGGACGGTTGAGCTAAGCTAAGCTAACAGGCTAAGCTAACAGGCTAACCAACCGCCCGGAGGCCCAGAAAGCCCGACACACGTGGAGGAAGCAGTTGTGGCATCTGCTAAGGGGTTTATTCTTTTCGTTTTGAATTCTGACACCATTTTACGATCAAATTATTGTTAATGAAGCACCTTGACAGGATATATGTATGTATGCATTTGTAAACAAAAAATAATCTAGCTATTTGAAAGTAGTAACCAGGAAATCCGCCTGTTGTCCCACCCTTTTTTTTCTGTATTGCAAGTCCTAATATAAAATATGTTGCTTCTAAGATCTGCAAATCAAATTATTATTGTCTATTTCAGCTTTTTGATGGAAAAGGTTATTACATCTTAGCTTATTCTTTTAAATGAGTAATCATGTTTTTTTTTTAATCAAAAATAAATTACTAAATTGTTGCTTTGTTTCATGCAGAGTGACCAACGGAGGGAAAACCACCCTCACCAACAGACTGATCAAAAACCTACCCAACTGCTGTGTGGTCCATCAGGATGACTTCTTCAAGGTGAGCAGCACACACCCACATCCGTTTGCATTATGGATCTAGTTTATCGAAGGGATCACTCCGTGTGACACAAGTTGATGGTTTAACACGTGTTTAATACATACAGTAGTATAATAACGCTAAAGAAGCCTTCCATATAAAGCAGAGTGTAGCTCTAGTGGAATGTACCTGGGTACATCTTATCAATGTATGTTTCAGCCCCAAGATCAGATTGAAGTTGGTGAAGATGGCTTTAAGCAGTACGATGGTAAGCCTGGGTTTTTCATGAAAATGTGTGTCTGCTCCTGCGTTAACTCATTTGCAATCTGCATGCAATTAAGACTAAGCTGAACTCTACAGTTGTGTAACTTACTTTCTTTCTGCAATTTTCTGCACACCCTTTTTTTTCTTTTTGCTCCCTTCCTACTATCCTCTGTAGTCATTACTGCTTTGGACATGGACGCCATGATGAGTACGATCTACGCATGGCTGGAGAACCCGGTGAAGTTTGAGAAGTCTCACGGCGTGAATAACACCTTGGATACTGAGATTGTGCCAAAGTCTGACCACGAGGAGGAGGAAACCCACATCCTCATCGTGGAAGGCTTCCTGCTTTACACCTACGAGTAAGATCCCAGCTACAATATCGGTCAAACTTTAGCCATTGTGGGATGAAAAGTAAGGAGGCTAACGTGCCGTTTCTCCTGCAGACCTTTGATCGACGTGCTTAACCAACGCTACTTTATTTCCATCCCGTATGAAGAATGCAAAAAGAGGAGGGGGTAAGCGTCAGCCGCCGCTTTTATCTGCTGTCTTTAGCCTCGCTTTTCGTTAATGGTGGCTTTCGCGTGCAGCTCAAGAAACTACCTGGTGCCAGACCCGCCCGGCCTGTTCGACGGCCACGTCTGGCCCATGTATCTGAAACACAAGAACATCATGGAGGAATCGGCTGTTGACGTCTGTAAGTGGACATGTGTTAGCTCTGTTTGAAGGCTCCTGTTTGCTGGTGGAGGCGTGTCATTTACGCTGTCTGTGTCCTTACAGTGCAGCTGGATGGGAAGTTGTCCAAGGAGCAACTTTTCAACTTTGTCTACGGCAACATCCTGAATAACATCCAAAAATCTCTCTAACAAAGGTAAAAAAAAAAAAAAAAGTTTGCTTGCTTGCATATTTAATAATTGTCAACATGTGAGTCACTTTTTTTTCTTTTTTTTTTTCTTCTGTTTCAGGTCATCAGATCGGCTTAAGGAAGCATATACTCAACCAGCAAGCAGAAGAACTCCTTTCCTTTAAGTTTTTTTTTTACCTGGCAGCTCATCTAGCTGACTGCTATGCTGTATTTCTTTTTTTTTTTTTTTTTTTTTTTTTTTTTTTTTGTAAATGTTTGACAGCATAAAATGCTGGTGTGATTTTTATATCTCATATTTATTGCTTTGTTACAGCCTACAGTCCAGAGAGTTGATGGAAACATTCACAGGATGGTTGCATTACGTCAATAAATGATCCTCCTGCAAACCTATTTCAGTTGTACTTTTTCCTACCTGTTACAATAAAGGTTAGCATAGTGAGTTCTGTAAAATATGGCTGTCTCTCTGAGAGCAGGGATCCCGGGGAGGCTGCAGGAGCAGATGGCCTCTTTATCTCGCTCCCAGGCAACAGTTGGTGTGAGCGATAAGCAGAATCACACGGTTTGACCTCGTTGACTCACGTTTTGGCTACACTTATCTGGTCTCAGAACTGCCCGGGCCCACTCTGGAAACATCCAGTTGTATAAGCTCACATTTACATAAGTTGTGATGCAGAACACGTTGGATAAAAATGATCTGCAAATGTTCCTGCAGGCACTAAAATTTGGTTTTTGTATTGGATTATTAAACATCAGGAGAAGGCAAGTTAGTAAAGCTAAGCTATGAAAAGTTCCTAAAAGGTCTTAGACAACCCTGTTAACATCAATCCCCAGAGGTCTTAATTTCTAATGCAGTTAATAAGACTCAATTTCTGACATAAATCCTTTAGGACAAATTTATAATTAAAATTTGGACACTAACACTTCCCTTTTGAGATTTTTTTTTAATTTAGCCATATATTTACTACCACAATGTTGTGAATCCCTTATAAACTGGTTAAATGTTCTGCACAAACACCAAATTATATTAAAAATATCCTTTCCAATTATTATGATAATGTATTCCTGAGCTGGCAGTCTTCTTTGCCTCCAACAAAGTTAGATCCCAGGTAAAACATCATTTTCTTTCTCTGAAAACCATCAAAATTTCTAGATGCACTTCAACTGTTTTCCAGCCAAAAGCATCAGATGCTAACCTGTGTTTACCTTTCAAACTTTCTGTACTGGTGTGTAGTTTGTGTAACCTGCTGACAACCCCCAGTAGGTGTCACATTTATAGATTTAAACAAATCCATAACTAAATGTGGTTTATTTGGACATAGTTAAAGATTTAAAGGATAACTAAATCAACTGCGTTAGAAAATTAAAAAAGGGCAAATAACAGGAGATGTTGGTACATTTCAAGCTTCTTTTTTGATTCTTGTCAATAAAGCTAATATTGACAGAGCGTTTTTTTTGTCTCCTGGACCTGAGTGCTGCATTTATCCCCGCAGATCGCTTTGTGGCTGCAGGTGCACACGTGCAGTTTCTAAAAGCAGAGCCCGGTTATCAGAGCTCCACATGGAAGCAGCTCCCAGTTTGGGAAACAGACTCTGTCTCTCCCTTTCGCTTCAGATCTAAATGACCATATAAAAACTTTTTATTAGAAAGTTCATAGTTGTGTCTGGTTTATGGCTCTCAGAAACACGACTTTGTAGACTACTGGGGGATGTGGGGGAGGGGGGGTCTCCAAATGATGCTGACCCATTCTCCCCATTTCTCTGAGTCTGTACCACTATTGTGGTCATTAACACCGTCCCTTTTTCCAAAAAATGCATAAATAGCCTGGTGTTTTCGTTGTGTCTCCATCCTGTCCCTTTCAACAAGCTCCCAACAAGTCAAGCTACATGGTTCTAATGACTAAATTATATCCAACTGGTTTTAAATTAAACCGGTCACAATTTGTTCTCATTAGCCTTGAGATGTTATGTGTTGTGGCATGTGGTTACACAAATAAAAAGTTATTTGAAAACTCACCAAAATGACAATGACTTACAGCTTCATCCACAAAAGCTAATAAAAAAGTTTTTTAACAGCAAAAAAAACAGGAGCTGGAGAAACGTTATTCTTTACATTAGGTGTTTGTGCACACGTGTGCCCCTCCTAAAGACGAATCTAAACCCAGCTTCCACAGAAGCCGGGAACTATCTGTGCGGAGGGTATGGGGGCCCCACCGGGGCGGTGGGAGCGGTTTCACTCTGTTCTTTCCTCCCTCCGCTGCAAAAGAACATATTATGTAATGCTTCCACACATGTATGGAAGTAGGTCAGGAGCCTATGAATCCTACGGTGGAAAAAAAAAACCTCCTGGCCTACATTTTAGAAGGCTTTTCTTCCTTTTACGTATGCATTGTTGTTACTCCTGTTTTTTTCCATTATAGCTCTCTGACAGAGAAAAAGCTCTCTCAAGATGTTCTGGATTTCTTTTTGTTTAAAACATATTCTGAGTTTGAATCAACAAATCGTGCGACTGCCCTGCCTTTTAGACAAAGTTATATTTTTAGATGTTTTTTTCCCCCACTTAATGTACCCTTAAGTAATCCTCAGATGTTAATATTACACTTCACGCACGCGTGCATGCGTGGAAGCTTGACAAGCCCCCCCACAAGTATTATTCATAGAGCACAAAGCAGCTTCCAGACACAGAAAGACTGCTGACGCCTCCGTAGTCACAGCAAAGTACAACAGCGAACATCTGTCTTGGACCATTTGTCTACTGTGTTCTTAATGCACCTGTGAGTTGCTATTATACGTAGATATGATTGTTTTTAGCCCAAGAAGGAGCACAAATTGAAGCATTCCAGCTCCCCCCCTCATTTTCCCAATAACCAACAGAGATCGTGCATTCAAATGTTATGTATGTGCTTTTTTGTTGCCTCTTAAAAAGCTAAATTGTGGTGTTGGAAATGAGGATTTTGAATAACTCAGGCCACCGCTTTTAAATGCGTACAGTGGGCAGGAATGTAAGCGGGGTTTGAGTAGTGGGTCCTATTACAGTCTTATCTTTCATGGGAATTTCCCACATTCGACTTCGGTCTCGGGGCCGGACGAACACCTGCGTGTCTCATGCCGTCCCTTTTAAAAACACTTCGGGAGCCTTGACCCAAACCCAGGACCTCTGAGCTGCGGAGTCACGCAGGGATCCGTGTCAGGAGATTTATGATCTTCAACTGGTGACCCGTGCCAGCGTCCTGGCGTGGTTCGGGGTTTTAACAGTAACTCATTACATGCTGAGCGTCCGTGCCAAAGCGCATTTCGAGTTGGTGTTAATTACCCCAAGTGGCATCTGAGACATTTTCAAATGGGTGTTAGTTAAGGCGTGCGAGATGGCCAGACCAGACTTAAATAAGGCGGATAAGAGGTTATGTAACACCGGCTGTGGTCGGCGAGTGTTAAGAAATAGAAGTGTAGAGTTTCAGATCCACTCTGAGGCACCTCTGACCTCCACCTCTGTATTTCCGCACACTTTTTGTGACCAGCTCTGAGTGGCAACTACGATGATAAGATGATTTTACAAAGGAAAGGGAGATCGTAAATTTGGCAATTCAAATTTACTCTGAACTCCTTGACCTCACTTGCAAATCTCCGTGGCCAGTCTTTGTGCGGATGCTGTAGGTGAGCCTCTCATCCGTGCTGTCTCTAGATAACAGCAAACCCTGCACTTTTCCAGACCGCAGCAGCCACCGCTCTGAGGGGTTACGAGGGCTGGAGCTCCGGCTCTCACTGGATCTTGTTTGTGTAGGTTTGTGCGCGCCTTTTTTTCCGCCTGTTTCCGTCTGAGTGTCTGAGCTTCTCCCGACGCACCTCCAGAAAGCAGCCGACTCACACGGAGCGTGAAAACAACCCAATAAATCCTGCCCTCTGACTCCTAACTCCATACATTTAGGGTTTGGATGGTCACGTCTCCCCCCTCGCGCAGGTCAGACGGACACGGCCGAGCAACCGCTAACCCTCCTGGCGCAAAAGGTGGCTGCGGCCTGCCTGTCTGAAAACAATATCTTCATTCCGCTGTCACAATCGCAGAGTGCTTTTTAAACACATTTCTAACCGAGGAAAACAACCCGGGACGGGCCTTGTTTAATGCGTCCATTCATCCTCTGCTGTCGCCACTGCCTCCGCTCAGCCTCATTTACGGCCTCTTTCTATATTTACTCCTTTTACTGCAGGACTGGAGGAGCCATTGTCTCCATGAGAGCTGCAGGGACAAGTGGATCCGCTGCATGGAGGTGTTTTGGAAAGGACATTTTTTGGAGGGTCACCGTCTCACCTGTGTCTGTGAGGCTCAGTCTGTGTTTACGGCGAGTGGAGCTGGGCAGGGAGACGAAGCCACAGCCCAGACACAACAACGCACGGCTCTCAGATATTAAACTGGACGCACTGTTTCGCAGAGCCGGTGGTGAAATGACGCTCTGTTTTTAGATAATTTATTTTCAGTGTGAATAACACAAACATGCTGTAGAAATATCCACAATTTAGTAAAGTGAAGTAAAGTGAGATGAGCCAGAGCTCCTTCAAAATTCTGCTTTCTGTTTTTGAACTATTACCACAATGTAAAAGGGAGAATTGGTTGGGAATATGTATCTATTAAAGGTGATATTAAGAGTGAGTTCCACTTTATTATTACTTTATAAAAATGTAAATGCCTAAATTTGCTGTGAACATTTTTTTTTTTTATAATCAATGTAAATAGTGTGATCTGTAAAGCATTATTACAGAGTGGGGTTGCAAAGCGAAGGCTCACAGGAAGGAGGAGTAAAGAACAACTCTCTTAAACCAAAAGCAGTGAAAGCTTTGTCCAGAGGAAAACACCACAGGAACACGTGTAGTCATGTGTGAGTGGGAAAAAGCATTTTGAATAACTGAGATCTTGCCTCCAAACTGGGGACAAAGAGGGTATTTACTCAGAGAAAGTGAATGACAAAGGAAGGGCAATTTTGAAATTTGGCTCACTGAATCAAGGTGTGCGAAGACAGGGAGGCACAGACTGACCTGGTGAGAGAAAGAAAACAAGAATACACGAAATTAATCAAAGTGAACATTACCAGACCTGATAGAGAACCAAAAAAAGAAATGCAAAAACACAATTTTCTAAAAAAAAAAGTCCAACTTTTAAGAGAAACTTCATATTCCTGCTTTCACATCTTTTATTGGGTGTCAAAGTACAACCAAAACCTTGAAAGCACCTCAGCAGAGACACTGCTGTGGAGTTTATAGGATATTAAAGTATAGCGTTCAGAGCACCCCAAGCAGAACTTCTCCCTCTGAAGTTTGGTGAAAACAAGTCCGACAATTAGAGAAAAAAAAAAAAGCACTTAAGAAAACTTGTTTTTTAGCTTGTTCCCAGCCATGCTCTAAGCTGAAATAAACATTAAATGCTAAATTGTTGTTTTGGAAAGCTTTGGCGGTTACATGGCAAACTGGTATGCAAAAATAGAGCCTCTCTGCCATCTGTTGAGTCACAAAAACCTAATTACTAATGTTCTCCATGCTCACTTAGCCATGGCTTGCGTATGGGGGAGTTATATAAGAGTCGGTCGAGAAGGGGAAGAGTAACCAGACAAAAAAAACAAGAGATATGTTTTCCAGAAATGATGGTGGAACCTTTCACATGGTTCTCACCAAGCATGAATATTATTACAACACACGCCAAATGGTTAAACCTGGAAATAATAATAATATCATGCAGCCATGCTCGGTGTGGGCTAAAGGAGCATATCCTGTTGTGGTGGGTCTGGGAGAGGCCTAGAGCTGCCTGTCTGAAGCCGACCACAGCCTCCCACTCCTCACCATCTGAATCACTGTTTACTTAGACAGGACGGCTGCCTGCTTCAGCACCATCTGCTGCAGCTGCAGCTCCAAGTCTGACTCGCTTGTGGCTTTGGGACGGGGGTGGGGGGGGTGGGGGTGGGGGGGGGTTGTGTTTTCCCTGACGGCCAACTTTCTAAAAGCAGAAACAAGTTAAAACCAAATGCTTGCAGACAACAAGAGCCCGGCCTCGGAAAACCACAGCTTGTCTGAGCCGTCTACCTCAGAGGGCTGAAACGCCCCCACCTTCTGCAGGAACAGAGCCCCATTCACAGCAGTGACTAAAAAGCAGATAATGCCAGGGACTCAGTCTGTAACGTGCAGCTTCATTAAAAAAAAAAAGTCCCGTTTAAAGAGATAGATGAAGGTTCTGTGCAAAAAATTCAAAATGTACAACTTTCACATTAAGAAATGTTTGTATAATCATTTACTGTAATTTTGAATTTGGCTCCAGTAGCTTGTTTCCACAAGAAGTTGTAAAAGAGATTATAAAAGACCAAAATGTGATGTTGTAATGACAAAAAGGGACATCTTGTTATGCCGATGCAGCAGGTTAGAAATAATTATTAGCAAAAACAATCCCAAGTTTCCCCGCTAAATGATAGGTGGCAGACTACAACAATAAAAGACCAATTTTGAAAGATTTTAATTAAGAATTCAGAGATGGACATCAGCTGTGGCTCATAATGTAACTGAAGGACAAACAGCATCAAATGTACCTGCGATCCTTCAGAGGGAATCATTGAAATCATTTGTCTTTTCTTGGAACTTTTTGTTTCAGAATGATGTTGTATCTTATTAAGAAAAAAAAATGAACACATCAACTCATAAAAGAATGTTACATATAGGTTAAATGAGGTTTTATAGGTCAGATTTTTTACTTTGTTTTTAACTTAAACGGCTCCCACTTTTGATAATACGTTAAATCACATAATGACCCAGTAAAATACACAAATCAAACAAAAGCTGGTCACTATAAACTGACATAAACAGACAAGAATAAATAAATGCTGCTTTAAATTTACATCTGTGGTCACATTTCAGTGACCCACTTTCAGAAACAGGAAGTAAATTCACTTCAGTTGTTTGGCAAAACACATTCACATAGTCGGGCAGCTATATTTATTCATCAGGGGTAAAAAAAAAAAAAACCCTCCAAAGTACAGGTAGTTGGAGTTATATTAAAAACGTGGTTTCCTCTTCTTCCTCTTCTTCATTGGTGAGGAAGCAGGTGGCCCCTGGGCCTGAGAGACGACCCCTCTATGGTCACTGTGGCCCGGTCCAAGACCGACTGGGTGGGGGTGCACACAGTTGGTTTGGAGTGAATTTCCTGCTGTAGTAGTAAGCGTAAAATTAGAATTTAATGTGAAATGGAAGGAGGTGGGGCAGACACGCGGAGGCGCTGGGATTCGAAAGGAATGCAGCCGAGTTTTCTGTCAACAAACTCCTGTTTGTGTGGCCGGTGACAACAGCTTATGAAATGTGAGCGAACGGAGGCGATGCCTGTGGAAGGCAGGAGGATTGTGTTTACCAATTCAGTGACAATTACGGTTTATGTGGAGACCAATCAGGACATTTTGGAAAAAAAAGACTGTGAACAAAAGTTTCTCTTTTTGGTGTTCGGTTCGTATGAAAGGCAGCATGAAGGAGGCCTGGGAATGGCTTGTTTACATCCTAAATGTTGAGCTGATGAGAGGAGGCTGTCCTTTAAACCAAAGATTATGATGTGATTTAATGTATGGGTGTGGGCTTCCTGGTATAGCAACAGGCAGGAAGCAATACAGAAAAAGTCGTAGCACGTGAAAATGAGTGAGTTGCGCTGCTCTCTGCTGACCCCTGGTGGCCATAACCCCTCAGTACAACTCATTCATGGTGTAATGAAGACTTTCTATTGTGTAACTGCAAAGTGTATCATGTACACATGGTACAGAAAAGCCCACAAAAGAATGAAAAGAATTGTTTACTACAAACCGGTTGTTATTTTGCTTTTATTATTAATTGTATAAACAGTGTTGTCCTAGGCATAACTAGTGCATAGAAGCCTCTTTAAAAGTCTATCAAGAGATTTACAGATGAGTATGGTTTGGTATATTTTTGTCACTAATTTTCTTACAACCTCAGAAATAAATTCAGAAAGCAGAGAAATTTGATTTTAAACAACGTGCTATACTCACTTAACAACATTCAACATAAGGAGGCACGAAGCCCAGAACCAACATTTAACAATACTGAGATAAAAGACAGCGGGGATTTGCAGAACATTTGTCTGAAGGCTACAAAAGTGTCACAGAGTAATTTGTTCTGCTCTCAGCCAGGTGTCCAGTGTGCATCATCAAGAGGGAAATACCAGCATTTGATGCCATAATCTTTGGTTAGTGGGTGATCTTGACCGGCTACGTCAGATTGCATCGAGAGTGGCTGCACATGTGAACCTATTTACTTAAAGTGTGATTATTCATCAGTCAAATAAATCATAAATCAGATTAAAATCCAATGCCCCCCCCCCCATGTCTTTCTATAACGATAGTTTAACACTTAAATTTAAGGAATTGAGTCATTTATGTCACTCAGCTGGCAAAGTAAAGTTTTCAGCATATCTTAACGAGCAAAAACGAGATCCTCTTTGTAACATTAATCTTAAATACCACTTATTAATTCAAAGAAATGTCATAAAATCAACATTTTATGTCAATTTTCAAGATCAACTAAGTGGTGACAGCGATACAGAAACAAAATCCTACAATCAGATATCTGTTCAATCTATTTGATAATTAGCATTTTATTTTCCTATAAAGATCTGTGCAGGTTAAAGCCGTCAGTGTCAAACCGAACCAACACTACTGAAAGACAACTGGAAAAATGAACCAGAAGCAACCTCATTGACAGGTTAATGATTCTAAAAAAAACAAACAAAAAAACACACAAACTAGCAGCTGAAGGCTGTTTGCTTGGAGGATTTGATCAAAAGAAAAAAAAAAACTAGTGGGATAAAAAAATTGTGAAATGTTGACAGGAAATGATCTGGTATGAGAGGAAATTCTTTCTTGTTAGGGTCAGATTTACTGATACAATCATACCAGCCAATAAACTTTTCCATTTTCCTCATGGTGAGCGTAGCTTTAGCAACTTTATGTACTGACATGTCAAAGAGATACAATTGTTTATTTGTTAAAACGTTCAGTTGCCAATAAGAGGCAGACCAGGACTGAAGTCTACTGTTTCTGTCAGTTAAGGTTGTCTGTGTTCCATAAACCCACCAGAGGCAGGAATAAAGTAAAAATGACTACTTTTATTGCTAATTTCACTCAGCTGTGTTGCAGGTATATTTCCACCGAATGCAACGAGTGAGTGAATAATTGAAAGAAGATATGTGGTGGTAGATTGAATGTATGCATAACAACAATACAACAGACAATAGGACAAATTTTAGCTGCACTCCTGTTGTCTGTCTGATTATCTGACCTGCTTTGTCAAATCAAGGCAAAGAGAAGAAGAATATCCTTCTGTTTTGCACTTTGGAAAATTTGCCAGCAGTGTCACACGTAGCAGGTAAATAAACTGAAGCCGTTTTTTACACACACATGCACACACACACACACACACTGGGGTCCTAAAATGTTCTCGAGGTGAGACAGGATACGAGAACGCAAACCTCCGGCTGAGATTTTCCATCCAAACCCCGGGAGTAAACTCCCCAGAAGGTCGGCGGGTGAGACAAGGAGCTGTGGCGTCAGCAAATATTTCAGAGTGGATGACAGTTTGTTCTTTTCTGCTGATCTGGCAGATACGGGCAGCTCTCCCCTGATCGCCATCTGCCATTTTCAGCGTCTTATAAAGCAAACGCAGAGACTTTCTGACACAACTCAGGTTCCCCGCCCAAATCCCCAGAAAGTCTCTTTTGTTCATGTGTGAAACCGGCTCCATGCATGCAAAGCCACCTGTGAGGTGTTTAATACAAGACGTTTGAGGGACTCTACGTTCTTTTGGCGGGTTTGGCTATGAGCTGCCTCTCTCTCTCCAGCTCCTTCTCACGTTGCTGCTCCCTCTCCAGCTCCTCTCTCTGCTTTTGCTGCTGCAGCTTCAGAGCTCTTTTCTAAGAGAAAAAAAACATCAACACAGTCTCATTTGCATCCAACCAACATTTTGTTTTGCGCTCCCAGATGACTGAAAAAGGAGAATACCTTTAGTTTGGTTGTTTTTTCGTGCAGCGTGATCATCTCTTTCCTGACGTTCACCAGTTTATTGTGATAAAGTTTTGCTTCTGTAAACTGAAGGAAACAAACCGGATTAGGGATCATTTCAGATGGCTGGAGTAGAAACAGCAAACATGAGTATGATGAGCGCAAATGAGACTATCGTCCCTAAAAATGTCCAAACATACCAGAGAATTGAGGTCCAGTAAGGTGTTGCACTCTCTGAACTTAGTGACTTCTTGATCCAAAGTGTCTAACAGTATTAGCTGATTTTGTCTGGTGGTGAGAAAAGGCAAACGAGTAAGCAGATGTAACCACAACATTTTTCATAAAAGTTCAATCAGATATAAAACAAGACTACTCATGTTTGCTGACATATGCTGGACATGTCAGAAGTCTGAGGCAGAGTAAACAGACTTGTTGCTTTGAGAGATAAAGCTTTGGCGGGACGCAGCACAGCCAGCATGAAGGCAACTGGTCAACCCGTTCGTCGGGTTTGGTCCAATTATCTGTGATCGTGTTTGTTTACAGCAAAATAGCGTCTGCATGTATGTTCTTTCCTGTGAGCATCACATCACAGACAGCTGAGAGACATTTAGCACAATTTTTTTGCACGTTTTTTTAGCACTTCCTCCTAATCTATGTGGCCACTGAGAAGCATTGAATATTTTTGAATATGTGAGAAGTCAACCTGCAAACAATGCTCAGTTGTTACAAATCTATTTAGGTTAAAATTGATGTAGAGTGTTATGGTCGCATCTATAATTTTACTTTATCAGTGACAACAAAAACTGGCCATCTGCTGTATGTAAAGAACCATTTCCAGTTGAAGTAGACAAACGTAAACTAGCTCCCTCATAGCGTTTGATGACATCCTCCTGACTTTAATTAACAGTTTCTCCATGAAGTAGACCAAAGGAGACGGCTCTCACAGGTTCCTGGGGTCAGAAATCCGATGACATAAGTCTTAAGAAAATCCGGCATCTACAAAGTGTTAAACATGCAGAGAAACATAAAGAATCCAAATACGCACGTGAGCTCTTGCAGGGCTCGTTTAGAGTTCTGCAGATCTGGTAGGTAGTGAGACAGTAATCCCTCTGTGAGTTTATCCACAGCTTTCCGGTCCACGTAGACGTTTTCTACGGGGGCCGAGCTCTCCGGATCCGCCGGCTGCTGCTGCAGATCTGTCAAATGGTTCAGATAATTCAAACTTATTCGTTGTTGTTTTGTTTTTTTAGAAATGATTCCTAAAAATTCCAGTATCAATGCAGATGTCATAACATGTTCCTTGCAAACACATACAGCTTGCTTACATTGAAAACTTGAGGATTATTATTATTATCTTTTGTTGGCAACCAATGGGAAAAAGTTTAAAATTATAATCCAACTGTAGATGTTAATGTTTTCAATTACCGGTTGATACATTTATCTTTTTTTTTTTGCTTTTTCTTAAACTTCTAAACAGAGTTGATTATGGCAGATAGAAATGTTTGTAAAGGTTTCACTTTAAAGTCAAACAATTACATTAGAAGCTCTTCAGAAACTTGCTTTCCAATCCTTTAAGCTCTTGTCGTTATTTTGGTCACTAAATTGGAATATCTGCTATTCCTCCTCGCTGACATTTCTTAAAATGGAACACAAACTGAGGGCATTTTTTTTCCATGCCTAACATGCCTATTGAGATGTCTGTTATATTACTGTCATGGCTCTATCAAATAGTCTTTGTGCCAGCAGCACTGGTTCCAGCTGTTATTCATTGTGTACTGTCTGGAAGCATGAAAACTAACCAGTGTCCCAGAAAAGGACAAACAGCAATTTTACCCTTATCATTCCACTGCCTTTTCCTCAATGTCAAGCCTTAACTGAGTTGGAAATGCTCATGGTAATGGCTCCCATTGTCATGGACAAGGCCTGAGAGCTAAACGTTTTTAAAATTCCAAATTGGCTTGACCTGGACTCTCTTAAGAAAGTCACAAATGTCTGAAATCCCAGTAAGAGTAACTGAAGAGCTCACATCTTTGGGGCCAACCACATATTTTTTTTAAGTAACTGCAAGTTATGTGCTTATATCAGCTTTGTCCACGTGTCAGTAGAAAATTACAGGCAACTGAGATTAGGGCGCAAGTTTTGCATGCCACTGTGTGGTGAAAGTCAGGTATGTGTAGCAGGATTTGGGTGTCTCTGTGTGGAAGTTCACCCTGGGATGAAGGTCCTTCATCTTCCATCCCCTCTACCTCCATCTGCAGCAACTCAGTGGACCCAGTCTGATTGTCAGGCACCAAGCAATCGGCCGAAACCCCGTGTTTTATCTGATGGGAAATAACCAGTTAAGCATGTACAACAGAGCACAAAAAGGGAAGTAGCCCGACCCGTTGCCAGGTATGTTTTCTACACCCTGATGGGGTCCAGCTAGCTTACCGCGGCGCCTCATAATGAGAGCAGCGTGACAAATTAGCTTGGTTTCTCCGGCCTTTTCTAAACAATTCAGAATAATGTCATTTCAACCGTTGTCTTACCCGTTTATAACTCTCCTGAACAAAGAGCGTAGTCCTGATAAGAGGCGTTATGAACACGGAAGAGTAAACATAGATTCACGGTTTGTTGCAGCGCTCGAGGCGCGTCATGTGATTTAGGCGTCGTCACGTGACTGCGTGCGCAGCTCACCAAACTGCCCCCAGTCCGTCACTCTGGCGACGGCACCCGGGTGGCGTCCACCCCGCGATGTTTACACAGGTATTGTCATGTCACTTCTGGATTTGACAACGGACTGAGTTTATGCCAGCCTACAGACGTCTAACCGTAAGTTTTTCTTCTGTTTTCAAGCGAACTTCCGCCAAGTCAGGCACTCTCCGACGCAAACCGACACGGGGAAGCTAACCGTTAGCTAGCTTGTCACTGTTTAGCCAAGTATGCTTTACGAGCTCTACTCAAGTCAAAGTTTCTCTGTTGTGCTCATCTAAAAAAAAGGAGATCTATCCAGCCTATATGCGGCGAGTTTAAGTCCACAGAGAGCCCGTTGTTGAAATGTTTAGAGCTGTTCCGACGTGGGACGATACTCGTTGGTGTAATTATTTTTTCATCACTTTCCCTTTTGACAGGATGGAGTAGAAATGCGCCTCCACCGTCGCGCCCCCACATGAAGACATGAATGATTACCTCGGAGGACGGTAATTTTCCGAAACAGCTTACCTGGATAGGGCCGGTAATTATTAAAAATGTCAGGTGGGAACATCCTCAGCAAGGTGCGGTCCGCCTTCCGGAGGGAGCGGACCGACTGGGACCTGAGCGACACGGCTCCCTTCGACTTCTCCGACGAGCTGGTGGAGGACGAGGCCCCCAAGTTCAACAAGCTGAAGGTGGTGGTGTCCGGGGAGATGTCCGACTACTCTGCCGGAGCCCCCTCCAACGGAGTGGCCGTGAACACGCTGGTGGTGGCGGACGATGATGACGACGACTCCCTCCTGGACTCCTCTTCCAGCACGGGCAGCCCGGGCCTGAACATGGCCCCCTGTGACAGCTGCACACTGAAGAGGGAGAGGATCAAGCACAGGAAGGTGATGAAGAGGCTGGTGGTGGCGGCCGTCCTCTACTTCCTGTTCATGACGGGAGAGATCATAGGTAAGCATCACGCTTGGTATTGCTTGTTATGCCAAGTAAGCATAATGAATTTCCCTTTTTTTAAGTGGCATTCTTCCCTTTGATCACAAGTTTTTTCAACAGCAGGACTATAGTTTTGGTTCTGCTACGAAATTCACATCGATTTTATGAGTGCATGCTCATAAATGTTTTTATTTTATTTTACTAAATGCTTCAATATCAACAGCTGATGCCTGTTAACTAACTTAACATCTTAGTTTAGATAACTGATCAAACATGTAGTGATGGTGTTGACAGGTCTCCATTTTGATTCTCTGTTTTGTTTTATTACAGCTGATTAAAGATTAACTTTTTTTTATTTTTTTTTTACTTGTTCTTACATGTTTGTTTTAAGCATGACTGTCATAGGAAAGGGACGTTTATTGCCTATTTAATAGGCAAATGTAACTTCACACTGAGAAAAAAGGTTGTTTTCTTTTTTTCTTGTCACAGTAAAATTAAGTTTAAAAACTAATTGGGTTATTTTACTTGACATGACACAACAACCACCTTTTTTCTAACACGATCAAATATTAACCTTTAGGAAAGCAGGATATTGAAAAGATCTTTTATGGTACATTAACAGGTTGAGCCACTATCACCTGAATCGCCAACCAACATCATCCACCAACAGAAACGGGAGGGAAAAAAAGATGTAGCGTATGTTTTATGGTTCTTCTGTTAAAGTGGAAGTTATTGCCTTTTCCCCCCTGGTTCCCACAGAGATTATAACGTGGACCGTTAGTCAAACAGCCTGTGATTCACTGCACATCAACAAACAAAATGACATTCACACACCAATTTTTTTTATTCTTTATCTGCTAATCTACACTGTGTAAATGTTCTGATTTAAAAAAAATAAAATAAAATAATTGCAGAGAGAGGAAATATTCTCCCAACCATAGAAACAACACTGTGTTTTTTAGGTTGTGTTTGGGCCCTTTTGTTAATTTCCTCAAAATATTTACCGAGAGAATTAAACTGCCATCCCTCCATTTTCTACATATGTCATTTTAATTGTTCCCGTTGTCCTCTTTCAGGCGGTTATCTGTCAAACAGTTTAGCCATTATGACGGACGCTGTCCACATGCTGGCAGACGTGGTGGGTATCTTGTTTTCCCTGTTGGCCCTCTGGCTTTCCACTAAGCCTCCCACCAAGAGGTTCACCTTCGGGCTGCATCGCCTCGGTGAGTATCAGGCGCTATCTTTGCTCTTACTTTTCACTTCCCCTTTCTTCCTCTATTCCGGGCACAGCAAACAAACAAACAAACAAACATGAATTCTAACCCCTTTGAGAGGAGAGAGTGCTCCTTTAGCAGAACAGACGGCTCCCTTACTGCTGATTAGGGATGTCCCAATCCAGCTTTTTTAACTTCTTATCTGATACCGATCCCGGCCTATCAGAGCATGGATTAAAGTTTAAAGTTATTTAGCCTACTTACTTAGTTGTCAGACTCAGGGATTTACTCTGATAACAACTTAATGGTCAGGACACAGACCTGTGGGTTAGCAGATGCTAATGCTAATGCTCCTGTGGGATCGGACTTTAAAAAAAAAAACTGGATCTGGAGTCTGGATCTGCATTTTCTCCTGCCGGCCGATACGCATTTTTTTGCGAATATCGGCGGCTGATCTGATCCAAATATCGAATCGGGACCAGCCTACTGTCGATGCCCTCTGAGATGCTGTGCGTCCTCCTGCAGAGGTGGTGGCGGCAGTCCTCAGTGTGCTGCTCATCTACATGCTGACCGCTGTGCTGCTGTATGAGGCGGTCCAGAGGACGGTTCACCAGGACTTCAACATAGATGGAGATGTCATGCTCATCACGGCAGCTGTCGGTGTGGCTGTGAATCTCATGTGAGTCAGCAACACCACAGGAAAGCATGAGGGTGACTCTACGTTTAGTCCAAAGCTCAGTCTGACCTCCCAGGTGCTGATGAGCTTTGACCACTGCATCGCGTCTCTCCTGACATTTCAGAATGGGTTTTCTGCTAAACCAAGGAGGTCACCTGCACTCGCACGGCCACGGCCACGGCCACTCCCACGGCCCCCCGGCGGCCTCCGGCCCCCGCCCGGCCGGGTCGGCCCAGCAGAGGCCCCACGGGAGCCTGGCCGTGAGGGCCGCCTTCATCCACGCTCTGGGAGACCTGCTGCAGAGCATCGGGGTGCTCATAGCGGCCTACATCGTCCGGTTCAAGGTACCCCACTTTTGAACAGTTTCCCGTAAATATGGACACCCTCTCTCATGCGGCTTTTACAGCAAACCTCCAGAAAGATATATTAGATAGAATTAGATTGATTCAGAGGCAGCGCTGTAACTTGTCCTTATGTCCTGAACTCGGCCCGTGAAAACGACAGGTTCTGGCTGTAGAACCTCAACAGGCTGTGGAGAGTCTCAGTCCCTGATAATCCAGAATGTTTTTGTCTTTGATTAACTTATTTTGACTGAAATCTCTGTCACACTAAGACTCTTAGTCCAAGATTCTCTTTTAGATGGTTAAAATGATCAATCTTGTCATTTTTTAAAGATTTTTTAAATGATTTTGTATGTGTCTTAGTCCAAGATTCCCTTTTTAAATGGTTAAAATGATCGATCTGGTCCTTTTTTTAAAGACATAATTATGTTGCCGTTAGTTAGTATAGCGTGTTAAAGTTGGTAGATGTGCTTTTCTCTAAAGAGGAGCGGTCTTTGCCCATTCTTGCCACACTGCCTGAAGTACCCTCTTGGGCAATTAGCATCCGCACTTGGGTGTTGTGTTTATGTACTAGCCGGCTGGAGCCCGTAAACATAGGAAATACTGCTATCAGTGTAAAAAACGTCCTGTTGAGTCATTCTGAAACCGTTATTTTTAACACATTATATCTCTTTTCAGTTGTGATTTCATTATTTAAATACTTCCGACTATTAAAAACGTAGGTGTAAACTACTTTTCAGTTGTTTTTATACCAGGTACAGCTGGCAGTGATGGAACAAAACCAAAGTTTTGGTGGTTACTTCCACAAATGTCCCCTCTGTCTTCACAGCCGGATTTGAAGTTGGCAGACCCGATTTGCACCTACATCTTCTCGGTTCTGGTCCTCTGCACCACATTCCGCATCATAAGAGACACCATAGTCATCGTGCTGGAGGGTGAGTCTATTCTTTAACTCAGGACTCTTCTCAGGTTTCTGTAAGTGTCAACAGTTCTGTGGTTCTGTGGCCGCTCTGATGTTGTTTCTGTGGACTTTCTCCAGGTGTTCCCAGACACTTGGACACTCAGCTAATTAAAGAGGACCTCCTGAAGCTGGAGGACGTCCAGTCAGTGGATGAGCTGAACGTCTGGGCCCTGACCGGCGATAAGACCGCAGCCCTGGTTCATCTTCAGCTCAGTGAGTGGCTATTCGGAAAGATTTCCTTATCGGAGCTGATGTGCTGCCCACAATTCTTCTTATAATAATAATAATGATAGAGACCTTTCTGCGTACTAACTGAGTTAGCAAATCCAGCAAATCACACAGTCTGAATTCAACTACACCTACTGTTTTTGTCCTAAAACCTCACAAAATATCATAATTCTTGTCAGAAATGTAATATTTTGTGACAACTGAATTTAAGTCAAATTAAATCCAAGAGTAGAAATATGACTGGCATGTTTATGCTTTTAGATTTCCTTTGAGTTTGGCTCTCATCAACGCCCAACACGTTCCCAGGTAGAGCAGGCCCACTTTCAGGCTCTCCTGCTTCCTCCGGGCTTTAGGCAGCGTGTTTAATGTGGGGACGTGTCAGAACAAAACGTTGGCATAAAGCAGCCTTGAGTCTTTATCAGCATTTTCTCTGGAATTCATTTGGATTTATCTTTAATCTCAGCCTTGTTAGTGCTGTCTGGCGTCTGTCTTTACTGTTGAGATCCACAGTAAAGAAAAAATATTTTTAACTTCCACCCCCAAGAAGAAAGAGTTCCAACTCCCTTTATTCCTCACTGTGTGCCTTTAAAATGTAGAAGAAGCTGCACTGCCTCAGGCGACATGTTAGCTCACAGTGTTTTCTTTAGAGCGTCTGGCTTTACTGAAAAGTGATGCACAGAACTGAAAGAGTCTGACCTCGTCTCGGGTTTAACACTGAAAATCATTGAATGCACAAGAAAAAAGAAAGTTACTCAGATAACTGCCGGCTCATGTTTTCCACCTTAATGTTTGATCTTTCCACGGTGAAACAGCATTTATGAAAACAAGAAAATGCTGCTGGTCATTTAATATGACATCTTAAAACAGTGTTTTTCAACAATGATCCAATTTCACCTAATTGGTCCATAAAGATTTTTCGATAACAAATTAATTATGTGCAAATAATCTGCCCTTTTTAGTGTCTGTGCTGTAGTAGTGACTGGAGGGGTAATCGTGTAATAATTCCTTATGACTAGATGGCAGCAGGTAGCGAATTGCATTGCACTAGCAAGACTGTGATCGAGAAGTTTTTGAAAAGACAGAATTAAAGTTTCTAAAACACTTTGAAGTTTTCTACAACCTCTTTAAATTTAGGACCACATTGTTGTGGCCCTATTTCAGGTGTGTTTTTGAAGTAGACATGTTAATTGCAATTTGAAAGAAGAAACATAAAATATAATAATAAATACATGTTTGGGTTTATTTAAATCCCATTCAAGACACTTTGATAAGAATAGCTATATTGTTAATACAATCCCTACAGAGGATAATTTGTTTAACATTTTTAGTTGGTGGTGTGCCTCTGGGTGTTTTCAATAAAAAAAAAAAAGTACCTTTGCTCTAAAAAGGTTGAAAAAACAGTCTTAAAAATCTTACAAACACAAGTTGAACTTTCAGAGGTCTTTGTTTGCATCATGTGGTAACTCATTTGATTCTGCCAGGAAATAAAAAAAATATCCTTTTTGTGCGCACAGCTCCCTCTAGTGGCGAGAACTGGGAGGAGGTCCAGGCGAAGGCCCGCCACCTGCTGCTGCACTCGCACGGCCTGAGCCGCTGCACGGTGCAGGTGCAGACGCACAGGCACAGGATCGTGCGCAGCTGTGGGCTCTGTCAGCAGCCCAGCGCCTGAAGACGGACTCACAACAACCCTTCTGTCAGCAGCCCGCTCCAGGGAGGCCGCCGGGGACTGCTGCCGCCGCTCAGTGCCTCAGGAGGAGCAGAAACGTGCCAAAGGAAGGTCAGAGGAACAGATGCACACACCTCTAATTAGGGAGGCCCAGAGGCCTCCTCGGACTTTTGCTTGCAAAGCTTCTGGAATTGACGTTGACTGCTTGTCTGAAAGAGAAGAAAGACAAAAACTTGACCTTAATTCACCATTAAAGCCTCTTTCTAAGGGTGTTTTTTTTCCTTTAATTTTTTCTTTTTCTATGTAACATTTTGATTTGTCACGACAGATGTTTGTGGTCAGATGTAGATTTAGTTTTTTTGTTTTTTTAGAGTTCAAACTGGAAACTAAAAGTTCAACAGAAGTCAGCAGTCATCAGTATAGAAGAGTAATTCATATCATTTGAAAAAGAGTTCAGACTTGTGACATTTTGACCTATTAGAAGACACAAAACTGTATTAAATCGACTTACTTATTCTACTTATGCCCAAGTATATCCCCAATCAAATTTAGTTTCCACTAATAAAGGGTTTGATCTCCTTAAAGCTGCTCTCTCTGACATGTGATGTTTTGGGGCAGATCTCATTTTAGCAAATCTGATAAAACTGGCAGACAGCTGACAATCAGAATGCTTCTGTTTGGGTCTGAGGGCATCATTAATGCTTATATCACTAACAGACATGTGGATGCAGACAGGTTTTGTGTGTCTGACGAGGAGCGAGTTGACATTTTGCCACGTATTTGTTTTCACAGTGTTTTTTTTCCTTTTGTCAGTGTTAAGAGCCTGAGAGGGGTTTATTGATGAAATATGAGTAATCACAAATAATTATATTTAAAAACAGAATTGCTGTTTTTGTTTGGAATAAAGTGTTAAAAATGTTATGTTGCCTTATTTCTGTGTCTATCCACAGAACGTTTCTTTTTAATAGTCCCTGTTTCTGATACTTTCACACCCTCACTCATGTTTCTCCAAATTATTTTGGGGTAAAGTGATAATTTTAACTGAATTTAACAAAATTAAGTAAGTAGTAACAGAGGACGAATAAATGGGTGTAGAACAATAATAATAAATCCTAATGGCCCTTTCTATGTGTGCAATATCCTGTATGAACACCAGGTGGAGCTCTAATGTTTAAAACATTAAACCAGATCTGTGGTTAAACCGTTAATATCTGAAACTAAACTCTTTTGTTGTGAGTAGAAACTTCTTCTCAGGCAGAAAAAAAATGTTCTTTAGAGTCTAAAAATGAACCATAGTTTGGTTTAATAGATATGAAGGAAGCTGTTAGTACTCTTAGTTCTGTAAACCACTGAAGTATGACTGATAATCATGTAATGCAGCAAGTTTTCTATTCATACATTAAATATCTGATCAGAGACTCTCCACCCAGTAAAGTTAATGTGCAAAACGAGGCTTTGTCACTGGTTCATGATTAACTTGAATAAAGTGGGCGCGCCTGTTTCCAGGCAGCTGCTGTATAACCATAAACTTGCTGTCCCATCTCTGCCTCCCTTTAGAGTACCATGTTGTCAAGACGAGACTCATAAAGCGACTTCATGTGTTTGAAAGTAGTCCGAGAATAAGAACCTACATTCTGAAAGAGGAAAATAAAAAGACCCTTCTAAATGTCGATGGGGAACTCTCAGTTTCGATCAATAAGTGTCCCGAGAGCCTGTACCTGCTTTGGAGGCTGATCATGTGACCTGTGGTGTCATGATATGTGCGCCACTGTCACGTAGTCAAATTCCAAAGCAAACACACACACTCCCACACACACACACACACACACAAGCACTATATATTTCCTTTATCTTCTCATTGTTTCCCTAAATAACCTTTCAGTTTGATAGGTGCAGCCTGACTGTATCAGCCTCCACCCGCCTCCACCCGTCTCCACCCGCCTCCAAAGTGGATCTGCCCGGGTTCAGTTGTGCTCCCGAACAAGTCTGCTCTCGTCCAGACACCCTGTTCAGGTCGTCAAAAGCCTAGTAAACAACACGATAACGCCATAAAACATGTAGCTTGTCAGACTGTGAACAGAGGAAGGAAACGTTTTTAAATGTGAAACACCCTCGCTGACTTGTGGATTCATCATCCGACCTCTGAGTGAAACCCGGCAGCAGGAAACTAAACCCGCCCCCCCTCTTCCCCCCCCAACTGCTGCTTATTTAATTAGTCCTAAGAGATCCATTCGGTCTCACGGTGCCGTCCGGCTGGCTGTGCCAGGGGAGACTCCCCAGGAAGAACATTTCCTAATTATTTGCTCTCTTTTGATATATGGGAAGGCCATTAAGGAGATTGGCTGTAAAACCCAATGAGAGCTCTGAATGCTCATCCATCCATGAACAAAGCAGATAGATGCACAGATGTGTTGCTTAGTTGCCTGTTGCTCCATAACCACCATTTCTCTTGGCTGCAAATGATTTTCAGGCTGTAAACGTAGAGTCATCATGATAAGATTTTGAGTTGTGTAAAGTGAAAAATTGTTGGTGGATTCACAGCTGCTCCTGTAAACATGATGTCCCCTTTTGAATCCAGGTTTTAATCAGCTCTCCAAAGTGGCATTATTATTTTCTTCCCTCTATTTTGTCTAGGTCCCTCATAAGTTTGGCATGAAGAAATGACGTTTACATGATTTGCTATTTGATTTTAAATGGATTATTTATGTCACTGCAACAAGTAAGTCTCTCTGTATGGAAGAGAAGTTTCTGATATTGGCTTTGTTTGTTTAGTACTTTGATTTACTGTGTGATTATTTGTTATTTACCTTGTGTAGATTGATCTTTGCAGCTTTACAGCTTTCATTGACTGTAGTGTGCAGTCTTACAATCATCCTTTTTATATGTTTCCCTGTATAGGTTTTATATGTTTTCCTGTATAGGTTTTATATGTTTCCTTGCTCACCTTTATCAGGCCTGTGCAGAGCATAACTTTGTTTTGAATAGATCCATGTGTTTGTATTCAGGTGAAAAGAGCCCACGGTTTATTGTTGGTTAGTAAATGATGCTGCTGTTACTGCAGCACTTAGACCCAAAGAAAAATCCTCATTTAAGACAATAAAGAAGATTTTATTGGTTTTAACTGCACTTTGGGTTACAAAGCATGACCCACGGGTGGATACTTCTCTGTATTACACAGGTCAGGTTATATATATCATGGACTATGACTATGACTAAAATGGGTGTGGTGTCAAAAGGAGTTCCTTGGTTTGCTTTTTTGTTGTTAGCAAAAAAAAAAAAGGTGCATTTTTAATAAAAGACATTTAAGGGTTTTAATGACTGTTTGAGTCCATCAAGAAATCTATCAGGAAGGAGGCTGTAAAATTGGATTGGGTTGGATTATCTGATCATTAGAGTTTGGTGTGTATTAAAAAAATAAGTGCGATCAGACCCTGAATAACATCATTAGCTTCCTCTGTGAAGGCTTTGACCCATGCAGTTTGAATCTGATTCTTCTAGAGTTATGGTTCCCAAAACCTTTCTAAGCCCTTTGGTCCTTTTTCCATTATGTGGAAATGGTCTATTGCTCTTTTTAACACACAAAGACACAGCATACTTTACATTATTTTTATGGCAGAAAGGCCAGTACCATCTCTTTTTTAATTTTTTAAAATCTTTTATTTTCGTGTGAATCTGCATGTTTCCATCACTTTGCTGCTGGCAGATCTCGATTTTTCTGTTGAGGTACAATAAGGGATATTTCTATTCTTCTATTCTATATGCATCGGAGCTTTGCCAAGTCTGAGTCATGTGATCCAAACACTTGCTCAACAGAAAATTTGGTTATTTGTCTTTCCCACAGTGGCGGCAGCAGAGACGTGGTTCAGCTGGACTGTGGCCTTCAGCCAGAAAGGTTATTTGTTCCTTTAAGATTTTATAACCTTTCATATTAAGTTGTAGACAGTTAGAAATGAGATATCTTCAAGCAGGAACAGTAGCAATTTTTTCTTACGGCCTTTCTTTCCTCCTAGGCTTTACAATTAGTAGCATGTCCCATCAGTTATGATGCTCTTATATTTCTTCTGCAAATTTCTTCTACATTTCTATAGTCTTGTGGTCTCAGCTGTTTTTTGCTGGCTCATTTTTGCATATTTTTCAAATGTCATATTTTACTATGTATTGAGCGGATGAAAGCAAAAAAACTCAGAAAAAGTCGGTTATTTTTCTGTAAATCCCCCCTCCACCTCTTTGGCCTCTCAGATGCTTCCACCCACGAACCCATTTATTTGAACCCATTCTTCAAAGGAATAGTTTGATGCTATCATTTGAGCCCCAAAGCTTTGAAGCTGGATTTAACATTGCAGCACTTTAACAAAACATTTTAAAACGAGGATGCAAACCTGCTTATTAATGAGCTAAAACAACAATCTGTATATGGAAAATTCACTCTCCATGTAAATTCCTGGTAAATAGCACGGCAGGTTAGACTGAATATGCGCACGGAGCTCTCCATCTTGAGTCTTTGGACCAGAGCCAGAGCTGTGAAACGGACCTTCCTTCTGACACAAACTTGAAAACAGATCTTGTCGCATGACCTCGAAGTACAATTCCTAGTTGCCGGTATGTATTTTTTCAAACGGGCATGGTCATTTCCTAAAATAGATAAGTTCCTTAAGATGGAAATGGGCTGAACTTGCCTGAAACCTGAATACAGAACCTCTTCTGACCTAATTAGACCCACTATATCATTAACAGACAAAATAAAAAGACAAAAACTGGATGTTAACAAGAATAATTTATTGACAGTACATTGTTTAAAATATAATGTGTCTTCCTGGTTTAGACACTAAAGAACATTCACATCAACAGGGAGCCCATCTTGGTCACTTTGGATCCCAAACTTCCCCCCTTAAAGGAACCACAACTTACTCGGTCAAAAATAAAGCTTTAGCTTTAGAACCCAGGCTCCATTTTGCACAAATAAACTCATTTATTCGGACACATGTTGCTCTGCCGGTGGGGGTGAAGGCCTTGTGTCGAGGGCCAGAGCAGGCTGAAGCCCCACCAGTTGAGCAGAAGCTTTTCCGCACACTGAGTGTCAAAGCGTCCTAGTTTGTGCGGAAAGGATTCTGTTGGACTGATGGGGTTTGGGGCGGGGGGGGTGAGGGCTGGATGTTCGCCCGTTTTACTTGGTGAGGGCCTTCACGGCCTCCAGCCCCTCCACCGGTTTCCACTGCTGGTTGATGGTGATAAGCTGCACCCAAAAAATCAGAAAGAAGTGAGGCTTCACCCAGGAAAGGTCCACATTTTAGCAGGAATCTCTGGATGGGGCTCACTGGAGCATTACTCCAGCACGCGTAAACACGTTTTACTCCATATCGCAGTTGACGACTGACAGAAATGATAACATTTGACTATGACTCAGCTAATTTCAACGGCTGCCCTTGTGTTAAACTGCCAATATATAAAGCAAAAGCCCTAAATATAAAGAAAAAAAGGAGAGTTTCCATTTGTTAAAGTTAGAAAATACCTTTTGGGGTTTAGTAGGGTCCACTCTTTCCCATGGTTCAGGGTTTCTGGACTTGTTTAAACTAGAAAACAGCAAATGACACGATACACTATCATTTCATAGCATTTTTACATGAATTTGGTGAAACGGGGATAATAAAAAAAAAAACGGAGTGTACTCACATTACATCACTTTTAGTTAGTAAGAAGTAGGTGGCAGCTGAGGTGGCAAAAGTTGCTGCGAAACCCATGAAGCCAATCAGAGGAATCAGCTAGAACACAGAGACAAGATCTGTTAAAAAAAAAAAAAAAAAGAATCCCACAATCTCAGTCTCTGTAAGATTAAAAACAACACAAAAACAACACAGCTCACCTCCTTCCTCTTCCTCAGCATCTGGAAAAAGCCGGACATGTCTCTGCGTGGGTCTGGATGTCGGCAGTGTGTGTCGGCTCCCACCTGCTGCTTCGGCCTCTCGTAGGCTGATGTAGGCTGGAGGAGAGGTTGTACGAGGTGACTGGCACGTAGACAGACCGGGCTTCCTGCGCGGTGATGCACAACTGGAGGTCAACGCATGCATTCGGTGATGATCCATAGATTAGTGAGCGCGCAGTGCCCTCCTGTGGCCAGCCTGCAAAACCGAAAGTGAGTGGTTTCACGCACTGAAATGAGGTCATTTCTGTAGGATGTAAAAATTAGGGCTACATTCAGATAATTATTTTTTCTTACAGGGTTTTTACAGGTGGTCTGTCTCTCCTTTCTTGAGGGTTTTCAAAAAATGACCACTTTATTCTCGTGATTACCAAAAAAACCCAGCCTCTAACGGGCCCTGAGACTCTGAAAAACCCTTTTGCATCTAGTCCTGTCATGATAAATCCTAATAATTGCCTAAGTTTAGACTATTGGTTGTCTTACAAAATTAAGCATAGTTTCTTTTTGTCTTATATTAAAGTAAGTCTGGCCCTAATCCATCTTCAGATATTTCAGATGCGAGTTCACAAAAACAAAACAAGGGAAGCCATATGTTTAGATTGAAAGGTTTTTATTTCAAAACCTAGATTTTTTTGTAAAACTAAAGTACAGATTTGAATCATCTGGGGGGGGTTTGGTATGAGCTGATCTGCTGGGCTGTCAGAGAGGGGCTCATTTTGCTGAGCGAGCGCAGGAAGTGTGTGTGTTTGATGGCCGACGGCTCCATGTTCTCCTCCAGTAGCGCCAGCAGGGCGGCCTGGACAAAAAAACACACACATTTTCAGGTTTTACTGCCCAACAGGTTGTGACCTGAACCTGCCGCTTTTGGCCCGTTACCTCTTTACACAGGTTCTCCAGGTCGGCCCCGGAGAAACGCTCGGTCTGGGCCGCCAGCTCCTCCAGGCGCACGCCGCCGTCCACGGGCATGGCCTGCGTGCGCACCCTCAGGATGGCCAGCCGAGCCTGGGAGCACAGAGAAACGCCGGTGAGCTGAGATACGGTCAGATATAGGGATGTCCCGATCCAGCTTTTTTTCACCTCCGATCCGATACCGATATTGTATTAGGGGGCGGCTTTGGCTCAGGAGGAAAAAGAGCTGACCCTCCACTGATAGGAGGGTCAGTGTTTTTTTTTTTCACATTTATTTATTTATTTAATCAGGACAGTGCACATTAATGAACAATCTCATACAGATAGAAAATGAGCCAGATTCTAGCATATTTGCGAATTCGCATCTGTCGTCCTGAGGCAGGAAGACAAAACAACACAAGATCACAAAATACAAAATCAGTCCAAACACACGTTCAGACAATGACATTACAAAATTAAAATGAGTGATTCTCCATGTTAGTGAACTTCATGTTCCTCCAGACCACATATGGAAGAGTCCTTGGGCAAAGCTCTGAACCCCACTGGCCCACTGGTGCAACCAGTGTGTGAATGTGTGTGAATGTTGAGTCATCTTGACTAGAAAAGCGCTGTATAAGTGCAATTACATTTATACATTTACCTCCGACCCGATACCAGCCGATCCCGGCCTATCAGAGTTTGTATTAAAGTTTTAAGTTATTTAGCCTACTTACTTAGTTGTCAGACTCATGTTGAAAACGGATTTACTCTAATAACAATTAGCCAGCTGAATTAGGTGAGTTTGAATAATACACAATGGTTGGTAAAGAGACACTGACCTGTTTGTTCAGGGATAAACACAAAATGGGATAAAGACCTGTGGGTCAGAGATGCTGATGCTTGTGTGTTTAAGGGTGTGCTAGAAAATGACCGGACCGGATATTAGGGAACAACACAGCAAAGTGGAATGGATTATTTTAATCGGTGCGCTGGAAAACGGATCAGACTTTAAAAATAAAAAAACTGGATCGGGAGTCTGGATTGGAATTTTCTCAGAGGCATTTTTTTTTTTGCAAATGTCAGATCAGGACAAGCCCAGAGAGAAGAGCCCTCACCTGCTGGTCGGGCGGCGGGACGTAAATGATGTGGTCCAGCCGGCCGGGCCTGAGGAGGGCGCCGTCCAAGCAGTCGGGTCTGTTGGTTGCCGCGACAACCATCACGTCCGTGTTGCACACCTCCAGGAAGTCCGACTGTCGGAGAACCACAGCAGCCGGTCAGACCGAGCAGCACTGGCTGCAGCCTGCAGGAGCCTCTGCTGGATATCCAACTCCTCCCACATCCAAGTCAGCCATTTTGATTAGGTCATGTGACTAGCAGCTTTCTGAGGTGGATACGAAACTTTACCGTCTATACGAAATCGGAAGACAAACAATGACCTAACCCTGACCCTGACCCTAAAACTAACCCTGACCCTATACCTAACCCTGACCCTGAACCTAACCCAAACCATAACCCTAACCATAACTCTCCAGCCTTCATAATTGTGAGAAATAAATATTGTGTGGTTAAACTTGTTTGGACTTATTGTACAAACCTATTTAACATCCACTATTTTAACATAATATTATGTATAGAGTTTAATTCAGTGTTTGCCAGATTAATGTCATTATTTTTAAATTAATGTCTATATTGCCATGAAGCAATTAGGATTTTCTTGCCTGGGATCTTCCTATTGGTGACCTAATCAAAATGTCCGACTTGGATGTGGGCGGAGTTGGATCTCCATCCTTGGCTTCCTATTGGACGTTTCGTCTGACCTCCTGCTGCTGCTCGCTGGTCTCCGGCTCTCCCTCCGCCTGCAGGACCCTCGCCGCCCCCCTCCTCTCCAGCGTCTTCAGGCCGACGCCGTCCATCTCGTTCAGTAGCACCGACAGCAGCCGCGTCTGCACGCCGCCCCCCCGGCCGTCCGCCCGCGAGCCAATCAGGGAGTCGATCTCATCCAGGAACAGGACGCAGGGCGCACAGCGGCGGGCCTGCTGGAACAGCTGGACACACACACACACAGACACACACACATATGTGTTTTCATTATATATAAGGACATATGATAGAAATAGGACAAATGGGTACGTGCCTTTCCGAAAGTTCTACTGGTCAGAAAATCCCAGAGTTTCCAATCCATGCATTCAGGAAAGCATTCATCTTTAGAGATTTTAGCTAGAGCAACATTTTGGTCACATTTGATTTTTATGCGACATATCGGGACATTATCTTTCTTATAAAACTTATGAAGACTATAACCTTTCACACAGTTGTTTCATGTCTAAGTGAATTGTCAAGGCCAGTGAAACACACAATCTTTACACACACACACATATGGGTTTTCATTATATATAAGGACATATGATGGAAATAGTACAAATGGGTACGTGCCTCTCCAAAGGTCTGAGAATCCCAGAGTTTCCTATCCATGCATTCAGGAAAGTATTCATCTAGTGAGATTTTAGCTAGAGAAAACTTTTGATCACATCTGATTTTTATTCGACATATAGGGAAATTATCTGGTTTATATAAAATTCTGTAATTAAGCAGCAACATTGTCATAAAAAAAGAGGCATCAGGTACAACTTCCGAAACCGGGTTCAAACCAACTTAAAGCACAAACGTAAAAGCGTGGAGTAAAAATACACACACACACACATATACACACATATATATATGGTTTATATAACTAATGAGGCCTATAACCTGTCACACAGTTATTTCATGTCTAGGTTAATTGTCAGGCCCAGAGAAACACACAATTTTTATGTATTTTATGTATATGTTACTTAAGAGGACCAGTCAGAATGAAGCCTTCTGTTGCTCAGATCGGCACAAAGTTGCTGAAACACACAGATGCTCTGGTGCATCATCATATATGCATTTAAATCTATTATAGGACACACACACACACAGAGTGTTCAGCGGGGAAACGGCAGACAGTGGGACGCAGGTTGGCGGTTTCCGGGTGGGAACGGTACCTGGGCCAAAGCCTTCTCGGAGTCCCCGACGTAGGGGCAGTAGAGGTCGGCGCCGCTGGCCGACAGGAAGGCGCAGCGCGAGGAGGCGGCGGCCGCCCGCACCAGCGAGGTCTTGGCGCAGCCCGGGGGGCCGTAGAGCAGCACGCCGCGGGGCCGCCGCAGCCCCAGCCGGGCAAACGCCTCGGGGTACCGCATCGGCCACTCGATACTCTGGGAAGGAGACACAAGGAGAGAACGAGGGAAGACAAAATGACTCGAGCTCGGAAAGTTCTGTTAGGCAAGTTCAACTGGACGTGAAGTTTTCCAGAAGACGTTTCGCCTCTCATCCAAGAGGCTTCATCCGTTCTAACTGATGGTGGGGAACACTGAGATTAATATATTGTAGGTGTAACAGAAGAATTGGTGGGAAAAAACAGAAACAAAAGGTGGCTCTGATCCCTCCTGCTGGATAGGCCATAGAGGTCACCTGGGGGGAGTTAATGGTCATTAGGGGGTTCTGATGGGTCGTTAATTTGGTCACACGCCTCTTTGAAGTGTGAGTCAGGTGATGGCAGGTGAGGTGACTTACAGTGGGGGAAATTAGTATTTGACCCCTTGCTGATTTTGCAGGTTTGCCCACTTACAAAGAATGCAACAATCTACTATTTTAATCATATGTACATTCTAACAGTGAAAGACACAATTCAAAAGAAAATTCCAGAAAATCACATCATATGAATTTATAAATATTGATAACCATCTGATGAGGAAAAATAAGCATTCTTTGTAAGTGGGCAAACCGGCAAAATCAGCAAGGGGTCAAATACTTATTTCCCCCACTGTACACTTTCAGGACGCAACAGGCTACTGGATGACTGCGCTACTCGAGGCTGCTGGGCTACCTGTCTGAGCCGGACTTTGACCTCCTCCAGGCCTCCGATGTCCTCCCAGAGCACGGGAGGCAGCTCCGTGCTGCCCGGGCTGCTCCTCAGGCAGGAGGGCCGCACCGCCCTCAGGGCGGCCTGGAAGTGCCTCATCCCCACCCACCGCTCCCCCGAAACCTGCACGCAGAGAACAGCATTCACCACCACGTGTGTATGGCCAGGAAACGGGTGGGCCGGTTCAACCTTTGGGCTGATGAAGCAATTTCTGAGAACCAACTCTGTTTGACGTGTTAGAACTGGGCTATAATTACTCATTTTAGCATAGTATGTTGTAACTTAATCCAGGTAAATGACTGATTGTCTTATTCCTTTTTAGATTTATATTATTCCCTTTAGAATTATACTTTTGGGTTAAATTCTCTGGCTGTGCCTCCTCCTCCTCTCTCTGTTACAGTAGATACTCGTCTTCAATGTCAACATTCACACTTTCTTATCACATTCCACCGAAACCTGCATGAATTAGGACCTGGCCTGTTCATGTAAGAGCTAACTGGCCAATAACACTCGTCTTCCTGTTTGAGGCCCAGAGGAAAACTGTCCATCAAACCTGGAAATCGAGGCTGTTGCCGACTGAGATCCTCCGGGAACTTGGTCCGATTTACTTTTCTTGTGACCAATAAATGTCATATTTGTTCTCTTGATCTGCTCTGGTTTATTCTCCTCCTGTTCTCTGGATCTGCACTCTGGATCTATTCTGATACATTTTCAGGCTTCCAACTAAAGAATCGGGCAAACAGAAGTTGGTGAGACCTGCTTCCAGACCTGGGGAGATCTCAGATTTACCCCTAAACGGATGCCTGGCTTTGACGTGGGGTGAGGCTGCGTTCACCTTTGTGTTTTCCCGGATGGCGTGCATGGCCGCCTCCCTGCACAGGGCGCTGAGGTCTGCTCCCACGTAGCCCGTGGTTCTCTGTGCGAGCTCCTCCACGTCCACGGCGGGGCCCACGGGCATCCGCTCACACAGAACCGACAGGATGGCCCTCCGCTGCTGCAGGGTGGGGGCACCGATGACCACCTGAGGGGGGGACAAGCGCTCAGAGGCTCAGAGGAGGAGACGCGTCCGGGCAAATTCACCGGACGAGACCAAGTACGTCCGAGGATGGAGATCCAACTCCGCCCACATCCAAGTCGGCCATTTTGATTAGGTCACCAATAGGAAGATCCCAGGCCAGAAAATCCTAATTGCTTCATGGCAAACTTAGACATTAATTTAAAATAGTGAAATGTATCTTGCAAACACTGAATTAAACTCTATCTATAGTATTATGTTAAAATAGTGTATGTTAAAAACAAACAAGTTTAACCAAAAAATATTTATTTCTCACAATTATGAAGGGTGGAGGGTTAGGATTAGGGTTAGGGTCAGGGTTATGGTTATGGTTAGGGTCAGGTTTAGGGTTAGGGTCAGGGTTAGGGTTAGGGTCAGGGTTACGGTCAGGGTTAGGGTCAGGGTTAGGGTTATGTTCAGGTTTAGGGTTAGGTTTAGGGTCAGGGTTAGGGTCAATGTTAGGGTGAGGGTTAGGTCTAGGGTCAGGGTTAGGTTTAGGGTTAGGGTCAGGGTTAGTGTCAGGGTTACGGTTAGGGTTAGGTCTAGGGTCAGGGTTAGGTTTAGGGATAGGGTCATGTTTAGGGTCAGGGTTAGGGTTAGGGTTAGGGTCAGGGTCAGGGTCAGGGTTAGGGTTAGGGTCAGGGTTAGGACATTGTTTGTCTTCCGATTTCGTACAGACAGTAAATTTTCGTTTCCACCTCAGAAAGCTGCTAGTCACATGACCTAATCAAAATGGCCGACTTGGATGTGGGCGGAGTTGGACATCCAGCTGAGGCTCCTACAGACAGAGGCGGCTCGGTCTCACCTCCCGGTCGAAGCGCCCCGGGCGCCGCAGCGCCGGGTCCAGGCTGTCCGGCCGGCTGGTCGCCCCGACGACCAGGAAGCGGTCGGCCCCGCGCATCCCGTCCATCAGCGTGAGGAGCTGCGCCACCAGCCGGTTCTCGGGCCCCGAAGAGCCCGTCCTCCTGGGGAACAGCGAGTCCAGCTCGTCCAGGAACAAAACGCTGGGCCCCTCCTCTGCGGCGGAGCGAGCCCGATCGAACACGCCCCGCAGAGCCCCCTCGCTCTCCCCGGGCCGGGGGCCCACCACCTGAAACCCCAGAACCAGGGTATGAAACAGGACTAAGGTTCTGTAAAAACGTTCCATTTAAGTATGGACTCTGATTTAAAGTTATCTATTCATTCTATCCCAAAGTCCCACATAAAGTATGTCTGGGACTAATAATAATATAGTAATACTAATGAATGAAGCCTTTATTGTTATTATACATGCGTACAACGAAATTGGATAACGTATGCAGCCATTCTAGGGCGCTCCGATTTTCCTTCAGAATCAAAAGAATACATTGGGAAAGCGGTTGCGTAGTAGTAATACTACTACTACTACTACTAATAATAATTTAATTCCTGAAGCTTAATGTTGAGACTGTGCTTAGTATCAAAAACCACCTCAGACCTAAGATGCAGAAAGGTGTATATACATCCTTTACACAAGACTTAGAAAGAAATAAAAGTGTTTCTTTGTTATTTATTTGTACTGAATACAGAAGATTGTGTAGTTTCATGCCCATATGTCAGCTGATGGACAAACAGATGCAAACCCCCCCTTAAATGAGTCACCTGCACATAAAAACGAATAAAAATACATAACAGCAGCTAATTAATATCTATATTTTACCAAAATAGAAGATAAAACCTGTCCCTTGTTATTTTTTACTGATTTTTACAGAAGCAAGACTTTTTCTTTCTTTTAAAATCTCTGTTGCCTCATCTCGTGTGTTGTGGCACAAAGAGGGGAGCAAAATAATCCAAATTCTGCACAAACAGGCCACTGGATAAGGAAAAAAACGAGACACAAACCATTTACTTTATCTCTGCAACGTGCACGTGTGCACAGGCTGTATAAAATGCTTTTTAAATGCTTTTACCTCCGGCCCTTTGACCGCCACCAGGCTGGCTCCCACCTCCCCGACCACCTTGTGGACCAGCAGGGTCTTGCCCACCCCCGGGGGCCCCACCAGGAGCAGGCCTCTGGGGCAGGAGACCCCCAGAGAGCTCAGGGTGTCGGGATAGAGCAGGGGCAGCTGCAGCATCTCCCGCAGGGACGCGCTCACCTGCAGAAAACAGTTGGAAACGCACCTTATGTGTTGCACGTTAGGATAACCGCTGCAGGTGTGTGTGTGTGTGTGTGTGAGCTGACCTCGTCCAGGCCCCCCACCGGCTCCGCCTGCTGGCCCTGGATCTGGTTCCTGAAATGCCTCACTGTCTGGATGCCAACTATCTCAACAGCAGTCTTTGCGGTGATGAGTCCAGAGCTGGCAGAATCTGCATTGATGTCGTTTATAACCATATATTTGATGTCCATATCAAAGTCTTCCAGGTTGACCACAAAGCCTTTGTGGACGTAAACCCCTCTCAGCATGTCCTTCACCAGCTCATGGACCAGACGAGGAGAGGTGTGTCTCTTAAAATCTGCACTCTGGACCACCGCCGTGACTTTAATTCCTCTCAGTTTGGGGCAGGGCACAGGTGTGAGTCGACCCGGGTCGATGCTCACGTGTTTGGGGAGCTGAGAGGTCAGACCTGGGGAGGAACATTTGGGGTCCACCTGCAGGAACCCCTCAGCCAGGTCGGGCCGCGGCCAGGCGGTGCACAGGCAGCTGCCCCCGGGGACGGACACCAGCAGCGGGCCGTCCAGGCTCAGGCCCAGCGCCGACATCAGACTCGGACCGATCCGGCATCTCTGCGAGCCCCGGTCCCCGGGATCCGGCGCCAGAAGCCTCAGAGGCTGCATGGTCCGGGGGAGCGACGAGTCCCGAGACCAGCTGAAGCCTCAAACTTCAGCCAGAAGACGAAACCGGCTCCATGTTTGTGACACAAACCTTACTGAACTGCGACCATTCACGCTGGGAAGAAGCGGGAATACACTGAAAAACTAGACAATGCCTATAGGAGGCTGTATTGTTAAATAATTATAGCGACAAAAACTGAAGCTGAGCATCGACGTGTTTACAAAATCCATGCGGCGATGATTAAAACAAGATGGCCAACTCAACTATTCCAGTGCGAGTTACAGGAAAAAGATTCCGACTACCGTCACCAATTCGTTTCAACAATTAGTTATTTCCCCCCATGACTTAAACAGTTTTATCAGGATTTCCTTTAATAAAAAAATACAAATGAATACAAATCTACTTGGATGATGTGACTCTCCATTATTTTTAATCTACAGATTTGAAAAATTGGGAGGTGATTGGAAATAGTTTTGGTCGCCCAACCTTTAATGACGTTTAAGTCTATCTTTGCGGCGCTGTGGCGACACCTTGTGTTCAAAAGACAAACTACACAGTGAAATTGAAAGTTCTCACCTCCATGTTTACTGATTTCAATTTTAAAAAAATCTCAGTCACACAGAACAAGATAGAGAGCTGTTGCAGCTATACAACCCAACTTTCCTATCAGAAAAAAAAGTTTTAAGTATTTCAGCTCTAACACATCTGTCTCTGGACT